CCCCTAGTCCAACAACATTAAACCTAGCGTGGGCCTCGTTTCTTATCTGACATGTCTTATGGCCCCGGCTATGTCTAACCTCCATGACCATTTTGCCCTTGATGCGTTAATTTAATCGTTCCGCAGGTTCCAACAAGCGGAACTAATTAAACTCCGAAAACATGGTAATATTACATAAAGAATGTGATTCAAGCATGCATACATACCTTATAAATACATACATACCATCCCGTATCCCCCTTAGACCATATTGATGCATAATTACGAAAATATTGGAGACAGGTTTGGAATTTTACGAAAATATCGGTCAGCTCCGGTAACATCGAAATTTCAAATCGTATCAGGAATTAACCGTCATTGCGACACTGCATCAATGAACAGTAGGTTTGCAATTAATAACTATTTTGTGTGTATACAAGTGCTATATAAATCAATCAAAGATACCTGCTATCCTCAAAAATGGTTATTTTATCCCGAGTAATCGCGTGATAATTATCAATCTATTTGACAACAATTTCGTTTCAATAGTTTAAATTTTAACCCGGGACGAACAGACACAACGACGGACATGCGGAAATTTCTTTTTAGAGATTGGTAAGTTTAACCTCATTTTACTCGTATAAATGACCATTTAATACAATAATATTGTGTTGAATCGCTTGATGTTATGTGTTTTTATATTGTTGTCAAGTATCAGTTGCATGTTATCGCGGAAAAATGGTTTCGGTGGATCCAAAACTTGCATCAATGGAAAGAATAGTAAAGAGGTTAAAATCAATAACGGCCCCAAGAAAATTCTTAATAATAAATAACGCCGTTATTGAGTTTAACGACGTTGAACTCATCATCCCCATATCATCATGCACTCTTATATCATCCAGATCATCTTACCAACATTTGATTGTGCAGGCTACTGTGAAAGACATGGAATCGGTTAATTATGCCAGTATGTTACAACATCCATAGGGTGCAGATTGGGATTTTTAATGCCTTGACACAGATCATTTTTAAATCTTGTCTAATCAGAAAGGACCAAACACCATTAGATAGCAAGAGTACATTGTACTATATCTTTATTTTGAGTATCCTCATGACTATATTCACACGTGTGGATATGATTACTATTTATTCACTTTTGGTGCCTTATATTATTTTGATATTGACTGCTCTGACCCAATTAACATTGACAATGTCAATTGTTTTTCCCTTGTTTAAAATGTACTTTTTAAAGCATAGGTACTTTTATTTCAATATTAAACTGCTTATCTATATATGTTCTTTGTTGGCAACTTTGACACTTGTACCAGGTATCTCTTCCTTGGTTTTCTTTCCAAATGTCTCAACAATTTTAACATGTGGAGCTGAGATATTCATCCAAATCCAGGCCCTGATAATTTAAGAATTCTATTCAGTAATATCAATAGTATAGGAGCTGAAAATGGCCTTAGATTTGACATGCTTAAAGACAAGGTGAAATCAACATTATGCTATGTCGTCCTACTCTGTGAAACTGGAAGGCTACCTAACTTATCAAAATATTCCATAACAGACTTTTCTGACCCAATTCATTTAGACACTGGTTTAGGTCTTCTAGCCTATGTTCATAAGGATGTCCCTTTCAAAATTAGACATGACCTGAATGTATCTAACCTTCAAAATATATGGCTTGAAATTCTCCAAAACAATGGATCCAGTATATTTATCTGCAATAGCTATAGGTTATATAGGCTATTTCTGTTCAATCAAAACTAAAGCAAAATGACCTACTTATTATAAATGGTGATTTTAATTGCAGAAATCCAGCCTTCTGGCATGATGACATCTTATCAACTGCTGGAAAAGATCTGAAGTGCATCATTGATGAGCTTAGTCTTTGCCAGCTAATAAATCAACCGACCAGAATCACCAAAAACTCTAGATCCTGCATTGACCTTGTTTTAACATATTCTCCCGGGAAAATTATAAATAACCTCGTTCTTGAACCTATTGGAAACTCTGACCACTGTACAATACTCACAACTATAGTTCAAACATTTTCTCGTGAATCCAAAACTGAAAAAGTGATCTGGAAGTATGATGATTGTGATAACAACTTAATGAATGAAGAAATAAACAGATTCCCATGGGATGATATCTTTTTAAACAATAGGAACATTAATACTTTGACCGAAACATTTTCGAATAGTCTTTTTGATATTTTTCAAAAAATCATTCCTCATAAAAAAATAAAAACTAGAGAAAATGACCAGCCATGGTTCAATGATTAAGTCAGAAAAGAACTGCGAAAAAAGTCACGATTATTTTCTAAGCTCAAATTGTCAAAAAATGTTACTATGTATGACCAACTTTATAAAGATCAGTGCACAGTTGTGCAAGAAACCATTATAAATGAAAAAGAACGGTATTATAACAGCCTTTTTGAAACTCTTGATGAATCAGGAAATAAACCTTCAGTATACTGGATCACAATCTCAAAGGTTATTGGCAACAAATTTACAAGTAGCATTCCTTCTCTAACCTGTACAATTTCTGGGAAAACTGCCACAAAATCAGTCGAAAAGGCTGATGTGTTTTTTAAAACTATTTGCTTCTCAATTTCATATTGATAATCCAGAATCTTTTACTCTACCAAACTTTCCAATGCGTTGCAACATCACAAGTGAAGCTTTATCTACAAATGACAATGAAATATTTTAAATTCTAAAAAATCTGGACACATCCAAAGCATGTGGCCCAGACAAAATCTCAAACAAGATGCTTCAAATGTGCTCAAAATCCTTATCAAAACCTTTGTAGAATCTTTTACTCTACCAAACTTTCCAATGCGTTGCAACATCACAAGTGAAGCTTTATCTACAAATGACAATGAAATATTTGAAATTCTAAAAAATCTTGACACATCCAAAGCATGTGGCCCAGACAAAATCTCAAACAAGATGCTTCAAATGTGCTCACAAAATCCTTATCAAAACCTTTGTCTAAACTATTTAACCAAATACTACTTGATCAAACATTTCCTACAATTTGGAAAAACGGATCGGTATGCCCGATCTTTAAAAAATCTGATAATTACAGGCCGATAACTCTTCTAAATACTCTCTCTAAAGTTCTCGAGAAAATCATATATAAGAATATGATATTTCATATGACAAATAACCATTTACTATACAACTTTCAATCTGGATTTTTAAAGGGACACAGCACGCAAGACCAAATTGTTGCAATTACAGAATTTATCCATCAGCGGCTCGAAACAGGTAATAATGTTAAAGGGATCTTCCTAGATATAGCGGCTGCATTTGACACTGTTCCCCACAACCTACTTCTTTATAAACTTGCAAAGTATAACTTTGATCAACCCACTGTAAATCTCATCAAATCCTATCTCTCAAACAGAAAATTTTTTGTTAACGTCAATGGCAATTTATCCGAACCCTCTGAAGATCACTATGTAAATGCAGGGGTTCCTCAAGGTTCTTTATTAGGACCACTTCTTTTTCTCATTTATATCAACGATTTGCCAGACTTAGTTAAATCACTGTGTTGTATTTATGCGGATGATACATCCATTTTTCGCGAATTTGACCCAGCAAATCCAAATCACTCACTGGCTATTCTTCAAAATGATCTGAATCTGATTTCCAAGTGGTCTGATACATGGAAGTTATTTTTCAAAGCCTCAAAAAGTGCGGATTTGACGTTTATTAAATCTAGGCAAGAAGCTCCCGACCTTGCACCCTTATTTCTTGGAAAAGATGAAATTCCAAAGGTTCGATCTCATAAGCATCTTGATGTTATTTTTGACCACAAATTAACTTTTAATGACCATGCTAGACATGTGTCAAATAAGTATCAAAATATGGTAAATGGCTTAAAGGCAATCTCTAAAAAGTTACCTCAAGACATCTTGAAAAAATTTACAATGCCTTCATCTGCCGATTTTAGACCATGGTGATTTATTTTATGCAGCGGCATCAAAATTTGAGCTGGCCAAACTCGAAAGCACTCATTATAAAGCTGGTTGTATTATAAGTGGAGTCATCCATGGATCAAGCAAAATTAAAGTTTTTGACATCCTGAACTGGAAAACTCTTGAATCTAGAAGAAATTACCATAAACTCTTGTACATGTTTAAAGTCTTTAATAAGATGAAACCTTCATATGTGTCAAATGTATTCAATGCCTATTTAGCTGATCATAACAACACTCAGTTGAGAAGAGTGCGATACTATAAGGTACCTGGAAATATATCAGCCAGGTTATTAAACTCTCCATCATTCCAACTTATGAGCTCTTGGAATAATGTTGATCAATCTCTCTCCAAATAAAAGAATTCTTGCATTTTAAATATCGCCTTAAGAATTCCATTCAGGATGAAAATATATACATGTATCATTCCAACTACTAAAATTTATTTCTAAATGCTCACTTCTTTGCTCACAATTTTAATTCAGTCTTATCCCCAGCTTGTTCATGTGGAAATAAAATAGAAGACAGCAAACATTTCCTTCTCAATTGCACCCTATACAACCCCCAACGGAACAAACTTTTCGTAGAGCTTGCAAAATTCAATGTGTTTGATTATTTCAAGCAAATGAATATGACAAACAAAGTTAAATTACTTCTGTTTGGAAATTCTAATAAAATGAATTTCAAAACAAATGAATCTCTGGCACACGCAGTTTCAGATTTTATAGAATCATCAAACAGAGGTTGATCAGACTTTGTAAACATGCTTTTCATGTCCTAGTGTCACCTTCACCATCATCATTTCATTCTTCATACTCATTCATTTTATCACATCTTTTTTAAATTCTTTTTTACATTTATTTTCCAATCAAGTTATTGCCTGTATGTATTTTATCTATTTGTGAATATGTTTTTAATGCCTCAGGGCGATTGACATTATTACACTTTGTTAATTGTAATATACTATTCATGCAATAAATGCTATTAAATAAAATATGATCGATAAACATTTACCATGCTGAATAAAAGATAGTAGAGATATGATTGGCAATCCACATATTCATGTCATAAAGATCATTAATGAGATTGCTGTGCAACCATACATTAGTTAGATTTCTGAACTGAGAAATTAACATCTAAACTGCAGTTCACTTAACATATCAACCAAAAAAGCAATTTATTCATGATGTCTTGTAAGGTTATGAGTTGTTGGGGCAACATGATATCGGAGAAGCTCTTTGGACGAGTTACTGTTTTCGCTTTGTTTTTAGCAACAGGCCATTACATATTACTTGGAATAGAACACACATTGACAAAAGGTAAATTACATTTACTTTTGGATAGATAAAAAGAAATGCGAATTTAATTACGTGTTTTTAGATTTGATTTCAAAAGACAAATTTCTAGGTAAACAAATATGGGCATTTGAAGAATGGGAATATTTTCATAAATTATCTTACTTCGCGTAAGGGATATCGAAAGAGTGGTAAAATATGAAGTAGTTAAACTATATGCTCTCATTGGTACATGTACTGTCACCAACTATTTAAAACATAGATTATTCAATGAAAGAAACGTTCTTAAATGATTCACGTGGAATACAAAAAGAATACAGTGTTCCATTCTACTTTTCACCATATTGCCATTTTTCAGATCATATATCGGGAACAGATCACATATCAAGACTGATGGACGGGTGTAGTGATCAAAAGTTTGTGCTAATATTCTCATACGAAAGATCTGGATCTAGCTTTTTGGGGGCAGCCATGGACCAACATCCCTCCATATTTTATGTATACGAGCCCCTGAATCCACAGGTCCAAAAGGTATTCATTATTTACATACATGGCTCATTTGAAAAATCAAAATATGGAAACAATCTGTGATAAGACCCCCTTTCCTGTGCCCTGGCTCATTTAACGAATATACGAAATATCAATCATTTTCATGTCATCTGCAGTCTGATGGTCAGACATTGATATAATAAGCGGCTACGGCCAGACATAGATCAGTTTTTTAATTTCATATGTGTATAACTGTGAAACATGTAGACTTTTCCACGTATAAGGGTATTCATCTATCAAGAGAATCAATTTGTATAGTTATTTGAAACATATTGATTCCAAACATCTAGACACCTGCCTCAGAGAAACAGATGGATATGCACAATAATCCTGTTACTTCGCATAAGCGAATCTGGTTGGTCCACAACACATCACTACAATAGATGTGAGATGTGTTCCTTGATTTATATGGGGGCAGACACTCTCATAATCATCTTGGAAACTAGATTTCTAACAATCGATGACATCCATTGTCTTCTAGTTTCCAAAGTTTTGGCATTTTATTAAATCTGCATCAATATTGTCTTCAAAATTGTCCATCTTTTGCAACTAAAACTGTAAAGTTTCTAATAAGATTATGAAACTCAGGTAGAGTTACGGTTGCTATGGTGACATGACATCACCTTACTTTTGGACAATATTCAACACAGAAAGTTATTGAGACGTTAGGCATTTTGTAAATCGGCCATTTGTTCACGTTGAAATACATAACTGGTAGGAATAACATTATTTTGTTTAACTCCATTCCATTCGATCTCTCTATCTATCCTCTACTTTGAGAAGTAGGCTCCACTTTGGCCTGAAGTGAAACGCCGACATACAAACCCTGATAATACTGCAAATCCGAGCTCTCTTCCATTTAAGGAAATGAAATTCCCAAGACGGAATAATATCAGCGACAAATGGCTGGAGTTGGAGGCTGACGTTTACAGGCAAGTTCAGCTGTGCAAGTTGGACCAACTCCCGGAGGAGATTGACATTATGAGATATCCAATCCTGCACACACCTCATCCTGAATATCCTGATGTGTATATGGAAGGGTTTACAAAATGTATGACCAACAGTGAAATGAATCCATTCGGCATCAATAAAACAGATTTTTGTATACAAAGTGTACTTGGATTATGCAAATCGAGATTGGTATGTTTATTAATTATCTAAGCGTGTTCGTTTGACTCTTGAACACGTGAACTGGCAAAATATGTGTTACCCCCCCCCCCCCCCCAGCGGACGTTTAAGTACTCTAGGGGTCGGGACAAAAATTCAATTTTTTGTTGCATCAATATGTTGCGTTTTGACACACAGTTAACCCCTTCAAAGGAATAAGTAATTCCTTTAGGTGTTTTAAAGATAACCATTATGAGTGACCAAAGTTAAATTGAAAGCAATGCATCACGTAAGTTTTCCCTATGGGAAAATAACATGGGAAACTACCAATTCCTTTAAAGGGTTGAAAATCGGGACAACATTTCAGAAAAAACATGCGGGTGGGTTGCACCTTCCCTATCTCAAAGTTGAAATTATTTTATCATCTCAAAGAGTTTTTTCCTTGAGGTAATGCATTGTCCTAACATATGCACCTGTTTAAATCCACAGAAAAAAGTCGAAATCCAACCTATAACTCTCTGAAATCTGTTGCGATACATTCCGTCCTCCTTTCAGGTGAGCTCTTGAACTTTATAAATCAAAGTTTATGAGAATATTAACAAAGATAGTTGTTTAGTTAATAGTTGCAGTGATCTCCCCAGGATTTTTTCTCAGGTGGGTGCAAAATTCACATTTTCACAATTCAGACTGGAATTGGTCAAAATATGCCACTTTTTCATGATTTTTCTAATTTTCAAGTGGGTGCAAATGGATTTTCAGGTGGGTGCAAGCCTATTTTCAAAATCTCAGGTGGGTGCTGCGCCCACTTGCTTTAATGCTGGGGAGATCACTGAGTTGTTCTATGTATGATATATTCTGGATAGGTTTTCTGGAGTTTTCAACCAACTAACGGGTTGCATCATTAATGATTCTTAAAATAAAGGTTGGGATATAGGATCCATAATTCGGATGCGAGTACGATTAGTTACCAGTTTCACCACCAGGTGGCTCGTTCGGGTCAGATAGCATGGCGGATGTAGTAAAAAGTTCCCTTTAACTTGAATATTCATATGTTTTAGTGGTTCAATTTTCATGTCACCCTTATATGTATCTAATAGTTATGCAAATTAAAATAAATCCAGTAAAAGAAATTTGAATCTAAAATAAGACTTAGGTATGGTTGTACCCTTTAGCACTCAGACTCTGTGGCTTCTCTTATCATTCAAACATTATAAGCATATTGGTAGTGGAACTAGCTATGGTCTCATGCATCGGAGATTTGATGCATGATAGATATATTCCCTCTTGGTTTTCTGATGATCTAAAATGAAATACTAGAAATTTGAGGTCAACAATTGAAGGAATCGTTAATAAAACCTTGCTATTCAGAAAATATGGGATTTTATTTGTACTGATGCCCTTCTATGACCAAACGTATATCCAACAATTCCAATTTTGAATTACATTAGAAATAGTAATAAAGTAAAGAAAATAAGACTAAATTCCTACAATGACATATATAATGGTGTTACTTTGATTATGAGTAGTATCGGAGATATCGGGGATTATACAAGGGGCGATCCATATATTCTGATAAAAATGCTCTCATTTTGTGATTTTTTTCACATATCCCTTTCAATTTTTCAGAACATGTAGATTATGTAATTACACATACGATGCTAAAATATTTTAGCTATATCTTAAATTAATTTTGAAATAAGGTTGCCATGGTAACCGGTAGTTAGGGTAGGCAGGTCAGTTAAATTATAACATCTAAAATAGATAAATATGTTAACTTAATCATTCCTCGGTACCTATTTTAAGCAGCTCAAACGCATCTTCCAGCCATTGCCAACTATTCATTGATCTGTTCCATACCCCTGTTGCCCTTGTTTGATAATTTATACAGTGGGATAGCTATCTTTTCATAAGTAACATCTCGATTTATCGTCGTGTTATTCTCCGTCCGCAAGCTCTTCTTGCAACCAGACTGTGGATTATCTTCAACAGTGACCATGCCTTCCTTTTTACAATACTACCTATAGATTCTTTATTCAGATATAACACCTTGCCCATGCACTTAATGAGTCCACGTATGTCTCTGATAGTGTCCTCTTACTTATAGGATAGTGTCCTCTTATTATATTAAATAATATCTAATGGTATTCCCTAATGTATCCGTTAATGTCACACTCTGCATCAGTCACATTAACCTCATCTGACAATTTGATTTTTGGTGTGTCTCATTACATGTAATGTCAATTGGCCCATTCTGTCCAACAATGCTATTGTGACCAAACTTTTTTTTTAAAATGCATGATTTCCGCATGATTTAAATTAATTAAAATAACAAGTTATTATGATATTTATATGTTATAATTTAATTGACCTGCCTACCCTTAATACATGTTACCATGACAACCTTATCTCATTGATAATTTAAGATATAGTAATAATATTTTAGCATTGTATGTGTAATTACATAATCTACATTTTCTGAAAAAATGAGAGGGATATGTGAAAAAATCACAAAATGAGAGCATTTTTATCAGAATATATGGATCGCCCCTTGTATAAATAAATTGAACTGAAAATGAAATCAACCCAAATATCGCAATCGAAAAACATCGCAGTATTACATAAAACGCCATTGTATAAGTCTATGAAAAAATGGGTTACCCTACTGCTACTACTGATCATGATCATATTTGCACTTGTTTGTTCATCCGCATATATTTCAAGGTGGTACTTGCTAAAGAAGTTCGAGGTACAATGGAAGGATTCACCCGCTTCGTCCAGAGACTAAACTGCTCAGACAATGTGAAAGTTATCCATCTTCTCCGAGATCCAAGGGGAGAAATTAACAGTCGTTTTAAAACAGAATGGACAAAATTTCCAAGTTATTCATTAGTTGCTCAACAAGAGTTTATCAGTTCGTTGTGTGGACGTATGTTAAAGGATATAAGGATAAGACGAGAGCTTGAAAATAAGTACCCAGACATGTTTATGCAGTTAAAATACGAAGATGTTACTAAAAACCCAATACAGACATTTGAGGCTCTAATGGAATTTATTGGATTACCCTTCTATCCATATCACAAAAAGATGTTGGGGCTCAAGTCTAAAAATTCTTCAGTACATCTTTGGAAGAATACGCTTAAAAGGAGTTTAGTGAGGGATATTGATGAACGGTGTTCAGGCCTGTATGATGAACTAGGTTACCAAAAACAAATTAACAGATTATAGTAAAACCAGGGTAGCCTACACATCAGATATGAATATTCCACACATAGCTAGGCAAGGTTTGTCCGATTCCAGCCAATCCGAACACAGTATTAAACATGACAACAGTGCATGGAATAATCAATAACGCATTTATTTTGTATGGTTGCCAAGATGAAGAGATTGAAATCGATGCTTTGCCAATACTTGACCCTTGCAAAACGTTTCATTGAAAATATTTTTTCAGTGACTTTGTATCTATAAGGTGATTTTGTAGAAAATATTTTGCAATGTGTGAAAAGAATTTAAGCCCAAGACTCAATGCATTGTAGCTGCTTCATTTCAATCAACCCCGCTTCGCGGTCATACAAAGATTTGGAAACAACACCTTCATTGATTCAGCAAACAATGCACTGAGTCCAGGGCTTAAATTCTTACAATAAATGGGTATATGACATTTGCTGATTTCACTATAAAATAAATAAAAGAGATATATAAATACATTTTATAGTCAACTTGTAACATCGAAGAGTAACAAGGAAACATGCATACAACTAGCCCCTCCTAAAATAATTCATCGAGTACACTCAACCCAAATACACCATGGCCATGTGTCATTAAAAGTGTAAAATCGGTCTAGATGAAGACGATGCATATGAGTCAAGAAATCCGTAGTCATAGCAACGCATCCAAGCAAAAACGACTGAACCTCATAACATGTTTCTATCTCCCTCTTTAATCAACCTTATTACACTGTGGCTAGTCGATCTATGTGGATGCAGTCAGGCACATGTAATGTTTCGTGAGTACCCGCCTCTGTACTTTTCAATGGAAGAATTTTGCACTTCTGTTTAAATAATCTATATTTACTCATCCGTGTTTATCATACTTCATTGATTTACAAAACCAAAGCTACGCTATAAACACACATTCTCTGATATTTTTACGGAGAATAGATAACTCAAACGAGTTCACTCGACCAGTTTTATCATCTCGCTCATAGCTGTGAGAAGGTATGTATAATTTGCCATAGGTTTACCTTGTAATGGGGAATAAAAAATTCAAGTAATATAATTATTTCACATACACAAATATGTCTGTGTGAAGTAAAATACAAATACAATGCGTTCTATAATATTTTTGGAGTTATGGTATGAAATATCAGCTTTAAAAAAGCAATTTAATTATGATGTATCATGTGGATTAGTAGACGTTCTGATTGGATTCATTGAACAGACTGGCTAGGTTTCAATTGAATCATTTTGAATGTGTGTATTTTTAATATTTTAATCCACAGTGTCCGAAAACAATAATAATGCTATATTGGTAATTGGAAAAATTCCACTTACCACGATTTCAAAAAATTGTAAATAGATAATACTATTCTTGAATGATGGTCATTTGTTTCAAGGAATCTGGAGGCTCGTTCAGCTGAGCTGACAAAATCTTCAAGATTTACGGATGGTCCATCTGTTGGCTGCTCATTGTCACCTTCAAGGAATGTTAATGGCTCTGAAACTGGTAGCCTTGCCCAAGTCGGTATTTATTTACTTATCTGATCTTGAATTATTACCACCTTGTACAATCCAATGTATCATCGCTGATATTATGCTAACTTATTCAGCGGTTCCGAGATTCCCATAATACCTAGGCTACCTAGGGGTATCGCAAAACCATATTGATTGACAATATGGACATGGACACAACGTGTGACTTCAGGCTGATTGACCGATCAAAACGTTATCAGGTTGACCTGCATAAAAAAGCAAACTACCCGTCAATGATCTGATCGAGTGTTTCTTGAGAGTTACAATATATTATGTTATTAAATGTACATTGGAATGTAAGCAGTCATTAATACTCGTCTAAATGAAATCATGCAATTCAATGTTGATTCAAAATCAAAACTGAATTCGCGATGGGAATGCACGAAGACCTAGTCAGGCAATGTAGAGCCGTCGTTGATTTGTCAAATTTTACCGACAAAAACATTGGGTCGGTAAAGCACATGGCTTTCTCTTGGGTACAAGGCAGTCATAATAGAAATCAAGATAAGTAAAATAGACCGACTTTGGCAAGGCTAAAAAACTTGATTTGTGGGTATTCCAGTGGGTCGATGGGTCTTTTGCTCTGAATTCACTTCATTAGCGTACCTAATTTCAACATTTTCATTGTCATCATTACATGTTATGGACCCGTTTTTCAAATTAACAGTATCAGCGATAAAACCATAGTTTTTGGCTCACACAGTGAGACTATGGGATCGACCAGGCGTCCGTCCGTTGGTCCGTCCGTCTGTCAACATTGGTTGCACAAATTAAAACTGCTATTCGGATCGAGTCATTTTCACATTCATTTTATGCATATCCATAATGTCTATTTGACCTATCATCGCCATTTCCCAAGTTCGCCCGGTTTCCGAGAAATTGCTGATTTTTAAATTTCGAGAAAAATCGATCTGATGATAGCCTTATAGAAAGTCAAGAGAAGTGAAGAAAAGATTGAAAAAATACCAGTCCAGTCTATTTCTAGGTCCAGGTCCAGGTCCAAATCAAGGTCCAGTTTAGCTCCAAGTCCAGATCTGGGTGTAATCAGGTTTAAACCAGGTCAAAGGTCAAGAACTAGGTCAAATCCAGTACTTTGTCATTTTTTTCAATTTTCTCAGTTGTCCTTGAATATTTTTGCTCCGTTTTTTAATCATGTTCCTTGGAAAAAAGCTAATCCCTACAGGCAAGTTGTTTTTGATCACTCTTACCGTTTTTGAGATATGGCATCCGAAAAGAAGGTCACAATAAAAAGTTCTTGGAATTCAATGTATAATTTTTGAAATATGTGTAAAATTGTCCAAGGAATCCGAATCTGCAAACCAGATTTTGATCCGACTTCCGGTTCGGAAGTTATGGCATTTTGAAATCTCAAAAATCGCTATTTTGGTATCCCATGTTAAGTCAATGGGGCTTGAGAAAATTATCAATTGTAACAACACAACACTAGATACAGCTTGGATGCAGCCAACTTAATAAGAATCTACAATAGAAGCCGTCTCTCAAAATCTACTTTCCTTTAAAATTTGAACACTAAAAGGCCTAGGTCAAAATCTAGGTCAAATTCATAGTTTTTCTTTTGACTACAACAAATCATATCTGAACCAACAACAAAGGACTCATCTTTAATTGATCTCATATTTACCAATACTTTTGTTTGTAAATCAGGATATACATTCCTTCCTCTGTAGGTTCTACACTGTGTGAGCACAGGACCGTGGGTCCTTTATTTCATCTGTAATGGCATTTTCCAGTTGATGGGTTTATATATAGTATTTTCAATTTTTCATGAGGGTGCCTTTAGACTACTTGTAATGGGGTGGCTAATTACTTTACTGAATGAGGAATGTTTATCCAAACAATGGATACAAAGAAAATCCGGCCAGTTGTCCATCAGTAAATAAATCATCATGATAAAAGTATAATTTATTAAAGCATCCATTTGTTACCGTTCTGAATCCAAATGATACATAGGTGCATCCATTTTATACATATATGTTGACGTTTACGAAATGTTTTTCAAATATCTTCCCTATAACAGGAATATGGTAGCTGAAACTTTCACACATTGTCATACTATGTATATTGAATATGTGTGCAAGATTTCAAGTCACAATGTTAAGTAGAAACTCTGAGATCACTTACCTCGATTTGCTGTCATATTTTTGCAATGATCCCATGCCCTATAATGTACGCGAGTACCCACGATACATTACATATAAATGACTGCATCCACATAGATCGACTAGCCACAGTGTATTAGTGCATATTTACAGGATATAACTACACTCTACTATACCTTGCATTTGATGCTCATGAGCAACCTATTTGGCTTATTAGTAATGATTATGTTATTTGTTTTTATTTGTCCGTTCCTTATTAATGGTTTATCGGACGACTGTTAGCTGTTAATAAGGTACTTTCAAAAATAGAAAACAATTTAATTATACAAACAGAGTATCTTATGCATTTCTAGTGGTTAGGTATAGTAGGGTGAACTATAACACGTTGCCCATCAGTACAGGACAGGACATGCAGGCAAATTGTAATAGAGCCTTATTATTGCAACGTCTGATTTCAGTTTGAAGGCTACTCGCAGACAAAAATGGTCATTTTATATCCGTTGCTAGGTAGTTGCTATGCAAGAATATGAGATCAAATTATGAAACCATTCTAGTTTAGACTCCACCCTATAATTTGACGCTGTGCTTAATTGTGCGGTATGACTCCCATTATTCTAGGAGGAGTGACTGGAAAACATACATAAACACATGTACATACACAATGAATGGCAGTGGGGCATTATTATATACCGTTGCTAGGCAATTTCAAGTAACTATTTAATAAAAGCCGTACAATTCCAAGCCAAATATTATGTCCAATCTAATCAACAAGGGTGCCAGGATGTTTTTAAGGCAGTACTATCAATCAATAACCTGTTCTAGTTGCCATAGAGTGATATTTCTAAAATGCATCATTATAGAAAATACTAGTTGTTATGGTAACTTGAATTAGTTACCATAACAATTAATATCAGGATTAGTATGATTTTACATATGGGTTATGGGCAATATGTTATAGCTATATCCTGTAAATATAAATTGAAAGGTTGATTTAAGAAGGAGATAAAATCATGTTGTGAGGTTCAGTCATTAGTGTCGGAATACGTTGCTATGACAACAGATTCCCTGACTCCTGCAGTCGTTAAGCTTAATCAGAGACCTGGAGCTGGAATCTACATGACATGTGTATATATACTGGGAGTGACTGTGCATTTCAAAGACTGTACGAAAACAATTATTTTTGACAGCTTTTAAACTCTTTGTCAACAGTCTATAAACAACATACAATTTGTATATAGGGTGATTGTTTGACGGATGTCATCACCTGTGATAGCTGACACAAACACTATGAAGGTCTCGGCGCAGAGCTCATGGGATTTTTGACATACTATTTTGAATTTCTTGGAACTAGCATTTCAAACACTTAATCTGTTTATATCCTTAAAACTTGCTAAGGATACTCAATTGCTGAGAAAATACTTGTCAAAATGTAATACCCGATATATCTTTATGTTGAGTTTGAATTATTCATGTTAGAAAGCAGTTTAAGTATGCAATCAATTCGAGGATTTATTTTTCAAATTAACCTCATGTACCAGTATACATTCAAAAATCGTGTATTACACAGGTGTGGTGATTTCTACTTAAAGAGCTGACATCGGGGGGTCATCGAGCATAGGGTTGGGAAGTCCTTGTTCAATTTTCTGTTGACGTCAACATTCATCAAGCCAAGTCCACGCAGAATCATTTCCTGGTGAGACGTAACTGTAGCACCCTCTCCCTTTGCATATTTTACCACTCGTGTCGCCATATCTGATCATTCAAAAACATTATTTGTGATAAGTAATCTTATTCATCAACGCAATTACATATTATATAATACAATACCACGCCTAAACATCGACACGGAATAGTGAGAAAATATAGACCGTAGTACACTTTAGATGTACGATGTCACTGTTCAACCTATTTGAAGCAAAACAATGATGTAGGTTTGATGTTGGTTTTAAAAAATAATCTGAGGAATGCATTAAGGATTTCAGTTTTGATTTTTTGTGTTCCTTTAGGAAGACATATAACTTTCTAATAACGTTTAACGCTTTTCGAACAGTGCTCATTTTTTCGTAGTCAATCTACCCAATCATATAACTGGTCGGTTGGCAAATGTTGTGTTTTTACATATTTCCTTTGATCATTTCCTCCCCTGTCGTCTATGAGAATATGTTTCTTTAAACAGCACAATTAAGGTCTGTTGAAGATTTAATAAGTATTAACATTTTGGCCATAAATTAAAAAATCACAGGTGTACGTTGTCAACTCGAATGTATGTTGTCCCATTGAACTTAATCAATTCACAATTAACCCTAATGCAGACATGGTATTTTTCATAACACTAACAGACAAGGGGGTCAAATGCATTTAAAATTGAAACACAACAATTACAGAATTACTTCAATTTGAAATTATCCAGATATATCATAAACGGGATTTTAAAAAGTCATATTCATTAAGATAGATCAGTAGATCTATATGTCAATGTAACTAACAAAATGTAAGGCCAAATAATCAAACAGGCTGGAAGCAGACTCCATGGCAGTGCTAGTCTTTAACATATCCTATTCCACGACACGAGTACTGGATGGGAGTTTGGACTGGAAGCTACTTTCATAAAATGAAAAAGCAAAAGGAATACTTGAACATGTTCGTTAAAGATCACTCGTTACTCATGAAACCTTATAAATTTTGAAATGAAATCATTACATTGTTTAATATTTCGTATATCTCATGAATTTCAATTACAGGGACAACGTACATTCGAGTTGACAACGCACATTTCTGATTTTTTTAAATAACCATAAATACTTGAAAATGTATTCATCTCCACCCGTCCTAAATTGTATAGTATAGAGAAACATACTCCAATAAAAATAATCGACACTCTAAGCAACAGGGGAAAAAAATGATCAAAGGAAATGTGAAAAACCCAACATTTTCCAACCGTTCAATTTTCGTTGGTAGATTGACTACGAAAAAAATCGAGCACTGTTCGAAAATCTTTTAACGTTATTAGAAAGTTAAATGTCTTCCTAAACAAATACACACGAAATTAAACATTGAATCTTTCGAGTATTCCCAAGATTAATTTTTTAAAATCTACATCACACCTGCATCATTGTCTTTGCTTCAAATCGGTTAAATAGTGACATCGTACATCTAAAGTGTACTAGTTACGGTACATTTTGTCACTGTACCTTGTCGATGGTTAGTGTCACCGTTGATTACCGAACATGCTACCCCCATGTAAAATATATAGAGATTATGTAATGGGAGGGAGGGAATATAAATTTTTTCTAGGAAAATATAATAATGGCAAAGGAAAATATCATATTGCCTGAGTGCGATAGCCAGGGGGCGATTGACCATGCTCGTCTATTGTTGATGCCATTTAACTTCTGCAAGATTTAAAACTGAGTGACCTTTATGGTACTCACAAAAAACTTTAGACTCCTGTAAAACACGTGACAATATGAGCCCATTAATGGGGATAAAAACTGTGATAAGGTTTGTTACAAGGGTTCACATTTTTGACTACACTGTTGTAAAACTAGCGGACTTCCATAATGTTATTTTATCTGACACGTTACCCTTTCTGATGGTATATTCAAATCCTGTGGCAAATTGCGTCACTCTTTTTACCCTCGTTTGTATACTACTACCCATTTTGATGAGAAAATATTGCACTTGTGTACGATGCGCATGCGATTCAATAAAAATACTGGTATTGGGGATAATCACATACGAAGCAATTCTTGAAGTTGCATCCTACAAACGAAGTGATCGGGCCTAAATAGTACAATTTTGTTAGTCGCATCCTCCGATCACAGGGCTTCAAAATCCAAAATACTTCTTTCTTTTTACCCCCTGCGATAAGCAGTTAGTATTTCCCCGATTAAGAACTCGCAATTTGATTCGCTGTCGCAACATAGATATATATATATCGTAGGGTGGCTCAAAATAATTTTATTTTGGAAATGTTATGCTCCCTACGTGAATCGAGTTGCATTTTGGGGTCACCTGTGATTTTTTTCAAATTTTTTAGTCAACTTTTAGGGGTCCCCCACAGCCTTTGAAGTTTGCCCATAGGCTTAACATTAGTGGGCGTCGCCCAAAATCGTAATTTGTAGAAGTTTTCTTGTAGAGTGATTCATTTATGTTGTTTGAAGAAAAACAACATTGTATATGATATGATTAGATGTTTAAATCATCATATTACTCTGTTTCATCATGGAAACTTATATAAAAGGTTATACTTACAATATCTTATTTACAAAATATCAGGTATATTCGACCAGTATAATTATTTGAACAAGTACAGTTTTAGAGAATCATGTCTCATATATGATTTGGTATTGTCATTATAATGGTTTAAACTGTAAAAGGTGTATTCATTCTTGACATTTACTGTTTTAAACATTGTTCAGATCAGATTTTCTTATATGTGACACTCTTCCTCTATGATCTGAGCGTACAACACATACATTGTCACAATGCGCCGCATCATGGGTCACTTGAGAGCATTCCTGTACCAGCTTCACTGCTCGTTCAGCTGGATCATTAACAGAATGCAGGTCTTGACAGAAATTCTGGGATTGAACATAAGTTGCTCTGAGCGTACAACACATACATTGTCACGATAAGAGCCAAGATCTCTCAGTTACAAACATTGCTAGTGATGGTTTAACATTCAGCCTAAGCGAGCAGCAACTGGGTTGAATTCAGGCTGTCCTTGTTTGCCAGTTACAAATTGTACAGGCCGTGGGATGTTGAGCAATGCTGTAGCAAGCTCCTGCTTCTCCTCTCTTGCTCTGTCTTACACTGCGAAGAGCTGCGACCAACCCGGAGCCTACCACCATGCCAGGTTCATGGGGAAGAGTCTCTACCTCTTGAAGATATTCATGCTCAGTCCAACTTACTCCACAGCAACTGCAGAGGATAACACAACTTGTGGGATTTGTGGTCTGTCTCTACGGATGGTATTTCCTAAGTGCCCCCTTGACAACCACAGCACCTCTTCACGGTCTCAAGTTCTGGTATCATCTGCAGGAATATCTCAAATGACATTTGACGCGGCGCGTCGTGACAATGTATGTGTTGTACGCTCAGATCATAGAGGAAGAGTGTCACATATAAGAAGTCTGATCTGAACCATGTTTAAAACATTAAATGTCAAGAATGAATATACCTTTTACAGTTTAAACCATTATATTGACAATACCAAATCATATATGAGACATGATTCTCTAAAACTGTACTTGTTCAAAAAATTATATTGGTCGAATGTACCTAATATTTTGTTAATAGGATATTGTAAGTATAACCTTTTATATAAGTTCACATGATGAAACAGAGTAATATGATGATTTAAACATCTAATCATATCATATACAATGTTGTTTTTCTTCAAACAACATATATAAATCACTCTAGAAGAAAACTTCAACAAAGTACGATTTTGGGCGACGCCCACTAATGTTAAGCCTATGGGCAAACTTCAAAGGCCGTGGGGGACCCCTAAAAGTTGACTAAAAAATTTGAAAAAAATCACAGGTGATATTTACCCCAAAATGCAACTCGATTCACGTAGGGAGCATAACATTTCCAAAATAAAATTATTTTGAGCCACCCTAATATATCGGCGCATAATTAGATGATGTGATTCAGTTTAATCGGGCGCTTCCAAATTAGTTATAGCACGGGGGAAGAAGGAGGTATGGATTCTGGACACCTGCTTAGGAGGACGGTAAGTCGTGGTAGATGATTATTATATTACGATTCAATACTTTGAAAGGAATATCTCACCATTCCACCAGGCAATTGTGATAGTGCAAAAACTGTCGTTCTGAGTGTACGCTGCAAGTTGATCTTTCGTCAGTTCGTTCAAGATTTCGCGTGTAAATGTCACCATGGTGTCGGTAAAAGCTGAAACAATAAAATAATGTACTTCTGAGTGGTAATGTAATGTACATAACAATAAGAGGGCAAGTGTGTCATCATAGCAAATATTCAATCAAAATCAGCCTCAGTACAAAAATAATACATGATTTAACACAATTAAAATCACCAAGGTCAAAATTCCTCCACCGCCAGCTTAAAATGAGATTTCCGACTGAACTCTGACAAGTTTTCAGATAAATTATAAATATTTAGTCCCGATTCACTTCCCAAACGCCAGATGGCGCTCCAATGAGGTAGGGAATGAGAAAATGACTTTTTATTCAGAAAACCAAATCACTTTCGGTAACCGCTAATGTCCTAACTCAGGACTATATCCGATATATTATATCAATTAATATATAATATAATACAATGTGTAATGTTGCAATCCAATATAATACAAGTTGTACGATATAATAAAATATCATTATTAACTAACATAATTATACTATAATATAATATAATAAATATAATATGATACAATATGATATAATACAATATAAAATAATATGATATAATATAATGTAATATAATATATATGGGTTATTTCATGCTTGATTTTCAATATGAATAAAATTCATGCTTGATTTTCAATATGAATAAAATTCATATTGAAAATCAAGCATGAAATAACCTTTTTATTCCATAATATGATTTTATTTCCCAGGGAAAACAGTAGTATTATGGAAAAAATATAATATAGTTTCATTTACCTGCAAGGCTTTTAGCTGCTATCTCTTTATTGGCTGTAATTTCAAAATATTAGACATTATATCACTGTCATATTCCTCACACTCTGATTGGTCTATTAGTATGGGAGCAAAGGTCATTCCGTGTCCTTTTTAGAGGCGAGCTAAGCGACATATATTTTCAGGAACTATACGTGATACTTACCAAGAAAAATTATGTTGGCAATTCTGAATCCGCGACGGCGTTGCTATGGTAACCAAGTAAATATGCCACGCCCACTTTTAGGGTCTCTTTTTAGCTCGCCTCTAAAAAGGACACGGAACCTCTTATTTGGACTTTTGCTCCCACACTATATGTTCTTTACGTGACTGGGAAATTAGAACGATACTCAGTGCAAAACGTGCAAAAATGTGAACTGGATACAAAATCAGAACTATCTCTGCGAAGTCAGAAACCAGGACAGGGATCACGGCAGATCTATCTCGATGTCGAATATATGAATTGGAATCAACAGACGATGACGGACATGGGTATAATAAAACAAATATTTCACTCTACTCCGGCACGCCTAATAGTCGACATCGTACAGTGACAAAATATATGGGTGTACTGCACACTTAAGATTTACGTTGTCGTATATCAACTATTTGAAGGGAAAACTGCGATGTAGGTTTTAAACGATTTATTTGAGGAATATGATGAAGTATTTCATGTATAATTTCTTGTGCATGCTCTTGGCAAGACTTTTACTTTTAACAAATCCACTCAACTACTTTTCCAGTTAGCAAATGACACGCATAAAAATGACCACTTAAAGGGCGACCCATATCGTTTAGCAAATCGAACGCTTGTTTCTGTTTCAACACAAGGATTTATATTGGTTGTTGTACATGCATTCTTTGAACTGTCACTCTCTCAATAATCTTCTCAGAATCATTATAAACGGATAAACGGATTTCTTTATCTCCAAGACAATTTCAATAAACTGGATTTTACAAAACTCCCCTTATTTTTAAAAAATGGCCTGATCCAGTTGACTCTCCTGGAGCCGCCATATTGTTTTATGGGGTCCGCGCATTATACCGAAACCCATTATACCGACGCGCATTATACCGAAACCCATTTTATTTTGCGCCTCATTAAAATACTCAAATCTGATTGGTTAAGAGCTACAGGGTCTATTGCCATACGTGGCAGTAAGATCTCGTTCTATCCAGTATTAAAGCAACGAGATATCCAACCATTCCGTATGCCAGAATACCTATCCTCGAAAAAATACTAGGCTCGGCTTCTGTTTTAGTAGACCCATTCTTTAAAATAAAGTATTTCTCTAGGGAGGTGCATAATGAAATAAATACTGAATGACCATGAGGTGGATATGCCAGAATACCTATCCGAGGAAAAAAATACTAGGCGAGGCGAAGTGTTTTATACCGACGCGCATTGTATCGACGCGCATTGTACCGAAAGGCGTTATTCCGAATGCCATAATCACTGTTCAACAACTAGCTCCTTTGACGGAACGTCATTGTAACAAAATGGATGAACTTCCTGGTTACGAATTTTTTGCCTTCTGGATTTAAACCTACTAATAAGTCAAGTTGCAGATTATAATTTGGCCCAAAGCTAGAAAATATAGCCTAGTTTTAATAAGTTTCTTCGACTTGGAATTTGTTTTGTAAATGAAGCTGTAATTTATATACTAAGCCCCTCGCTTTTGTTACAATGACGAAAGCCTGTTTAATTACCCAAATGCGAGTAGGTAGGTACCAGTTTCACCACCAGGTGGCTGATTCGGGTCAATTAACATGGCAGGTATATAAGAATGTCCCCTTAAACTTGAATATTATCAATTTAAGTGGCTCAATTTTCATATAATCCTTATGTGCCTGATACTTATACGAATGAAAATATGTCCAGTGAAGCAAAATATTATCTGTCCACTAAAAGAAAAGATATTTCATTTTTTGCGATTTTATAGCATTGGGTCTATGGGGAATCTCCCCGAGCTAGAAGTCACATTTTCAAAGAAAATTAATTTTTCAAAGTTGAAAAACACTTTTTAAAACCACATTTCTAGATGTAATTTTACATGTAGATTTCAAATATGATATTACTTTGACTGAATTTTTAATTTTTAATGACGTAAATCAAGATTATTTCTACTCGCATCTGGGTTATTACCAATGTATCTTACTTTGTCAATGCGGATTTAGCCCGACCATTTTTAGAAAACAAGAAAATCTCTAGAATTTGAATAAAGGTAAATAACAGTGCAAAAACTAGGTTGTTTTGATAGAAAATTACACACAGAATTCAAATAGAAGAAAATGCTAGTCTTTAATGGTTTAAAATGCAGATCTCCTAAAATCTCATTAAATGAGACTATAACGAGATTTCAAAGCTATATGGAAAAACCACTATTAGGTAGATGCCTTCACTAGGCTATTCTCTGTTATTGTGTCCATGCCTCATTTTAAATAGCGAGTGTAAATTATTTTTGGAAACATGATTATGTTTTCCATGTTATATGAATTGGAGATATCTGACAAAATATGGATAGCCTAAAATATAAATTTTGTGTTTTTGAACATGCGGAAATATCTTGAACACTTTGAAACTGAAGTACAGTTCCTTAATAGGTCGTTCAGTTTTCTTGTTTTTGTTCTACACAACATTTGTGTTTAATAGCCACGCGTAATTATTAATAAGCGTAATCAGATTATTTCAAGCGTCGAAATAGCTTATTTTCCTCGACGTATCTACACTGACCTATTCACTTACCGTTATATTGAGCGATCTAGATGCGTCAATTATAATTGATTTCACTCATCGGCTTTCGTGGCCCGTGATACCCTTTTTCATTAATTTGAGACGCAATTGATATATTGGCAACAAATCAAATGTTCTAAATGATTCTTCATTTTGGAATGTTTCTCCTACCCGATATTCAAAGACGTGTCTTGAATATTATACTTTACATTGATCACGATTCTTGTCATTTCTGTCTTCACGACTCCCATTCACATTTGCAAGAGTTGTTGATTGCATTGCCTTGATTATTTGTCGGACTTCCATTCCAACTAAATCAGATTAATCAATTGAGAAATGTAATATCATGTTTATCCAAGCAAATAATTGTAACAACTACATTATTTTTTAGCAGTTTTGACACCTAAGCAGGGTAGCCTAGTGGCGTAGACTGAGGCTACTTTGCGGTTGAACGTCGTGGGATACGGAGGTTCCGCGTTCGAGCCCCAGGTACGGAGTTGTTGATCATTGTCACTACGGACACCCGGTCCGAAGGTCCAACCGTTTACCGGCCCTTGGCATGGGTTGGTTCTCTGGCCGCTCTTGCCGGAGACAGATTGTGAGACTGTGGTTGGTTCCTCCACTAACGTGCTTTAGTAAACTCCGGGAGTCATATAGTATGGTAGCGGGCCCCCACCAAGGGCAGTAGTGGAACGACGCGAATCGGTCCCAGTATGGTTGCCTTGCAACTGAAGAGACTCGAGGAAATCATGCCATTCGCAGTGACCCAGAAAAGACTTTTGCTTCTTAATTTGACGTTTTAATTCATTTATTTACATACTTTATTCATATTACTTTCCAGGCAGTTATGATTTTTAAATGAATGAACGAGACAAATAGATACTATTAAATACATCTAGATAGTATCAAAACCATAATTCGATTTGTCGGACATACATAGAATAACACTTGAAAACACAACACACATAGCTGCAATATCCGTAGCATTTGGCACAGTCGGTTCCCACACTCTATCATTTTATGCGGTTATCATAAGATAAACAGGTACGGTTGATTGAACCATGGGCTTTCAACAGAGTCAAGAAATTGGCATGGATACTTTGAGAAATTAGGTAGCAACAAAAGGAAACACCGGAAATAATCCAGAAATGTCCACACCATTGTTTTGGTTAGTTATGACAAGGCCCCGGAGTAAAAACAGCATTCGTTGGTAGCTTAATTTGTGTACCAATTAGAGCCATGACTTAAACTCAACCAAGAACGGTGGAGCAAAGTCACTATGGGTCCCAATTGAGAATCAATTCAAATCAAAATCAAATTGAGAATCAGATGACCAGGTCATCTACCATACCTGCCAACCTCTCAGCGAAGAAATAAAACAGGAGAATCCAGGAGATATTTTGCAAAAAACAGGAGGAAAACAGGAGACTTTTACTGAAAAAAAAACAGGAGAAAACAGGAGACTTTTTTTAAAAAACAGGAGAAAACAAGAGACTTTCAGTCTAAACAGGAGATTTTCTTTAAAAAACAGGAGAAAACAGGAGACTTCTTTTAGAAAACAAGTTACCATCTAAAAAACAGGAGAAAACAGGAGATTTTCAGTCTAAACAGGAGATTTTCTTTAAAAACAGGAGAAAACAATTTATTTTAAAAGCATGAGAAAACAGATTATCTTTAAAAACAGGAGAAAACAGGCTATTTTCTTTTAAAACAGGAGAAAACAGGATATTTTCCTTAAAAACAAGAGAAAACAGGATATTTTCTTTAAAAACAGGAGAAAACAGGAGACTTCTTTATAAAACAGGAAGTTTCTCTTGGTAAAGATACCAAGTAAAAAACAGGAGATCTTCTGTCAAAACAGGAGAGGAGGAGGATTGGCTCCCAGAATGCAACATCGATACTCTGTCGATATTCTTGATGTCATGATTGCAAAATTCGAATTCAAACAGCCGCTATTTTATTCACTTCAACATTTGTATCGTTAATTTTGGTCTTATTTTCAAACGAAAATGCAGTTTGAATTCGAATTTTGTAGTCACGACATAGGGAGTATCGGTATCGATGTTGCATTCTGGGAGCCAATCCTCCTTGGTCCAGGATGGAAAAAGCTTACCGTAAATGTGACTGATAAATCTCAATCTTTGACAAACTTCAATGGTAAAATCATTCAAACTTATTTAACATGATTTCTCTTAATGTATATACATGCTTAATCTTGGTAGGCTTACACAATCGTGCATAAATAGACAAAATTATTCTTACCCCGTTTCACGGACATACTTGCGCAGATTCTTATCGCCTCCACTCAGGAGATTATCTACGTAATACGCATGCGCTAGGATCGTAATAAAGGATGGATTCGCTCTTACTGATTAAAATTGTTACGCGTGCGCTAATTTCCTTGTTGTTGATTGAACATTTATATTAGATTAACTTTGTTTTTCATGATTAGATGTCGCTGGAGTTAATTGACTTATATGTAAGATACTGGAGACGATCGATGAGTACTCGGATTTAAGTTAAAAATCGGGAGGTAGGAGGAAAAAACGGGAGGACACAGACAAAATCGGGGGATTTTTACCTAAAACATGCGAAGTTTTTTGTAGAAATCGGGAGAAAAAATCGGGAGATGATGAAAAATTACAAAATTAGAAAATCGGGAGATGGCAAAATTGCGCAGGAGATGGGTTAAACAGGAATCTCCCGATTTAAATCGGGAGTTGGCAACTGTGTGACCTGCTAAGTTTAGTATTGATTTGCCCCTAAACAGATATTAAAGGGGCGCTGAATCGTGGACCATTTTAAACTGCCAATTAAAACATGTATTCAATGTTTCAAAATAATGAAACTGAAATATTTGACAAAATAATTGATATTTTGTTTGTGGAATGAAAACTGATGATAGAGAGCAATTTAAACATGGACATGATGCCAATTTAGAAGTATTATGAAAAGAAATGTTTGTGAAATGGTTAGAAAATGAGATAACTTCAGAATTATTGGGATCATTGAGGCACACATAGATAAAAATCACATTTGGATTTGGAAAGATTTAAAGTAAACAAATGAATGCGTTTCTTACTATGTCCATGACAACATATCTTGCTCTCTCTCCATGACAACAATTTTTGGCCCCCATCAGCACAAGATCGGAAATACAGTAATTATCAAGTTAAATAAGAAATGTGAAACTTTATATTTAATAGCACAATTATTTATTTCTACCAATGAAACAATACGGTATAATATAAATAAATGTTTACTTCATTGAATACAGAATTTACCACGGTTAAATATATTTTATGAAGTACAGGGTTTACCATAATCAAACATAAATAACAGAATTATGACTTTATCCTCTATCAAATACAGAAATTGATGGTTAACTGGGATTAAGTTTGTTGAGACGACCCCTCAATCCGAAACGCCTAGCATCAGTTAAAAAATTTCTGGCCGCAACTGAGATGTAAAGATGTTCGAAGATTTTAAACTAAGCTTTATCTGAAAATATGTTTTTCGCGATTAACTTTTAATTGAATATGAATATATAAACAACAGATTTACATTCAGTTTCATATTAAAAAGTTTAAAGTTAAAATATTGTGGAAGTAAATAAAAATGGATTTTTAATTTTCAAGACTTGTCTGTTCAAAGAAAAAATCACGTATAATTTGAACCAAGGTGTATGATAAAGTAATATAAACTATCTATTTTATATGCTGATACAGTATAATTTCTCTTAGCTTTTCAACATAGCACCATATTTGACTTTTCAGGCTCCAGTTTTATTATTCTATGCCTATATACTGTTACTGTATACTGTCATACATGTACATAATTATGTGTCTACATGACGTTTTGAAAGAGTATAGAGCTAGATTCAAAGCACCGTTCTTGCGAGTTTCAAATGAAAATATTGAAAAACGCGCGAGTATGAAGACTGCAACTTTTTATGTCTACACTGACAAAAACTTGAAATTCCCGCTGTAAAGATATAGTCCCACGCGGAAGTGCACGTCATAAAACTGATGGGTTAAGGCAATGTGCCGTCCCACTGGCGCGAATTTCGGTACAACGCGCATCGGTAGGCCTTTTCGGCACAATGCGCGTCGGTATAATGGGTTTCGGTATAATGCGCGTCGGTATAATGGGTTTCGGTATAATACGCGTCGGTTTAATGAGCTGATCCCGTTTTTATACGGGAAGCTTATCAGAATCCTTTTATATATTTTAAAGGCCAAATTCTCATAAGAAGTGTAATGTGCTTCCAAATATTCACATATATTACTTTCATCTACTTTTCTTACCAGATGTGAGAAAACCGTATAGTTTCTCAACGCCATGATCGCATTGAGTTTTGTTTGGTTCTGCTAATTCCAAATCCAAAACGGTTGACAAGACCCATTCCTGTATCAGGTCTGCTGTGTAGCTGTCACAGGTCAATAGCGCTTCATATAATTCCTTACCCAACTTCTGTAACATGACAAATAATCACTTCACTTTAAATGCGGAGTATGAAATGCCTATTAGGCTAGATCTTTATTTAAATTTTTCATTGGTGATTTTTTTATATTTGATCTATGTGAGGGACATATGCATTTGCTGTCCCCCTTATCCGTGCACATACATTTCAAAATGGGTGATCTCTATACCTAAAAAATATTGCAATGATGTATCATCATCATAATGTGATGTAATGTAATATATGTGCATATGAAATCCCATTTTCCAAATTGGGTCGTGAATCGCCATAATATAGCGTCTTCGATATAGTCAATGACAACGGAATCTGAATTTGAAATAATTTACAAAGACAACGGCATATGGTAATACAGTATCGGTTGTCCCGTATCTCATTTTGATCGGTTAAAGTAAATGGTAAAACATTATTAACTGTACACTGAGTATAAAGACACTTTGATTGATTGTTGTTCCAAAGGATCTAGGAAAAGTCTAGTTGCTCTATTAAACATACAGTTCATGAAAATCTAATTGAAGCGACGGTTATATCCGCCATTTGTGACAACGGTATCTGACTTAACCGTTGTCAGGCTATTCCGGTGTGTAATAAGGAGTTTAAGCTTGCAAAGTTTTTCACAACCTAAACGTGAACGGAAAATATAAGAGATGCATTTGTATGGGCGATTGGTCATACATGTAGGTTGGCGTTTCGATTATATATGCTAGCTTAAGCTCCCTAATATTTCTCAGATTGTTCTTATATTCACCTCAGACATTAATGAAGCACCAAACAAGAGCCATTCTATTTATCATTCAAACATGTAGATAACTCACCTTGTAATATTTACAAATATTCTGGTTTGTCTTGGTAGAATTCAAAGCTTTGATTTCACCATTCAGTAGGGCCCGTTCACAGGGATCTATCGCTACAATACAATGCCCCTGTTTTAAAATACGATCTATTCATCGATTAAGGCCTTAGCGCTTAGAATCAAGAGAATTTCAAAATATAAAATATATATAGAACATATAAAACACTTGTCTCTGATTCAAGCTGTATTTTAATACTCACGAAAAACATCACGGACAGCTGCTCCATTTTTGAGGCTGAATAAAAGTAAAATCGCGCTTGTCAAACTCAAAATAGTCATGTATGCTTGTTATCTTCTCTCTAGTCTAAGATGTGAAAGATGCGTGTAATGGCATTTTATAGCGCCATCATACCCTGGATGATGATCCCCTGGATGCACGATTCGAATAAATTATGCACATCTTGCAGTTTCTTCCACACGTAAGCCTTGTAATACATGGGATCGACATACATATATATAGGTATATCTTGGAAGAATAATTCTTTCCAATAAACCTGGAATTTTTTGCTAAACTTGAGAAGCTAGGATGTTGGTATATGGGGAAGACAGGGGCAAAACGGGACACTGCACTTTTCAGTGTTTTACAGGAAGGGCTATATGCAAAACAGGTAAAAAATATCTGGATTAAATAAATACAAGGAAAACTTTTGAAAAGCAACTTTCTTATAACCTGGCTCTAAATTTCAGCATGTGCCGCTCAACTATTTTACCGGTTGGTGTTAGTAATATATTAGTGCCTCTTTTAGAATTTTCAAGATGTATGAGTTCAAAATGGTCAAAAGTTCCTTAAAACCCTCCCCCAGGGTGTCATCGATGCCACATCAGTCAACCACTTTAAAACTCTCCTGGTCAAGCATGGCACTCGGATCTTTACAAATAGTCACTAGAGTCCATTCCACTGCTTCATTTCGTCAGTAGAACGGCAAAAATAAGAAATTGGGAGACTATTGTGCAATAATATATGGAAAAGTATATTCATAATGTACATGAATGACATTTCTATATTTCAGATTTTTTAGTTTTTTGTGCAATGGTCTTGTAATTTGAAGAATTTCAGCCATGTTAATCTTATTGAAAATAACATGGCAGAGAAACATCCAAATATAAGAGGCCACACACTTTATAAGCCAAACTAGAAGCAATCCAAGATATACGAATGTCATTCATGTACATTATGAATATACTTTTCCATATGTTATTGCACAGTGGTCTCCCAATTTCTTATTTTTGCCGTTCTACTGACGAAATGAAGCAGTGAAATGGACTCTAGTTATATATGTTCCATGTTCCATATATGTACAACTCCATACTTTTATAGAACAAATTATCCACAAGTTGTCAGAATTTCACATTTGACCATAATCGATCTTCAGTGGTCTACGAAAGGTAAAAGAATGATTTTGATAGTTTGGTTAGTGGTTTGATTCCCATTTAAATTAGATATACCTCAATAACCGAGATCGGGTTAGACATGTTACATTCAAACGTATATTTTAGTTTAACATTACAAAAGACTTGCTTAATTTATTACCCTTATTCCGAAGGTAAATAAATGTAGTTAGAAAGCTACCTGCATATTATGCCTACGTCTGTCGACGGAGTGTGGTAAGATGTATTTGAAAACCAGTTTGAAGCAGTTTGAAGCGAAATTCTGACAAAAGATAAAGTACTTTCGTTGAATAAACACTGTTTCATTTTCAGAAATGTAACTAGATCATAGTCACTGGTACTAAACTTTTCGAACTACTGTTACCGAAACGACGATCCGTTTCGGTAAGTAAATGTCGGAGCCTAGAAGATACGATTTCTATTTTTCTATCGTTTTTGAACTATTTATTCGCAAACTTTTAGATTTTCTTAAACATGTGATATTGACACAAATTCGTGATAAAAATGTCGTGGAATTGATTCGAGATGTACTCAAAATAAGTACGTTAAAATGTGTATTATCATCTTAATAACACCCTCACAAATTATTTTGGAAGAGGTACGATTTTTGAGATTTTTATTTTCGAATGTTGATTTTGCCCAAAACTCGTGAAATGAGGAAAAAGAAAATAGTAGGTCTTACTTCGAGGTTTTGACATTAGTTTAAAGAGTGTAGTACCAGTGATAATTAAGTATATCAATTGAGGTTGCATATTGTATCTTGTACTATAAAAAATACAGTGCTTTCATCTGCATCCTTCACACGGTGACTATCCAAACCCGTAAATCGCGAGCAAGTTCCTGCTTACAGATCGCGAGCAATGAGCTCATGTTAGAAGCGGGGCCTTGAGAGATATGATAAAATATAGTTATAGTTGAATAACGTCATTGCCCTCCAATTGAAATACGTGTAGCTATTTCACTTTGAAATAAGTTTCACTTACTAACGTTCCATACAGACGTTTATAATTAATATTCTTCTAACATGAGCTCGTTTCTCGCGATATCACACTAGAGTCCATTTCACTGTTGAACTTCGTCAGTAAAAGCTAAAAAATAAGAAATCAAAATATCATTTTGCAATAACGTATGGAAAAATATATTCCTATTGTACATGAATGACATTTGTATATCTTGGATTGCTTCTAGTTTGGCTTATAAAGTGTGTGAGCTCTTATATTTGGATGTTTCTCTGCCATGTTATTTTCAATAAGATTAACATGGCTGAAATTCTTCAAATTACAAGACGGCACAGGCTTATTGCACAAAAAACTAAAAAATCTGAAATATACAAATGTCATTCATGTACATTATGAATATACTTTTCCATATATTATTGCACAATGGTCTCCCAATTTCTTATTTTTGCCGTTCTACTGACGAACTGAAGCAGTGAAATGGACTCTAGGAGCCTGCATAGACACCGTGTTTCATTTCAGTTATATTCGACGAAATCCGAACACTATTTGGATCAGACTGCAGTTCAGCGGTGCTCTAATTCAGATGACAAAGGCAGCCTTACGCCATTCAAAATGTTAGCCATTTCACGACGATAAAAAGAATTTACAAAAGCACAATACGTTAAAATCAAATGATAAAAACAAAACAAAAGGACAAAAACACAGTTTTAGCAGCTGTAGACGTTCATATTTGGGTTTGACATTTTGACCTTCTGGTAATTGCATTTCACAATTTGCCTCAGAGGAAGGGGCCATAATCCAACAAAATGATTGATCTCATTCTTAGGTCCATCCCTCTGTAAACATATAGGTGGCGCTAAACTGAATGGTGGTAGCTCCATATTAAGAAATCTCACTCGACCTTTGTCCGATTGCTCCAAGTCAAGATCGATATTTTCTTGAACTCTGGGAAATGTTGTCAGCAGTATATATTTGGCATTTGCCATGTGGGACAACGCTCTTACTGCATCGTGATGTTTTAAATGCTGAAGCATCATGCGACAGATAATGATGTCATAGCGACCTGGGAAAACATCAAGAGTGATGTCATGTGTCGCAAATATCCAATTATATTTTTCGTAATTTTTCTTATGATGATTTATTAGATCGGGTACAATGTCTAGTCCGGTGTAGATGACGTCATCACGTGTGGTGAGAAATCGACTCATCCATTGCATATCACCGCAGGCAACATCCAATATACTAATTAAGTCACTTTTTGTTTGGGCTTTAATCCAGTTCATTACAATGTGTAGGGTTGCCATAAATTCTTGGGCAAAAAATAAGTTTGATCCCAAGCCAGAGGCTTGTAATCCGGAATATGTGGAATCCTTAAGGTGCCCCATCCAAATTTTATCCCGGAATATCATTTCAAAAGATCTCTGTCGCGTTTCTGGATTTTCGGGTTGACCTGAGCTCCCTCTATCGGTAAACTCCTTGGTCATGATTGATTCGTTACGACGACGTGTTGCATCACCAGTTATGCAGTTTGATACAATATTGGAGTTATGATAATTATTGAAAATTGTTTTGGAATAATTACCGTTGTTAAAGTTATTTCCGTTCATAGATGTCGGCTGTATAATATATTTTTCAACTACATGGTGTTCCGAAGACTTTGGTTTTTGGATGTTGTCATATTTTTGTGTCACCTTGTAGATCATAAAAACAGTAAGGATTGTCTGGCAGAACACAGTAAAGAGTAAGTATTTCTGAAAAATAAATTTGAAAATCAACAATATTTTCTAATGCAATATTTTTATTGTGTTATTAAAAGTGTTAAAAACAAATATAGTTCAAAATAAAAAGGGTGTTGATTTTCCTCTCCCCCTGGCCAAAAATTCTTTCAATATCATGCAATTTTTCACCATTTTTTTCACCATTCTGAGCACTTTTAAGTGATTTTTTAAAAGGTGACCACCCCTTGGCAAATCTTGGGTATGAGTCTGAAAGCCTTGGTAATAATCAATATTACTAAGCTTGTATTCGCAAATGCAACTAACGCCTGACGGCTACCGGTTTAACCAACTATTCTATGGGTACCTCATTTAAATATGAATAGTTCCTGCCACTATTCCATTCATATTCAAATGAATTTCCAATAAAATAGTAGGTTAATCCGGTAGCCGACAGACGTAGTTGCATTCACGAATACAAGCTAAATCAATTGTAGGCTACATGTAAAATGTTCCATATTAATTTGCAGTTAACTTACTTTTAATTTCATTTTCTTTTCAGGTCATCATATTTAATGAATAATATTAATATGATGCTGGTTATTGTTTTGTATCCCCATGCTTTCTCTAGGATCATATGCATGCAGATCTTTAGAAATCTGTATTTTCTATGATATCAATTGGATTAAGTATCCATTCAACTCTGAATCCAATCAGTCCATGTATTCCATCAATTATGTATTCTATAAGTATCTAAACTGCCATGTCAGTGATATTTATATCTGCACGTTTTATCTTTTAAAAGATATACGAATCCTTTGGATTGTACGTGTATATAATTCCAGTTCAAAACAAGATGACATTATATTATTGATTATCCCGTTCCCGGACTATGGTCCTGTGAACATCTCAATCTTTTGCCTGTGCGATTACAACATGGGAGAATTTTTTACTGATCTTACACTTCAGATACCTACTTCAATAGATTCCTTGGTAATTTAGCATTCTTTTCGTGTAGTTGAATCCACAATTGTCTGGGTTTATCGGCAGAACGAAGACATTTTCGTTTTTGATCGCAATATTTGCGTGTTACATTTAACTTATTTCAACCGTCAAATTCCTCCATATTGGTACTTCCGGGCTACATCCGGGACTGCCAAACGGGGGATTCCCCTTTTAAATCCAACCGCCATTTTGAAAAGTGATGGAATCTCTCTCGATGAAAAAGAGAAAATGTTCCCGTTCTGCCGATATACCCAGACAATCGGCGGTTCCAATATATTAGAAGTTACATCTTGAGTTCTATAATGCATTGAGGTAGGTATCTTAAGTGTAAGGGGCGTAGATAATTCTCCCAAGTTGTAATCGTACAGGCAAATGAATGCGATCAGTGTTACCTTCTTCTAAGGCCACTGTCCACTGTATCGTGGCCTTCCAGTACAGATATATTCCTGCATGAACAACTGGTAATGTCGTAATCATAAAATTTGAAATCATATGTCCGCCATTTTTCCACATCACAATTTGAATTGCGAGTTTTGGTCTTATTACCTCACCAAAAATTCCAAAACACACACAAAGTGATCAGTGTATTAGTTCACATCTTCTGGATCGCTAACTTAGAATTTACAGCCAGTTACTAATGTCAGACGTAACGACATTTCGTCCAGTTTTCGAACATCGCCATTTTTCTTGGAGCCATTTTGTTTTAATTTTAGACGAAATCTGATGAAATCATGTCATATCTCATCAAGGATTTGAGCTGGGTCCGGTTTGATTAATGATTTATTTATCTGGCTATTTTTAAAATATTCAATAAATTTATGACACCCCGGCAGCTTTTTTCAAATAGAGTTCACAGTATTCCAGATGAATCCCCTCTAGCCAAGTATTGGCTAGAGACTCGAGTAAGATCAGTGCAGGACTATAGTCCGGGAACGGGATAAATTATTGAAACTTGTCCCGTGTCTCGTATCTGTCCAGTCTATCTCCTAGAAATTATCCCATATTATTCATAATTGTATATAGACAACCATGATGCTAAATAACCAAATAGCCATGTCCTCTCGATCTCTGTCTCTCCACTGAAGATCTGAGATGCAGCTATACATGTATGGAGATCATAGAGGATCAGATTGTAGTGTTACCTTCAATTCTCACAGAGCTCACAGTGAATTTTTAACCTTTAGCTGCATCAATATTGTTGTATTCATATTATATTAAATACGTTGTTGCTTCAAAATGACCTGCATCCACAAAGATACTTATAAACAGCGCTTTCATATTCCATTTTGTATTACATCTCTCAAGGTGTCTCTGTGATATCGTATTTTTATGTTACACACAGATGTCTATTATAATACAGGTGTACTAACCTTTTACTGATCGAGTGTACGTGTTTGTTAAAGGTCAATATGGTTTAGTTAAAGTCAAATATAAACACTGAGGTCAAAGGTATAGATGTATAGTGACATATCACAATTATGGTCCATCATTTAATAATTAATTGGTTTAAACTCAAAACATGTACAGAGACCCTTTAACCTGAACAACCATTGAGGTAGCTACATATACGCATATGCGTACACTCACAAACCCATTATCATTTTGTAAAGTTTGAATAATTAATTAATTAATTCATTAATCAACAATGGTACATTTGATTTCGTTCTTGACTAGGTATAAAATATAAATCCCCAAATTCGAGACGAATGAAAATATCCGATGACAGCAAAGCGCATCCTACAATTTTCATAGTTAACTTGACATCATTACAATATTAGGCCTTCTCGGGAACAATAAGAGCCAATTCCAACATCTGATTAATTACCTCATATCTTCAACGGTAAAAACTCATGTACCAAAAAATGTCCTCGAATCATATAAATATAATGTAGATATTTTAAAATACGTATGAGTTAATCAAAAAACCTCAATTGTCAGTGTAGACATAAAAAGTTGCAGTCCTCATACTCGCTCGTTTTCAATATTTTCATTTGAAACTCCACGGTGCTTTGAATCTAGCTCTATACTCTTTCAAAACGTCATGTAGACACATGATTATGTACATGTATGATTGTGCACAGTAACATTATATAGGCATAGAATAATAGTGGAGCCTGAAGTCATATATCACGCCCGGTGATCGCACAAAAATAATGGAGGGGGGATTAGGCGATTTTTGCAAGAAAACTCAACAAATTTGGAAAATTTATTTTTTCAAGAGAAAATTTTCAACTGAATTGCCAAATGAATAGGCGCAGTGCATGACAAAACATGTTAGGTCATCTAGTATTTTTTTGTAAATTTTCTCTTGAAAAAATAAATATTCCAAATTTGTTGAGTTTTCTTGCAGAAACCGCCTAATCCCCCCCCCTCCATCATTTTTGTACGATCACCGGGTCTGAATATGGTACTATGTTGGAAAGCCAAGAGAAAAACAGATAGTTTATATATTACCTTACCATACACCTTGGTTCAAATTATACATGATTTTTTCATTGAACAGACAAGTCTTGAAAACTAAAAATTCATTTTTATTTACTTCAAAAATATTTTAACTTTAAACTTTTTAATATGAGACTGGATGTTAATCTGTTTTTGTTTTATTCATATTCAATTAAAAGTCTGTCGCGCAAAGACATATTTTCAGATAAAGCTTAATTTAAAATCTTTGAACATCTTTACATCTCAGTTGCGGCCAGAATTGTTTAACTGATGCTAGGCGATTCGGATTGAGGGGTCGTCTCAACAAACTTAATTCCAGTTAACCATCAATTTCTGTATTCCGAAAGAGGACAAAGTCATAATTCTGTTATTTATGTTTGATTATTGTTAACCCTGTTCTTCAGGTTAACTAAGGTAAATTCTGAAATGAAGTAAACATTTATTAATACTGTATTGTTTCATTGGTAGAAATAGATAATCGTGCTATTAAATATAAAGGTTTTGTGCTGATGGGGCCAGAAATTGTTGTCATGGACAGAGAGCAAGATATGTTGTCATGGAGATGGTAAGAGACGCATTCATTTGTTTTACTTTAAATCTTTCCAAATCCAAGTGTGATTTTTATTTATTTTATGTGTGCCTCAATGATCCCATTCCAACAAACGAAATATCAATTATTTTGCCCAATATTTCAGTTTCATTATTTTGAAACATTGAATACATGTTTTAAATCAATATATACAAGGCTTAGCAGGTCATCTGATTCTCAATTTGATTTTGATTTGAATTGATTCTCAATTGGGACCCATAGGGACTTTGCCCCACCGTTCTTGGTTGAGTTTAAGTCATGGCTCTAATTGGTACATAAAGCTACCCACGAATGCTGTTTTTCCTCCGGGGCCTTGCCAGAACTAACGAAAACAATGATGTGGACATTTCTGGATTATTTCCGGCGTTTCCTTTTGTTGCTACCTCATTTATCAAAGTATCCATCTTGACTCTGTTGAAAGCCCATGGTCTAATCAACCGTACCTCCTTATCTTATGATGACCGCACAAAATGATAGAGTGTGGGAACCGACTGTGCCAAATGCTACGGGTATTGCAGCTAGGTGTTTTGTGTTTTTAAGTGCTATTTTATCGAATTATGGTTTTGAATATATCTACTGTAGATGTATTTTATAGTATCTAGATGTCTCGTTCATTCATTTGACCAATAAAAATCATAACTGCCTGGAAAGTAATATGAATAAAGTATGTAAATAAATGAATTAAAACGTCAAATTAAGAAGCAAAAGTCTTTTCTGGGTCACTGCGAATGGCATGATTTCCTCGAGTCTCTTCAGTTGCAAGGCAACCATACTGGGACCGATTCGCGTCGTTCCACTACTGCCCTTGGTGGGGGCCCGCTACCATACTATATGACTCCCGGAGTTTACTAAAGCACGTTAGTGGAGGAACCAACCACAGTCTCACAATCTGTCTCCGGCAAGAGCGGCCAGAGAACCAACCCATGCCAAGGGCCGGTAAACGGTTGGACCTTCGGACCGGGTGTCCGTAGTGACAATGATCAACAACTCCGTACCTGGGGCTCGAACGCGGGACCTCCGTATCCCACGACGTTCAACCGCAAAGTATAACCTCAGTCTACGCCACTAGGCTACCCTGCTTAGGTGGCAAAACTGCTAAATATTAATGTAGTTGTTACAATTATTTGCTTGGATAAACATTGATATTACATTTCTTAATTGATTAATCGGATTTGGTTGGAATCGAAGCTCGACCAACGATCAAGGCAATGCAATCAACAACTCTTGCAAATGTGAACGAGAGTCGTAAAGACAGAAAGTACAAGAATCATGATCAACGTAAAGTATAAAATTTAAGACACATCTTTGAATATAGGGTAGGAGAAACATTCCAAAATGAAGAAGAATCATTTAGAACATTTGATTTGTTGCCAATATATCAATTGCGTCTCAAATGAATGAAATAAAAGGTATCGCGGGCCACTAAAGCCGGTGAGTGAAAACAATTATTATTGACGCATCTAGATCCTCAATATAACGGTAAGAGAATAGGTTTGTGTAGATACGTCGAGGAAAATAAGCTATTTCGACGCTTAAAATAATCTGATTACGCTTATTAATAATTACGCGTGGCTATTAAACACAAGTGTTGTGTAGAACAATAACAAGAAAACTGAACGACCTATTAAGGAACTGTACTTCAGTTTCAAAGTGTGCAAGAAATAATCATGTTTCTTAACCACTAAAGACTAACATTTTCTTCTATTTTAATTCTGTACATAATTTTCTATCAAAACAACTTAGTTTTTGCACTGTTATTTACCTTTATTCAAATTCTAGGGATTTTCAAGTTTTCTGAAAATGGTCGGGCTAAATCCCCATTGACATAATGTTGAAAAACCTTCAAAAGTTCATTTACTCTTACAAGGATCACAATTTTAATGTGAAATCACAATCCATGTGTCACTGAACAAAACATAAAATTGTTATATTTATAAATCTATTTAAAAATAACATGTATGGCATTACAATGGCGTAGCATAAAATATGATAAAAGTTATATCATAAAATCATTCATAACTCATTAAACTAAAATTAAATCCGTAGTTTTTTGTATGCACCATGCTCAATCGGATTTAAGTTTTCACCAAAATGTATGTGATGAGAAAAAAATGCATGCAACTTTTTTGCAAATCCCTATGGTGTATGTTGATTTGCCCAAAACTAGACAATTTTTCAAATTGCATTCCTCCAGTATATTGCAATACATTTCTTCTCATCTCCTGACAAACACAAATGTATAAGTTATTTTTGTCCCATAGTTCCATCAAGGCCCCCATACTTTATATGGTGACAATATTGGGCCAATTTATCACCCATAGTTAAATGCTCATATTAAAGCATATTACATCTTCATGCAACGATATTTACTCTGTCAATGGTTCATAAAGGAAAGCAAGGAGAAAATAGTCCAAATAATGTCAATAATACTGATGAATGGTTATAAATTCAAATGTTTGAAAAGCTAAAGGCCTTGCTAAAATAAGAAATTATACATTATTTGAATGTTATGAAAAGATTCAAAGTTTGCATAAGCTTTTGATGAAACTTAATTTAGAATCCATTTTCAAAACCAAAATTCAAGGGCCTGTATCTGTAAATGTACTTTCCGAGCTTTTACACAAACCTACCGAAATCTTGAACTCGCAAGATATACTATGTATTTAATTTTGGGTTAACTTAGGATAAAAATAAAGACAAAACCCATTTGTTCCTCTTAGTTACACAACTAAATAACCGTATGCCAGTTAACATTCACATGTGACATTTTTTTTGATTTTCTTGATGAATTGTCATGGATGTTGCATTTGACATTATCTTTTTTAATTGTCAAATTAATATTTTGCTCCGATTGATACTTCTCAGTAGTACATGCAGAAATGTTCCATTTATGTTGTGACAGTTTGCAAAAAGTGAATTCTTCTAAAATTCACTTGTACTCATTTCATAAATCAATGCCTTTGCATTGTGTAACGATGAAATAAATCATGAAAATTGCATACACACGATGAAATAAATCATGAAAATTGCATGCAAACGATGAAATAAATCATGAAAATTGCATACACACGATGAAATAAATCATGAAAATTGCATACACACGATGAAATAAATCATGAAAATTGCATGCAAACGAGTTTTACTTTCAACAGAACATTTTACCTATAAGTAGTTATAATGCCCAGATTACATGATTCCAAGACAAGAAAATATAGCAATATTACAACAACAATATTCTATTCTCCTACATCAACTCCCGACTCTCGGGACCATGTCAAAATGCATGAGGCAATTAATGCATTTGAAGCAATTAACGCTTTCGAGTCAGTGTTTATGCCAAGGTCACATTTGCTCTGATTCATCGGCCGGTGTGAAAGAAATGATGGTCTCCCAGGGATTATGGTCCCCTTTCTTAACGGCCCTTACTGGCCCTGATTGCATATAAGATAATGAGGGAAAGAGTAATATTTAGGTCACCATATAAATCAATGGAGAGTAGGACCATAATTTGATAGGACCTCCTACCCTTTTACACCTGGCGATGAATCGGAGCAAATGTGACCTCAGGCATTACTGAACTATTCACAAAATAATGATAAAATCTCATTTACCAAAAGTATGTAATGATCACCCCAAAATAAATTCTAAACTTCAACATTAAAATAAAATGACATGGTCCCGAATGGTCAAATTTCCTATGTTAGAATGAACTTCATCTATAATTTGTTAAGTTTATATATGCCTATCCTAGTATATGTCTGTGTGTACAGAATTATAGTTGCACTAAAATAACGTTTTTAAAGCATATTTGCAAACAGAGCAGATGCTGAATTTAAGTACTGCAAATCTGTGTATCTGAACACCTTTCAGATTGAAAGCTTTCTCTATTCCAATTTTTTTTATATATCATGTACATGTACTTCCAAGTTGAAAAACCTTACAATTATATTTACCAGAAGTTACCAATATAAGTACATGGTAATGTATAACTGTCTAATTCACTTGCATCTTCATATTCTTTCAAAATCACCTTTGAGTGTGGCATATACTAATACATATTACTGTTAATTGCCTTTATTTGTGTTATTTAATTTGGCAGATTGGGCAAATTCTGAAACTTCAATGTGCAGTATGGCAAGTGATTTTAGACGGTCATATCTTTCACCATGGGTACTTTCTAACCATCAATACAGTGGTTTTTATAAAAACAATATGTTTTCTTACAAGTGGAGTCCCCATGATAGTAAAATATCATTCTAACTCTCTGAAAAATTATGGATTAGGACCCCACCTTCGCACTTTTTAAAAAATGTTAGGCTCATTTTCTAAAAAGAGGATCTGGTTTTTCTCAATTTAAACATATCAAGTTTCTTCTACACTATATTTACGATTTCTGAAAAGGGGATGCATATTGAAATCCGTTAAAGTTAAAAACCACATATACAATGTTATTTTTCCAGAGGGAAAACTAGTGCTATCCATTGTTTTCAGCATAATTTTGGTCATCAAAAATTGATATCTTCAAAACTAGACTTTCGACACCATTCAACTTTTGAAGACGTTTTTGAAGACCCCTTGTTGAATAATCTTTTCATGCTTAAAAACCAGAATAAGAAGATTCTCTTTTGAGTAAATAGGTTCAACATTTTGAAAAAAGTGTGGACATGGGGACCCTATTCATAAATTTTCAAATTGTTCAATTGATATTTTTATCATCATGGACACTTTACTCTCCTGGTATTAGATTGTTTTATCTGTAGACCTTCGGATATAGTTTCAAATTGACATTTTATCAATGGTTCAACCAGATTTTCACCAAGTTTTATCATCCAAAGTAACACATGGAAAAGGCAATGAACGAAAATCCCTGGGAATATCATTTTCAAAAATTGGCGGACACTTAAGTTGGCAGTTTTTATCAATCCGCCAAATCAGCAAAATTAAAACGGCAGTCAAATTAAAACAATTTACAGTACAAAGTTCAACCGTCAAGTCCTTTCCCTAGTAACCATACATATATTTAGAAGTACCATAGAGTTCTTAATCTTCAGTTGCACAAATCACAAATTCCTACAAGTATTCAAGTCCTTTTTCAGATCACATCATATGCTTCCATAAATCCAGGTTTTTGAGTGAGGTATGTGATAATCGAAGACTATTGAAAATTGTCAGTTATTTCAATATTTGGTGTACAAATGCGAAACAGTTACAGTATAGTCCAAATGACTGTGCCCAAATCAATGTCCTCGTCACATAAGATGTGATTTCTAGTCTTCAATGCTTAATTAGTATATACTGCCTTGTGTCTCAAGTATGGGAGATCTGAAATGAAGTAAGAATGACATATTTTTTAACTGAGATAAACATGGTCTCACAAGTATCTAAATCTAAATGACTGTAGCTGGCAGACTTCAGAAGTAATTCGCGAAAACTGGAATTCAAAGTTTCTTGAAATCTTACTGTTTATTATTTACGTAATTAGCCTATTTGAACATACCCTTAATGTGGTGTGTATCTTCACATAGTGTTTAGGGGTCTCAGGCAACAACATTGCTTTAGACAGTGTAGAAGACTGTGGAGTTTCATCCTGCTCCCTGAAATCAAATATGTAAACCCCATAGTGTCATTGAATAAAACATGCCTAAGTCGCATTCATAGTTTTTACTATGAAATGAAATCCTGTGCTAAGGGCCGTTGTGAAAAAGTTTATCTTTGACTTATTTATCTTATTTTTTCTTTATGTGAATCTTCTTACTTACTCTGATTAGAATGAGAGCATTTTTCAAAAAACAGAAAATCAAAAACTAAATGGCTTCACACTATACTTTTTTGTTTTTGGTAATCTGTATTTTGTATTACTTTGTAGTAATTGTTTTCCCTTAGACATTTTATTACTTACCATTTTTTCTTTGTGCCCCATGGTTCTCTTAAAAGACTTCTGGCTCTTGATGATTTAGATGAACCTATGTCTTTGTTACGTTCACAATTGGACAGCTCTAAATCATCATTATAGCAAGCACCAGGATCGGCAATTGAGGGCCACTCTCCAGATTCAAGGTAAGTTTGGGAAACATTAGAAAGTCTTGGATTTGGGAAGTCTACTTTATCATGTTCAGCACAATTGTCTTGTGTCGAAACACCATTGTATTGTATGGAGGTACCATTGTATTGTGTGGAGGCACCATTGTATTGTGTGGAGGCACCATTGTATTGTATGGAGGCACCATTGTATTGTGCGGAGGCACCATTGTCTTGTCTGGAGGTTAAATTGCCTTTCTTGCATGTATTTCTAAGTTTTGATAAATATTCAGCTTTATTAAGCGAAAATTTTCCACATTTTTGGCATCTACATTTTTTCCTTTTAACATATTTACGTTTCTGAGCTGAAGGTGGCTTGTCTTGAGTATCAAGCCCAGGGGTTGGGTAAAGTTGAGTAAAATCGTGCAACAGCGACTTCCTAGAAGAAATCCTATGATCAGTTTTGAGCTGTTCCAAATATGCAAACATTTCTGGTTTAGAACCTTCATTACTTCCTGTACTGCTGGGGACCATTTCAATTCTGTTAGAAGGGGTCTTGATATTTGTGTTGCTATCATCGTCCAATTGTCCCAAATATGGGAACATATTTTTTGAACTATCCATACTTCCTGCGCTGCTTGGTACAAATTCAATATTGTCTGAAGGGCTAGGGCAGTCTTTTAAAGGGGAATTGTTATTTTTGTCTGATGGAGAGATTAAAGGTTGATCGACCATGTGGTCATTGATGTAGTTCTGAAGGAGAGGGTGGTATGAGTTGTTGCTCAAGTCTGAACTAAGGGGCCCTTCTTCAATAGCATCTAAGGGGTCTCCATTTGGAGTTGCACTCAGTTGTTTCTTGAATGGATAATTTTTACTGGATGTGGATGATAAGCCACTGATGCTGCCCTCTAGTGAGCAAGTTGATGTAGCAGACGTATCACTGGATTGTTTCCGTAAAAAGTATGTCTTTGATGCTGATGAACTGGATGAGTGTGCCATGTTGGCTGAATTTGGAGTCAAAGCCATTGTACAGCCATCTTTAATAGGGGTTGTGGATGCCTCAAGAACATCAGTGATGACATCATCTGCAGATGTCAAGCTTGGTTGTTCAATATTGGAGCTGATGGAGTCAGACATGACATCAGCCGCCAACTTTGAAGTCCAACCTTCTGAAGATGTCAGTTTGCTAAGCTGTCGCTCCATATTCTTCAGTTTGGATATCACAATAGAATTATCCTTCAATGGTGCATCATTATCTATTTGGTCCAAACCATTGGTAATATTTCCTTCTTTTGCGACTTTAGGGATATCGTCATCGACAGTATCATGAATTCTTGATTGGAGTTTCTTTATGACATTGTTTGAGTTCATCTTTATTGGTGTGCTGTTGGTTGAAGGGGTCTTAATAGGTGTGCTGTTTGTTGAAGGGGTCTTCCCAGTGCGCAATTTCATTGGGGAGTCAGTATCACACTGCAATGCTGTTTTATCTTTAAAACCATCAGAGGGTAACAAAGATTTGACAAAGCCTTGATAAAGCTTTGTTGTCATAGCTTTCGTCTGTTGAGGATCCTCAATAACCTTATTGATTGGCTTTCCAGATTTTGGGGATTTAGGGGGATGATCTAGATGGGGTTGAGTTGATTTTGGGGTGCTATCAATGCAGGCTTGCTTTAATTTCGGGTTACTGTCAATAAATGGTTGTGTTGATTTCGGAGTGTCTTTTACTAAGGACTGCGTTGATCTTGGGGTATCTTCTGCATTTTGAGTTATCTTTTTGGGACTTTCTGGTGACATTTCATTAATCATAACATCTAGATCTTCAAGTCCTTTCAACACTGCTTCATTAAGTTCTTCAGAACTTGAACTATACAGATCGAATTTCTCCATTTTTCCTCCACCCTCCCCAGCAGCCTCCATACTGGGTTCAATTCGGCGGCTTTTTAATTTGGATAGATTTGAATAAAAACTATCCTCCTGATTCCAACCTTTTGGGGGGAGCAGTTCTGCAAGTATTTTGGATGGCTTAGATTCTTGCTTATCTGGCTGATTTTTACTGTTCTCTGAGGGGGAGCTCTCAGGCACTGTCATGGCTTTGGCCTCAGGTTGAACTTTACTGTACTCTGAAGATGAGCTCTCAGGCACTGTCATGGCTTTGGCCTCAGGTTGAACTTTACTGTACTCTGAAGATGAGCTCTCAGGCACAGTCATGGCTTTGGCCTCTGATTGAACTTTACTGTTCTTTGTAGGGGAGCTCTCAGACACCGCCAAGGCTTGGAGATCGGTGAAGTTCATCTGAGCATAGTAGCTATCATTTTTTGACCATCCTTTTGGGGGCTCTAAAAGTTTCCGGACAGCTGAAGGCAGTTTTGTCTGCAATCCCTCCGATACTGTCTTATAAAAATCTCGATCCAGAAAATCAGCTGTTGGAGCAATTTGTTTTAATTCCTTTGGAAGGACCCGTGTGGCCTTCACTGTTGGTTCTTCAGTTGGATTAGGCTCTGTGATGTATGTCCAGAATTTAGAGCCTTGTTTACCCGATGAGTTCCGAGCCATTATTGGCAAAGTAGATGGGGAAATATGGGTTCCGGTGTTCCGTTTGGAGTCCGCTGATCCATTTCGCCAGTTTAAGTTCAATCTTGGGGGTTTCTTGACAATATTACTACAAAATAAATCTCCAGTTTCTAATGACGTCACTGTACACACTGGACCAGTTATGCCATGTTCTTTGAAGAGGTTATTGCGTCCCAGATCAACAATCGGAAGGGCCCTTTTTCGGGGACTTTTCCACGGTGAATAGCCCAATGTTTGTTTTGAGAGCATTTTGGTGGGACGTTTTGAATTGAGATATGTGTATTTTTTGGACTTCTGAGTGTGGGTAGCATTTTTCGTGTGCTTTGATAGACTAAGTCGTGACTTGCCACCAGGTGTTGCCTCCTTGTAACGTTTAGACGTAGGCAAATCACTATCATCCTCGTGTTTTCTCTTCCTCATCAAATCTCCTATAAAGAAAATAGAATGTGCAATATTTTAGATAAGGCTCTTCAAACTTGACAAAAGTGTGAGTATATAATGTTAATCTCTGATTATACAAGAATAATATATAATACATGTACAATTGTACATGTACTTGTGAACTCATTATAGCTGCTACCACTGTCATTCACTATTTCAGGGTTAACAAAAAAATGTATATCCATTTTTATATTATTTTCCAAACCATCCAAAATTCCCTTTTTCAGGTCTACCGAATTATGGATCCATTTTTATGTTATTTTCCAACACAAAGTTCACTATTTCAGGACTACTATATTATGGGCCTGTTTTCAGCCTTGAGCAATAGTATGGTACATGCTTATTGAACCAATTACCTGGTCCAGGATATCCACTGCTAGCTTTGTGCTCGGCCAAATGCTCAGTCCATTTTCTCTGTAGTTCCTTCTGTTTATCTTCTGACACTCCTTCAACTTTCAACTGCGACAATTTTACAAACTTGTTATGGCTCACCCTTCGCACATCTGTAATACAAGGCCATTTATTTTTTTCTCCACTCAATCTGACAATATTTACATCTACTTTTAACCTTGGGTACATTAACAATAACAAGGCATTAATACGCAAAATGTCACTAAATGCCATTTGTCACAGATGCCGACTACCAAATGCTGAATGCTCCACTTCAGGTGGAGTATTCATAAAAATGAATCATATTTTAAATGTCAAAGTATCAACCAACAACCTATTTGCCATTCTAGAATTGAGAAATGCTTAAGTTTGAAGATTCCAAATTTATAATGGGGTTTAATTAGAATGTGTCAAAATTTAAAATATCTTGAATTTTTTTATCCAAAAATATTATCTTGAAATAATATGGCACTACTATAAAACAATCATCCAAGAACACGAAAATGTCAAGAGGAAAAATCAAAAAACAACCATGAGAATTCAGTTGTGATTTTCATATGCTGACATAATAGTGCTATATTAAACATAATTGAAAGACCGAATGTTTAAATATTGGATTTTATTTATGTTTTCGTTTCATTAATTTAATTGTTACTTTCAATTCAATTACCCTTCTAATTACATAAATGTCTGTTGAAGCAAAAAATTTAATTGCAAAATATTTTTTTGAAGTCCAGTAAGTTACCTTTCTTTTGTATGGCCTCACAGTTCTTGCAGATCCAGTCAACCTTGTTGTGTTTGAATCCTGCACACTCTAAATGTGTTCCTCTTGATCCACAGTTGTCACATAGAATGATCTCCCACTTGCTGAAAAATGTCATGTTGGTCATGTTTTGAAATGCAAAATAGAGTGGAAAAGAGTGAAATCAGCAAGGAATAAAGTAGACTGGGATATAGTGAACACTCTAAATTGTATAGAAATGCAAAAATATCAGACAGTTCATTCAAATTTTAGAGAGAAATGGCCAACTTTAACTGTTGTTTGATGGAAAATAATTTTATTTTATCAACAGTTGTCAAATATGGTCTACCACTTGCTGAGAAATGGGACATTGTCATATTTTGAAATGCAAAACAGAGTAAATAGTAGAAACATCAGCATGAAATAAAGTAAACAGACATGTAGTCAACACTCTAAATTGTATAGAAATGTAAAAAAAATTGGACAGTTCTTTCAAATTTTAGAGAGAGAACAGCTCTTATGTAACGTCTCTCATACATTTGTATTTCGATTTTATAACAGTAAAATACCTGCATGGTTTATCATATGATCTTCCTTTTGGGCAGACACACTTTTTAAGGTCGCAACGACAGTGACGCTCAAGTAGATCTTGATAAGCATTGGGTTCCAATTCCCATGCAGCATCCCTGTTAAACAAAATTATATTTAAAATATTTCTGAAATTCCAGTCATGCTTTAAAACAATTTTGAGTAAGGATATAATTTTGAGAGCTATGTTCATAGTTACAGATAACTTTTGACAACTAATTTTAAATTCCACTTCTCTACAATGATTAACAGTAATTGATAATTTTACCTAAGAATAATGAACAGAAAAAACAAATACAGTAAATCCTGTCTTCGTAGAACACCTTTGGAACCTCTAAAGTAAGTTCATCTTGGAAATCTGAAAAGTGATACACTAACAGAGTTGTTCCCCTTCTAGAGATGTTCCACTTAACAGGTTTCATAGGAGTATAAAACAATAGATACCTATCAGGTATATAGATTCCGAACTCTAGCATTGTACTCTGGAATTCATCCTTGTTGTTACATAGGGGACACTTGAAGAAGTGTGTACCTGATGCCAGGGCAGTTTGCTGAAATAACAGACAAGGCATTAACACGCAATATATCACCACCTGTCATTTGTAACAAACACACTGACTGCTCACCACTGTCTACAAAAAAGTTGGTGACCACTTGTGGTGGAGACATAACAAATTGCATAAAAATCAGACATCTGAAGCATTTTCAGTTGCAGCAGATTCAAAGAGTATTGAAAAATTGGGATAAAATAATTAAGGAAAATTTTGATATTTTGACTAGTGTAGGTCATTTCTTATTATCCGTCAAGAGGTAGAGTTACTGTTTGCATTCAGTTGAGAAATTTTTTGCATTTATATGGATGGTTATTTATTTGACCACCTGTCATTTGTAACAAACACACTGACTGCTGACCACTGTCTACAAAAATATCCACAAAATTCAAAATTCCCTAGAAATAAAGATTCAACTAAATGAAACACTATATAGAAAAACAAAAAAGACGCCATACATATTTTTAATAATATTTACCTGGATGCATTCCCTGTGAAACCAAGAGTTCTTACAACAAGGGGCCTTCATTGTGGTGGTACTAATTTCTGTCTTCATTTCATGCATACATATCGGACACGTCATAATTTTCTGCTTTACTGGCGTACTTGATATCTCCTCAATAGAGAGCTCTTGTTCTGGCCTGTGGTCCTCACAGAAAGACCTGAAATATTACAATTACAAGGCATTAACATGCAAAAGGTCACCACTTGCCATTTAATGCAGATACAAAACACAGACCATCAAACACCAACCACCAAATGCTGAACATAAGCAACAAATGCCAAACATCATCCACAAAAAAAGTTGTAGACTATAACAATATGTATCTACTTATGGAGGAGACATAATAAACTGAGACTTCTGAATATTTTCAAAGATTTTAACTCCACTGACTTCTCATAGAGTGAACTGGAATATTCTAATGTTAAAGAGAGACTTTTAGATTCAATATATGTACAGAGTGCTCCAGAAGTACAGTATCAAAGATATTGCCATTTCAATTCCACTGAACCAATTATATTTAACTTGGAACAGATGTTCTTTTAACTTTAACTGAATAATTGTACCTCAATATTAACCTCTTGACTACCTGGAGTGACAAGATTTCTCGTCACCTCAGAAATGACCTTGAAACCCAGTGTGACGAGAAAATCTGTCACAAAAGTTTTCATTAAAATTGCTCTTATTTGAACAATTTTCATCCAATTTACACATAAATTGTATTAAAATGTGTAGAAATGATCTCGGCTGTCTAATTGTACTAAGTTGAGCATCTAAAGTGTATAAGTATGTAGTAAAATGTCAAAAGGTGGCAAAAATGAAAATATTATCTGGTTTCAACTGATTTTAGAGCGTGGGATTCAAGAGGTTAAGGAGTCATTTGCTAAACTGGACAAAATCATGTTGCTATGGTAATCCAATATGTGACAAACAAAGAAAAAAATGTTTTTATGAATGGATGCATAGGTAAACCTGATAATTAAGCACCTTCCCAAGCACTGATCACAGTAACAGAGAAAAATTGTCAAATGATTAACTTAACCTAAATCTTTTCCATAATATATAATAATTTAAGCCATAACACCTTAAATTCTGATTAGAGTAGAGGGCTTATTTTGATATGTTAGATATTTCTTTACCTGAAGTTTCCATAAAACTGGTGAAGTGTTGCATTTTTGCGCCCACAAGGAAGATGAAACATTTGTCGACATGATTTATAAATGCACCCGATTGTGGCTCCAAGCTTCTTGCAGTAGATGCAGCGCTGAAATAGAAATAATTTTATTATTGAGTAGCTTGAAGAGGAATTTGGGAATTCCTAGATTTTTGAGGATCTCTGGATTTCAAATTCAAATAACAACTTAGGCTATGGGCCAGCCCTTAATTTGCGGTATGGAAGTAAAATTTTGGATACCAATGTTAGTTACATCCTAAAATGTAATTCTAACCACAATTTGGCAATAATGAAGCATCGTTTTTCAGCGTTCAGGAAAAAATCAATATTAAGATCCCCCGTCACAAATAGGTGGTAAATAGAAAATAATCAACTGGACCAAGAACTTACCAGACGCTTTCCTCTGCGAACTTCTTTGTTTATGTCCACTGGCAGGAACCCAAGTAAACCAGATGTGTCCGTTTTTCCGTTCTGGCTCAGTCCACTTGCAAACAACTGAAAATACAAAATAATTCAAATCAAAAACGGACTCTTGTTTTACACTGAATTCTTCTTCTACTACAATCAAAGTACATGTATAAAGCATGGAGATGCTTAAAAAATTCAAAAATGCTTTTCACATGTACAAGTTCCCATACAAAGAGTAAGGTGACAATGTCAGGTTAAGCATTAATAATTAGGTTTGATACCAATACCATTATTCATTATGACAGCTCAGATTTTCTGACTTGTCTATACGATGTAACCTTTGACTTCGTGGATATCTTATTTCTTGATATTCTATAAGTTTTCAGTCCAAGTAATTAAAGATTCAAACATTGGCCAACGAAGTGTGTCAATTTTCTAAATATGAACGGACAATTACACACAATGAGAGACAAGTTGTTTTCCAGGAATCATGACAATCAAGACACAAAGTGATAAATACTGCACTTTAAGGAACTCAGCAGCACAACAACATAGCACTACTTCAAAGGGGGATAAGCAGGAAACAACCACAATAAACACAACCATGATCACACAATCATCATGATGGCTATATCCCACCAGTGGTGTGATCAAAACGACCAAGAGTCATATCTTCATATACTCTTTTCACTTACCATACAGAAGTAATGGACAGTAAGGCCTGGACTTTGAAGTAATTTCCCACATTTCATCTCATCATCTACTCCATCGTCGCAGAAAATACACACACCAGGGTCTAAAACATAAAACCACATAAATTTGAGTTGGTCGTTTGATCAATGTCTCGTTTATACCATTCAGTCAGCAGGGAGATGGAACAGAGAGATGTCATCTCCATGGAATAAGTTTGTAATATATACTGTAGATTGGGTTAATTTCGTGCCCGCTTTAATTTGGCGAATTTGGCGAAATTGAAAAATTCGCCAATATAAATCTTCGCCAAAATTTCAGAGAATGAATCCCCGGGAATTATCTAGGGTATTTCGTCCAGTGTATTTAGGTCACTTCGGGTTTAGTTTTTTCAAAAAATATGAAAAAGTGTCTCTCATAAATTGGCTCAGAACTGGTCAGTCACTTATTGATACTCAGGGAAAAACTAGAAAAGAAAAGTGCGGTATAGTAGCAGCATCGATTGAGGTGCAAAATGTAAAGGATGATCTCACAAAAATGTACAAACGTGGTGAATATCGCCAGTGGTCCTCAAAAGAAAAAATGAACATAGCCAAACATGCCCATTTACATGGTAATTCGCAAACAGCGCATACGTTTAACATTTTTATGCATATCGACCAAATTAAATAGCTGCCAATATGCCAAAAATGGCAAAATCGCCAAATTAAGTAGCGCCAAATTAACCCAATCTACAGTAGCCATCATCCAATAAATCTTTAGTGTATTGTTTTTCTATTTTACAGCTTTTGATAACAATTTACATGTACAGTGTAGTTTAATATAATTTATTTCTGTGTCACAAGTATTTCGCTAAAATACACCATTTTAAAACATTTTAAAATTGCATTTAGCCAATGCCAGCTTCTAAAACATAAATTTAGTAGATATTTGGATAATATTTAAAGTACAAATGAAATAGGTTTTCTCAACTTGCAACTACAAAAATGGTTTCCTGCAATGTAAGTGCAGCGTAGAGTTCTCGTGATAATCATCACAAAACATTTAAATATTGCTTAATTTTACAGGCACCACATTCAGTAGGATGAAACAATTGCGACATTACTGATTGTTACAAATGCCAAACACTAACTGCCAAACACCAGCCAAACACTAATTGCCAAACACCAACCACCGCATGCTGACTGCTGCACACCATCCCTCAAAAAGTTGGACTCTTTAAAAAGATGTCACCACTTCTAGTGCTTCTAATAGTGACATAAAAATTGTAAAATAATATAATATTATCTTACCTCTGACTTTTAAAGCATCTTTTTTATTTTTCTTAATGTATGTATAGTCAGATTTTCGGGCAATAACTTAAAAATAAGCAAAATATAAATAAATAAACAATACCATATATAAATTCTCAAAATATGCAATAAATAGATACAAATTAATATTTAATAGGAAATAAAATTTCAAAATATGCAATAAAACAGTATACAGTACATATTCAAAAATTGACTGTTTAAAATATATCCTTAACTCATTGCTGACCAACCCCGAGATATTTCGTCTATGACGTCATAATCGTATGTGACCAACCTCGAGATATCAGGATGCTGTCCAGTAATTGTCACATAATCTGTACTAGTTATCTTACCATATATTCTAATGGTCACTAGGGGTAGGGTGGTAGGGTGCAATTGAAATATTTTGTCATTGGCTTCACATCTAACTTAGCGCATATGGAGTTGATACAGTCTATTTTATGCTAATGTGAAAACATACAATTTTGCTTAATCTTCCATCAAAATTGGCAGTCACCAGCAGAAAACCTCCAAAAATAGCTTTGGCCAGCAATGAGTTAAGAATAAAACCAAGAATTCAAGTTGTGGTTCAAGTCAATCAAATGAAGAGGTCTATTTTTGTTAGTCCAAACATTTTAACTTTTAACCCAACAACGAAACTTAACACTCATATTCCATTAAGATTTTCACAATTCATTATTATGACATCACCTATTGCTATCAATCTACAGGGTAGTTTGTCTCAAAATGTGCAGACAAGAAAAATGAATCAACTCACCCCCTGGATGTAATGTTCTAAAGTGACTACTGTAACTTTTATAGTTGCCATATTGCTTCTTGCAGGGTTTGCACTCGTAAATTTTTCCATCATTTTCATTCCCTAAGAATAACAGAAATTCCTAATTATTAATACAAGACATTTACATGTAAAATGTCACCACCTGCCATTTGTTACATTTCATATAGGCACCAAATGTTGAATACCAACAGCCAAACATTGTCCATAAAAAAGTTGGAGACTATAACAATATGTCACCACTTTTGGAGGTGAGGTGACATAAATAAAACTAGAAAAACAGCAACTCCAAGGAGTAGCAAATCCAACCGAACAGCCACATTGAAAATTTCTTCTCAAGCAGAGCTCCTTTATCTATAGGCATCAGTATATAAAATTTGAAGTAAATCCGTCCAATGGTATTTGAGTTATCAAAGATTACCTTTTTTATGAAAAATGGCAGCCATTTTGAAATTCAGCTGACCCCTTTGAAATTTCTTCTGAAGCAGATCTCCTATTTCCCTAAACATCAGGATATAAAATTGGAACCAAATCCATTCACTGGTATTTTAGTTATCAATGATTATGTTTTTTTTAACGAAAAATGGCGGCCATTTTGAAATTTAGCTGCCATCTTGAAAATCCCTTCTCGAACAGAGCTCCTATGTCCCTAGGCATCAGCATGTAAAATTTGAACCAAATCCATTCAACAGTATTTGAGTTATCAAAGATAACATTTTTTACAAAAAATGGCCCCCATTTTGAAATATGGTTGCCATCTTGAAAATGTCTTCTTGAGCAAGGTTCCTTTGTACCCAGGCAACAGCATATAAAATTTGATCCAACTCTATTCAATGGTATTTGAGTTATCAAAGATAACATTTTTGACGAAAAATGGCCACCATTTTGAAATATGGTGGCCATCTTGAAAATGTCTTCTTCAGCAGGGCTCCTTTGTACCCGGACAACAGCATATAAAATTTGAACCAAATCCATTCACTAGTATTTGAGTAATCAGATTATATTTTTTCCGAAAAATGGCCGCCATTTTGAATTAAGCAGCCATATTGAAAATTCCTTCTCGAGCAGAGGTCCTCAACCCATAAGGCATAAGCCTATAAAATTTGATTGAAATCCGTTAACCGGTATTGAGTTATTGCCCAGACACACGAATGGACGGACGGACGAACGGACGGACGAACGGACGGACGGCTTTTCTATATCCCCCTCGAACTTCGTTCGGTGGGATAAAAAGTACTTTTACACATTAAAATATCCTGTGGTTTATATAGATACAATTTAAGCTTGATTTCTTGCTGTGATACAAAATTTCTCAATGTTTGACAATTTCAAAATTCCTGACATTCTAGGCCCACTAAGAATTCGCCAAATTACATCTAACTAAAACATGACTGCCACAGTTCACTATATTGGCATTCAGTCATTCATTGCAAAGAGTGAAATTTGGTCGCCATTGGCAATCAGACAGTTGTAAATTTTAAAACATTCTAAAAAGTTTTGTGCTCAAGTAGACACATCTGGACAGTTTTTTTCTGTAAATGCACTCATTGCCATTGAAGCTCTCTTTTAAATCGGCAAAACAAACTACCAAAAAGGATACTTTACCTTGAACAGGCACTAAAGATGTTGAATTCTGATTGGTTGAACTTGCTGTCTTCTGATTGGTCGAGGTTATGGCATGGTTGCCTTGACCTTCAGGATGATTTTTCTTAACATGACTGTAGCAACTGTAGTAGTTGTTGTACTCTCTACCGCAGTGTTTGCATGTGTAAATTTTAAGATTCGGACCTAGAGGATCAGAGAGATGTTTCATATCATTAAAGGGGCAACAAATATTAGAGACAAGGTGGGAGAACTTATTTTAAAATGTGTCAATATTTGTTTACAAAATTCTTGACTCACAAGCTAACTACATACATCTGATTACATCATGCTTATTATCAAAATAGTTCAACTGTTAAAGGGGCAACAAATATTAAAGACCGGCTGAGAGTACTTTTTAATAAATCTGTCAACATCTTTATAATATCTTTCTCTCACAATTACCTACATCATGCAATATCAATAGTTAAATGTTCTGACTTAATTTCATGATAATAGTTATCTTTCAATTACTTTTGAAAAGTGGATGTCCAAGTTTGGTTTCTTAATTTTTGGAAATTCCATCATCAGAAATCATCAATAACTTCAATATTTGATCAGATATATTAATTATTTGTAATATAATAAAAGTAAGATAATGTATGTTTTTGAAAATATTACTTCCATCATTTCCAATCTCTTCACTGCCGCTTTACTTTCAATAAACATATATTTATTTAAATAAAACAGTGAATTTGACTTCTTGATTTTGTTTGAAAAAAAAAGTTTACAAAAGGTAACATAAACAATTACCTCGAACAGGTTCTGGAGTTGCTGAAGTAGGCTTGTTTTTCTCGGGACTTGTTTTTTTCTCATTTGTTGAATTTGGCTTATTGATGATGTCACTCTCCGAGGGCTCACCTAATTATCATAAATTATAAACAATGATTCACATAATTATCACAAACAATGCTTCACAAAATTATCATAAATGATAATATGCCTAATCATTATAAACAATGCTTCACCTAATTATCATCAATAAAGCTTCACCAAATTTCAATTATCATAAATAATGCATATGTCAGTGATCATTTTAAACACTGCTTCACATAATTATCACAAATAATCTTTACTATCAATGTTGACAGATGTTCCAATGTAGGGACCATTTTCTCATGTCATTTTCTAGAATTAACAATATATCATATTTCAGCAAAAAAATGGATGCCTAACCAATCATGTGGGCTATGTGTGAGCCATAAAACACTTACGGAAATGTACTGTTGTGATATGAGCTGTGTACTTCTTTTTGCCAACAAATATCTTGGGACAACATCTGCATTTGTACCAGCTTGCAGCTGCAAGACAAAAATCCTTGTATTTGTAGTTCTATGTTGACAATACAGTAAAACCTGTAATACAAACATCTCCCTATCTGACCATTTTTAGTCCCATTTTTTCCTCCCATTGACTTTCATGTTAAAGAACCATACTAAAATTAATTTGAATCAGATTTTCAAATTATTGGAATGCTGTGGTCAATAGAACTATAATTATTTATTGAGAATGTGTTCATATTTTAACAAAATTTTGTAATCTTCCGTTCACTCCCTTGTTAAGGGAACCTTGAGATGTGTACAACTGCTATGTAAAACGCTAGTGGGTAGTGGCCTTGCCCAGTGGCATTCGAATTAGACAGGTTTTACTGTACATATAAAATAAAGTTCAATCAATAGTATATTTTTCGAATTCTACAATTACAATTAAATGGTGAATCTATGAAAATCATAAATCATTTATTGTCCCAATACTCACTTCCACTGTCTGGCTTGATGACATCATACTGATAAAAACCCTGATTTGCTAGAAATGAGAAACAAAATTAACAATCAACGCAATACAACAATAAATACAATGAATTAAATCATCAATGATCAAAATCATATGACCAATGAAATACTGTAAATTATTTCAAATTGGCAGTGTTTACTTTGGTGTATTTGCAATTTTCAGAACTATGATCGCTTTTTCAATCTGGTGGATTTTTGAAAAGTATCAAAATACAATACAATTATTAAAGTAAATTGCACTATGTCTACAAAATAATGAAATATGAAGTGCAACCATAAAATGTCCATAATAATATTTAATTATATTTCATAGTTTTCTTTGAAAAAAATATGCTATACTATTCTTAAAAGAAAGATTTTGAGAAAATGGGTGTTGTGAAAAAAGCCATCTTGGATTACAAAGGTGTGAAATTGAAAATCAAACTGGTAAGTGAGTATAGAAAAAAGCAGGCAGAATCTGCTTCATGGGTAATCAAATTCTTGTCTTGCCACCTTCAAATGAAAGGGATGTTTACATTAACTTTGATTCATTTGAAAATTAGGATTTTGTACTTACGCCAGGAAAGAATCTTGGAGAGAACACTTGAGTAAGAATAAATCATGATCATCATGCAAAACATTATAACAATCTGACTAATTTGAAAATGTTTTAAACTTTTTTTAGTATGAGGTATAGGGCAAATAGTCTTGCCATTTATAAACAGACTTTAATCACATTGGGTCATATAGGATTAACTAAGGGTGCGCCATTAGAACTTAAGTACTAAAACATCTTTTCCTCTTTGCTGATCGCCCTAGGTTTTTGAAAGTTTCCCTCTACAAGATCTGATGGCACATCCCTATGCAGGCAGACATTAAAACAAATAAACAAGTAAACAATGAATATAAAGCAGTTATCAAAAATTAGGTCAATCACAATTATATTACTTGACATTATATTCATACTCTACCTTCATCAATCACTACAAAAAAAACAATTATATAGTAGACTGTAGCCCGGACAGAATTGTTCAATGGTCACTTTTTCTTTAATAACTTTTTTAATTTTCAGTCTTATCAAAATCTGATTACATATTTGAAAACTAGAGTAAAATTCTGACATACAAAAAAAATATTTAAGGAACATCTCTTAATGTATTGATATTATAGACGTTCATAGTATGAGTGACGCAAATACATAATTCACCATTTTGTCTCATATTTGTTCAAAAATGGCGGCATGTTTTGTGGTTTGAATATAAATGTTCAGTTGAAAGTTAATATTTAACAAATGTCATAGGCCTACAAAATCATGTAGGCTGCTGCCTTGGTATGAGTCAATGACTGCATTTATAACCCTTTGTTTTAAATTGACTTGCATGTATACCAATACTTAAAAAGGTTTGTACATTGTATGTACAGTATATTGGTTAGGTCGCAGGACTTATGTTGGCCATTCCATTGTTACTAATAGTGGATTAACAACCCTAGTTTGTTAACCTGTGCAACTATAGGGTCATACTGCCACAGTTTGTAATGTCTTTCCCAATCACATGCCTTTTAACCCATCCTTGACATGCATGTGAATTGTTTTCAGCTTTTCAATGGCCTCTGAGATGGTTGTTTGGAGCTCTTGAAAAGATTGAGGACCTACTCTCTACACAACTCGCACATTGGGGCGTCACCTTTTCACATCCTCTTGAACGCAACCCCTAACATTTCATTGGACTTGATATCATAATACCCTTGGAGGGAGTTAACTTCTTGTTTTTGATAAATGGTCAGTTGCTGCATTACATCAGGATTGTAACTGTGGTAGCATGGCTCTTTAGTCCAATGACAATCTTTAAATATCAACTTTCAACTGAACATTCAAATTCCCAAAATATGCCGCCATTTAGAACAAATATGAGGCAAAATGATGAATTATGTATTTGCGTCAGTCATACTATGAACGCCTATAATATCAATAAATTAAGAGATGTTCCTTAAATATTTTTTTTGTATGTCAGAATTTTACTCTAGTTTTCAAATATGCGATCAGATTTTGATAATACTGAAAATTAAAAAAGTTATTAAAGAAAAAGTGACCATTGAACAATTCTGTCCGGGCTACTATTCAATTAAATTAATATAAAATATAAAAGGTAACAAAGGACTTTGTCACAATCAACTCTAGTACATGTTGTATTAATGAGACTACTTTCTCACAGAATTCTTTGACATATCTTTTAAATATTCCAAGTGTTCTTCCGATTTATTATATGAAAATATTTTTATTTATAACATGTTTGGATTATTCTGAATACACAGCATTGCTCCCCAAGGATTTTTGTGTGGAGAACTTATTTTTCTTGTGCAACATTTTAGGATTTCTTTATTTTTTATTGCAACATTTTAGGAGGTCCATTGAATTGAATTAAAAAAACATTGAGGTGCTACGCCACGGTGTGAAGAGAGCACTGCACAGACATAATTCCTTGATCGTAACAAATTTTGACTGTCCTTTTTGCGTCTTAATGTAAATCTTACTGGACTTTGCTTCAAGATTGCTCCCTGTATACTAACCTTCAGGGTGGTTGTTTTTAAAATGCTTCCTGTATCCTCCTAAAGAGCACAGTATCTGGCTACATGCTCTACAGCAGTACCTTAAGTCCGCTTTATCTGCTGCTTTACTACAGCCAGACATCTTTCTCTCTGAAAATAATGACAAACTCGTAAAGAACATGAACATGATCGAAGTGCAACATAACAAATAAGATCTACGTCAGTAATCATTTCCATTATAACTTTTTATTAGGTAAAGTATTTCATTCCATTTGAGTACAGACACCATAGCGCATATCATATAAGTAACAGAAATGAAGGTTACCTGCAAATGATATATCAATTGCATGGTGCAGGCAATTTTATTTGGTATAACGAAACATATATAAGTTAAAAAATAAATTGCAGGGGTTTCACTTTCACTAGAATTTCTCACAACAGGCTAAATAAATTTGAGATGGAAAAGTTGCTAAAAATTACAGGCGATTTTATGAAAACAACCCGTGAAAATAACCTGCTGCTAATGAAACCCCTGAATTGTGAAGTTTTCTTAGTGTTTTATGAAAAATAGCATGCTCCATCACAGCAGATAATTTTTTGATACCAACCTGTGTTAAACAGCGGCCAGGGTATGAATTGATGGGAATGTAATCTCAGTGCAACGCGCATCGGTGTTATGATTTTTGGTACAACACACATTTGGTAGACCTATATTGCGTTGCGATTCAACACAGGGTACGTACCAAATTAAGTGTGACAGTTTAACGTGAGGTACAACACGAGGGTGATAAAATTTGAGAAACCTGATGTTTTCATTGTTTCAGAAACCTGCACATTCAACTTTTACGCTTTGGTACGTACCCTACATGTATGTACAATGCGCGTCAGTATAATGCTTTTTTGTACAATAAGCGCAGGGTCTAATATCTGAATATAGTGCTCACCATAGGCCCCGGGAACATGTATAAAATAGCAGTCGACATCTGTATTACTGTCGACTCGCTATTTTATACATGTTCCCGGGGCCTATGATAAAATATGTTCCTGAATTTGAAATCTGATCTGAGAACACCAGACTGAGACTGCCCTGCTGAGCCACTGAATGAATAAGACAAACCACTTGCTTGATCTGTATCACATCACAGGATCTTGTAGCACCTTATATGGTATTGTTTATGATGACTGATATGGGGCTATATAGAGTCCATTTCACTGCTTCATTTCGTCAGTAGAACGGCAAAAATAAGAAATTGGGAGACCATTGTGCAATAATATATGGAAAAGTATATTCATAATGTACATGAATGACATTTGTATATTTCAGATTTTTTAGTTTTTTGTGCAATAAGCCTGTGCCGTCTTGTAATTTGAAGAATTTCAGCCATGTTAATCTTATTGAAAATACCATGGCAGAGAAACATCCAAATATAAGAGGCCACACACTTTATAAGCCAAACTAGAAGCAATCCAAGATATAAAGTGGGGATCATAAAGAATTGCAAAAGCTATGAAAATTACATGCTGTCGCACATGTAATAAATTCTTACCTCAGTGTATTCAGTGCTCTATTTTCTCCGTCTGAGTAAGTCCAAATATAGTGGAATTTGTGTCCCTAATGACAAATAAGAACTTCAAAAGTTGAAGTGGATATTCACATGTTATGCCGACTCTTCAAATGTTGAGGTGATTTTGTCGCCTGATTGCGCCTGAACGGAGGATTGGCTCCCAGAATGCAACATGACACGTGCCAGCTTTCAAAATGCTGTTCCGCCATTTTGAAACCTGTCATGAGTAAATACGGTAACTGATGTTGCATTCTGGGAGTCAACCGTCCTTGGATAACAAACATGGTGATTCATGAAAACATTCATTCGATTTGGTAGGGATTTATCCATTATTTGCAGGTATGAAGCTTTGGATTCATTTATTGTGCTACTTTAGTGAACGGGAATTATTTTTCTACCGCTTGGGAGAGTTTGAGACACAAAACTTGGAAATTAGCTCATTGTGACAACTTGTGAACGTTGAGTTTTATTTTTGTCCCCCACTGTACAAATGTCATTCATGTACATTATGAATATACTTTTCCATATATTATTGCACAATGGTCTCCCAATTTCTTATTTTTGCCGTTCTACTGACGAAATGAAGCAGTGAAATGGACTCTACAGTTGGGGACAAAAATAAATGACAGGTCGATTTTCGATCACCATTTCCTAATTATGGTGGTCTGAAAGCCCATAATTTCCAATATTGTCTAGATACATATCCCTTAAAATTTGTATATTTTACATTTTGTATAATCTCATCCACTGATTTATGGCCTCTTGTAAATTCTCTTATTTTTAACATGGGAAATCACCACTTCAGCAAATCCACCTGTCATTTATTTATGTCCCCAACTGTAGGCCTAGATTCTTATACTATAGGGCCTATCATAGTGCTCATCTCATATCATAGTGCTACATGTCTCTGTGTATCACATAAATTAGCACATATATTACAGTCATGATTTTAACAGTATCTTGTATATTAATTGGTACATATTCTGCAGTAACTTACCTACAAATCACTAAAACGACATTGTTAAAATATTAAATCTTTCAAATTTTCTGGCGGGTAAGATGAGCTATTTTCTGATGACGTCACAAAAATCGGGAAGATGGCTGCGCCCACAAAGGTTTGAAATAATAATATGATTATCTCAATAAACATCCTTCAACAATTCTTTTACATCATCAATATTATTTTTCACACATATCAGAACATGGGCGTTTTTGTTAACATAGATGTCACACCTTGTTATTCATGAAATGTTGATAATTAACCTAAGTTTGAAATAACACTCTATTATCGCCCAGAAAAAGTAACAATATTTATACACTCAAATTTTTTATTCTGAGAATCAGTTCATATGATTAAAATAACGAAAGAATGTGATGTAACCACGTGTCTACTTACCAGCTTGTTCTATGTCATCCATCGGACTAGGTTACATTGTGGAACGCACCCAAACACGACACTGAAGGCAACAGCATATCGATCTTGATCTTAGCAGAATTTTTGGAAATTTAGATCGTCCATTTTGAAAGCTCACGTGACTGATCATGTGTCACGTGTCTGATCACGTTACATGTGTATGATCACGTGACTAGTTACTGTATCGATCATGTAACTAAATGACGTGTCACCCAACCATGTCTTCATCGGAAAACGGTAGTAAATATTTTTGAAAATGTTTTGTGAGCATTTGCTACTGATTATAGAAGGCCCAATTACGCAATGAACGAAACTGCTTAATTGTTTTTTGTGCCTAACAGGCCTAGTACGACACGAACAAAACTGCTAAATTTGAATTTTTAGTCTGCTTATTGATCTATTGATTCCTAAAGACCTGAAATGATGCATTCAAAAATAAGATACTTCTCCCTTAAAATTTGTCTATTTTACATTTTGTATAAAATATTGTATGGCCTCTTGAAAATTCTCTTATTTTTACATGGGAAATCCTCACTTCAGCAAATCCACCTGTCATTTATGTTCCAAACTGTATATTACATTTACAGTACACCCGGGCATTTATCAAGGAGGAGAGCATAGTTGAAAATTGAACCTTTATTGATATCGAATAAATTTTGTCCATCATCATACACGCCCCATTGAGTCCCATATCCGATGTGACCTCATTCCATCAGGCAGTCTGATCGGGCAAAAACCCATGAAGTCCACAAAGTCCAACAGTTCCCCAGTGGTGTATGTTGGGCTTAATTGTAAATATTTTGTTTGTTAAGGGCATCATTACCAGCCTTGTCTATTTCTGCTGTACTCAATAAGAATAATAAAAGGTTATTAAAAAACGTCAATCTTTGGAGACTTCGTCTCAGTCTCTGATACCTATCAATGAAAATGAGCAAAATTGGTACATTTTGACCATTTTTGGGCATTATTGTATCTTCTTGAGGAAACACCCTACTTGTACTTGTAGTCAGGAGTCTTTTCTATTTATGACTCAAACTTATGCAATGTTTTGTCAATAGGTGGAGTTTGCCGTGCAGATGACTTGTCAATCATGTGTCGACACCATACAAAATGCACTAGAAACTCAAGAAGGTAAGGACATTCATCATTTCATTCATTTGTACAATTTACAAATGCTAGAATATTATAGAGTGATTTCCCCATGTTTTTATCCCAATATTTTTTCTCAAATTCTCACCAATGTGCTATCAGATGCAGTTTCCAAATTTTCTGTTCCAAGCAGAAGTCCTACTCCTACATGTATAGTTTGCCCCTAAGTCATCAGCTTATAAAATTTGAACCAAATCCATCAATTGTTTATCGATTATTGTCAGGACACACAAATGGATGGAAAAATGAAAAGATGAATGGCTGCTCAAATTCCCTACATGAATTTCATTCATTGGGAAAATAATGAAGTTTAATTGAAATGCAAAATGTTCAATGGTCTTATCAAAAAAAATCATTTATTTATTTTACAACACCACCAGGAATCAAGTCCGTTCAAATCAACCTGGCCCAAGAGCAGGTGATTGTCGAGAGTACTTTGACTACTACAGATGTTCAACGTCTAATTGAGGCTACGGGACGTACAGCTGTTGTCACAGGTTTAGGGAGTGCTTCTGGTAAATACAGGATTTTCTTATAATTAGATCCCAAGCTTTTAAATGAATGAAAGAATGATCTCGATCGAAGCCTTATGGAACCCCGGGTATGGAACTGATTCCATCCATACTGAATCAATGAAAGACACATTTGGCAATGATTAAAATTGAGTTTTGATATTTCAAATAAAAGTAATGTTGTGTACAGGAATCATCTGATCATAGATATGCTATTTTAATGTACTTGATAAAATGTTGTTTGAGACAATTTTCTTGCTGCATTTTCAGAGAAAAAACATCTGGGAGCTGCAGTTTCGATGATAGGTGGCAGCAGTATACAGGGTGTGGTCAGAATGGTCCAGTCAGATGCTGACCTGTGTATCATAGAGGGCACTGTAGATGGACTGCAGCCTGGAGGTCACAGTATTGCAATACATGAGCTAGGGGATCTATCTAAAGGTTGTGAAAGGTTTGTGAAAATGTTGTTCATGTATACTTCACATATTTACATGTACACTATACTTGGAATGAACTGTCTAATTTCCTGGCATTTCTGTACAAGTAAGAGCGAATTTCTTGTCAAGGGTTTTTTAACATATACTTCACAAAGTAAATAATTGCTAATTTAATTGTTGTAACCATACAATGGTCTTAAGAATTTTTGTTTATTTATTTCTTGCTTATTCCACTATTTTCCACTCTATATTGCTTTTCAGAAAGTGACCATGTGACATTTTCCATAGAAATCTGAAATTCATGTACATATATGTGACGGTCCATTCACTGAGGAAAATGGGTTCACTGGAAATATGTGTTCATGACAAACATATTTACCACAAATAATTATTTTTATTTTTAGCTGTGGAGATATCTTCAATCCTGATAACAGAAATAAAAAGGTAAGACATGAAAAAAAGATTAATGTTATGTGGTTTACTTTTTTGACTGATTGATGAACTTTATTGTTCGTTTCCCAATCACTGTATCAAGTGGGGAAGTGGCTACACACAATACATAGACAAGCTTGCATCAAACTGAAACTCAATGTGCAACAAAATTATAAGAATGAGATTTTTACCAAAGAAAATTCTGGAGAGAACACTTTACAAAAATGCTTATTTTTTCAGCAGTTTTTACCTATATATTTATGCTCCAACCTTACATGGGGATTAGCCTATCATGAGGCAGGCGAGCCAGTTTGCCTCGCAAAAATTTTAAGGAAGAATATTAATTCAGATTTTTTTCCAATTGAAACTGTGAAAATATAATATAAGATATGATATAATACCTGCTCTTCAGTCTATATTTCTTAATTTTGGTAGGGTTACTGAAGATTTCAAGATTTCTGCATTCATTGATTTAAATCTTAAAAAAATTCACCATTTCATGAAATATCATAGATCTTGTTGAGACATTAGATTTGGAAACAGTAAACAGAGCTTGCAATTTGTCAACCCCCCCCCCCCCCCTATGATTATACTCTGATTCTATTTTTAATAGGTATTCATTACTTGCAGATATATGGGTCACTAGGCAATATTACAGCCAATGAGAGGGGTAGGGCAACATTTAGATTTGAGAACCCCACTGTGAAGGTCTGGGACATCATAGGCAGGTCCATGATGGTGAAAGATGATGCAGAAACTACTAAAAGGTAGTTTCAATTTGTCATTTTGTATCATCAAATAAATGAAGTAAGGCTACAAAGCAGATTGGTAAATAGGATTAAGTACTTTTAAATGAACACATAACTTGTCATATATGGATGATTTTGAATTATAAACAAGATTTGAAAGTCTGGTAGAATGATCTCAAGTCTTCTCAGGTCTAACTAATCACCTTGGGGAAATTAACAAGATTTAAAATATCAAAATTGGACATATTGTATCATACTGGTAAATTGACCTGTAATTTCAATTTGGAACATTTTTATCTAAAGAGGACAAAGAAATGAAGTGTTAGAATAAAAGATTAAGTGGAAGAATGAGCAAGGAATAAAGTAAACATGTAACACTAAATTATAGAAATACAAGAAAAACATGTCAAAAATATGTCATTGTCATATGTTGTATTTTTCAGATTGGCTTGTGGAATAATTGCGAGATCAGCAGGACTGTTTCAAAATAGCAAAAAAATATGTGCTTGTGATGGTGTGACACTTTGGGATGAGAGAAATGTGCCATTAGCAGGTGACGGAAGGTCACGAGCAGCGAAAATATGAAAGTTAAAGTACATTGGAATTTTGAAATTGTGGAAAAAATCAGATTTATGCTTCATCATGTAGTCGCACCAAGTCTCTGGACCTCTTACCCCTCTATTTATTTTACTTATTTCCCTCCAGAGAAGGGGACACGTGTAGTGGTGGCCAACCAGTTGCGTAGCTACATGTATGCAAAGAACACGCATGAGAACACTCTATGTTTTAGAGAAAATTATATTTTTATTAAAAAAATTAGAAATAGATTTTTATTGAAATAACTTTTTGTATTTTTTCAATAATTGTACAATTGATTTCGTTGTAGATAAGTATGTAAAATTAATGATAAGTTACTGTTTATATAATTTCTAAGAATCGAGTATCTGTTTACTTCATTCAACAGACTAGATAATGGTATAAGAATGATATGGTAATGGTATAGTACATGTACAGGCCCATAGCCACTTTTTGCCAAGATACTCCAGTTTTAAAAAATACCAGGCCCTTTGACAATTTTGGCCCAGAATCACTTGAAAAGTGTTCAAAATTGTGAAAAACATGCATTTGAAAGAGTTTTTGTCCAGCCCTGGCTACGGGCCTGATGCATGTTTGTTTCTTTAAGGTTTAAGTTCTTCTGGTTTCACATGCATTTTTATGATAATTTAAAATTGTCAAGCACGCCTGTACCACATCCATGTGTACATTGTAAACCATGCATTCTATTGTCATATTTGATATTGTTAGAAGCAAGAAATAAAAAATTGAATAATTTTATTATAAAATTTTTTTTAAAAACTTAATGAGTGGACATTGTTGAGTGGAAAAAATGAAAAACCTAGTCACCGGATTGTTGTAAGTTATGCTCAAACAGACAAAAAACTGACTCGGCCTAAGATTTTTAGTTCATATATGAAGATCTCTACCATGGACAATATGCTCCGTTTTCATAATTTGAGTCAAACATAACTTGACCTAGATTTTGACCTTGGCAAAAACCAATTTCCTTCCAAGTTCAGAAGGGGTCCTCTGAATAATAAAACTAACCTTTCAACACTTTCCTGGCTGACATTATGATTTTCCACGACAGGAGGGATACATGTGCAGTATGAGTGAGGGGCTGCACAAAGTGAGGCCCCTCAAGGCTGATGACACAAGCAAATTATTACAGGGATGACGCAGTCTGGATAATACAGGGTGGGCCAAAAAAGTTAACACAAACAAATCTAAATAACTCAGCTTGTATTCACGAATGCAACTAACCCCTGTCAGCTACAGGATTAACCTACAATTTTATGAGTAACTTATTTAAATATGAACAGTACCTGCCACTATTCCATTCATATTTAAATCAGTAGGCCATAAAACAGTAGGTTAATCTGGTAGACAACAGGCGTTAGTTGGATTCGTGAATGCAAGGTTAGTCATCCAGTATCAATTGTGCCAAATACAAGTTCAAACCCATTCTGGATGACTGAGTTCAGATTTTTTTGGGTTGCCTTTTTTGGCTCACCCTGTACCAGGTATTTATGGCCTCAACCACTGGTTTTTATCACCCAATATCATTTCCTTTTAACTATAACTCAAATCAACTTGACAAAACAAAAATGCACCATTGTATAAATATTTATTTATTGAAAAGCCTCAAATGTACAATCACAATTTGTATACTAAAAATATCATTTACTTAACTAAATTTTCATATACAGATTATATTAAAAATAAAAGCAGTTTGGTGCCAATATACACATATATGTGTGGAAAATGAGGGTAAGCAAAATAAATCATAAATTAAATGCAATATGGAGTTCTATTTATATACAGCATAATTAACATAATTTATGCACAGTCATGGAACTGTGTTATATAACTAGCAATCTGGAGATTTGATCACTAAGATAAGCAAGCGATTGCAAATGGATTACAAGGCATTACCATGCAAAATGTCACCACCTGGCATTTGTTACAGACACCGAACAGCATCCACAAAAAAAGTTGAAAACTATAACAAAATGTCATAGTCATGAAAATATGATAGATTAAACTAACTAGCAATTTCGTAACTGAGATACTAAAGCGATTGCAAATGGATTATAAAATGCTCCATGGATATTCAGCCAGGTTCTATGTGTTCTCTTGTAAATGCATTAAACGAAGTAAGTAATCTACTTTTGACTGCTTTGGAGGTAATTTTCTCCTTTGAAATCTATGGTGCATTTCACTCCATCAAGTTTAATTTCAATATGTAATAATATACAATAATTACAATTTAATTAATATACAAAATGTCACCCCATGTCATCTTCAGATGACGAACAACAAGAATATCGACCACCAAACACCAACCGCTACTTCTGGTGGTAACATAATCAACTAACAAGGCATTAACATGACAAAATGTCACCACCTAGTTGCTCACAATATTATGAGTTCAAACTTAAGTCAGATTTGAATTTCTGAGAACTTGTAAAGTCAAATTTGAACTTCTGAAAAGATGTAGATGATTTTGAAAAAAAAATTTGGTCAATTTGAAGCAAGTTGAAAAAATACCTTTTTGACCTTTTTTGACCTTGAGAAGGTCATTAAAGGTCAAATGTCAAATCTAAAGTCAGATTTGAATTTCTGAGAACATGTAGATGATTTTGAAAAAAAAAATTAATCAATTTGAAGCAAGTTGAAAAAAGACCTTTTTGACCTTTTTTGACCTTGAGAAGGTCATTGAAGGTCAAATGTCAAATCTAAAGTCAAATCTAAAGTCATATTTGAATTTCTGAGAACATGTAGATGATTTTGAAAAAAAATTTAGTCAATTTGAAGCAAGATGAAAAAATACCTTTTTGACCTTTTTGACATTGAGAAGGTCATTGAAGGTCAAATGTCAAATCTAAAGTCAGATTTGAATTTCTGAGAACATGTAGATGATTTTGAAAAAAAAATTTAGTCAATTTGAAGCAAGTTGAAAAAAGACCTTTTTGACCTTTTTTGACTTTGAGAAGGTCATTGAAGGTCAAATCTCAAATCTTAAGTCAAATCTAAAGTCAGATTTAAATTTCTGAGAACACGTAGATGATTTTGAAATTTTTTTTAGTCAATTTGAAGCACATTGAAAACAGACCTTTTTGACCTTTTTTGACCTTGAGAAGGTCATTGAAGGTCAAATGTCAAATCTAAAGTCAGATTTGAATTTTTGAGAACATGTAGATGATTTTGAAAAAAAAATTTAGTCAATTTGAAGCAAGTTGAAAAAAGACCTTTTTGACCTTTTTTGACTTTGAGAAGGTCATTGAAGGTCAAATGTCAAATCTTAAGTCAAATCTAAAGTCAGATTTGAATTTCTGAGAACACGTAGATGATTTTGAAATTTTTTTTAGTCAATTTGAAGCAAGTTGAAAACAGACCTTTTTGACCTTTTTTGACCTTGAGAAGGTCATTGAAGGTCAAATGTCAAATCTTAAGTCAGATTTGAATTTCTGAGAACACGTAGATGATTTTGAAAAAAAATTTAGTCAATTTGAAGCAAGTTGAAAACAGACCTTTTTGACCTTTTTTGACCTTGAGAAGGTCATTGAAGGTCAAATGTCAAATCTTAAGTCAGATTTGAATTTCTGAGAACATGTAGATGATTTTGAAAAAAAAAATTAGTCAATTTGAAGCAAGTTAAAAAAAGACCTTTTTGACCTTTTTTGACCTTGAGAAGGTCATTGAAGGTCAAATGTCAAATCTAAAGTCAGATTTGAAGGTCAAATGTCAAATCTAAAGTCAGATTTGAATTTCTGAGAACATGTAGATGATTTTGAAAAAAAATTTAGTCAATGTGAAGCAAGTTGAAAAAAGACCTTTTTTACCTTGAGAAGGTCATTGAAGGTCAAATGTCAAATCTAAAGTCAGATTTGAACTTCTGAGAACATGTAGATGATTTAGAAAAATATTGAAGTCAGTCTAAACAGTATTTGTTAAGTTATAGGAAGTTGTAAGAAATTGTTACAGACGCCGGACGCCAACCGCCAACCACCAACCGCCGGACGCCGTCACAAAAAAATGGAGACCATAACAATATGTCACCACTTTTGGTGGTGACATAAAAAAAATGGAGACCATAACAATATGTCACCACTTTTGGTGGTGACATAAAAACTAATTTCAGTTTGGTTTGATCTTTTTGCCATCAATTTAGATTATAAAATAGAAATATAATCTTAATAATGCTGAATTAAATATAAGAATTGTCATGGACAAAATACACTGTTGTGAGTAAATGTGAGCGTACAATGGAAAATTGCTGTAGTTATGTTGATAATTATTTTATAGTCATTAAGCCACAGTTGCTGTAGTTAGAAATATGACTTACCGTGACAGCATTATGCTGTCATATTGAGTTACAATGTATACTGGTATATATTCCTTACTAAGAAATGCATTTTTGCTAAATATTTTTGTCTTAACTTGAGAATTTTCCAAGTACGCCCAGTTTATGAATAACATGAGTAAGTTTTATATAATATATTATATAACATACATAAGTAAGTTACCAAGGTTTTTCTCAGATACTATAATTCAACGATTTGCAGGGTATTACAAACAGATACCTTTTAATATATAAAAGGTACATAAAGTTTATTTTTCACTGTATCAATCATGATGCATGTAAATAACATCTTTACTTGCTTCCAAAATAGCTAATTCAATATTTCAATATGAAACATTTGCAGAAAGTAAAGTCCACCCCTCCTTCTATCAGTCTATGTCACAGGGATTTCTAATATGTACAGGAATTTGACATAGCTCGGGAGAGTGGTAAAGCATGTGAAGGAGCACCTCATTATTAAGGAGAATGTGAATCTGTCTAACCCTGCAAAACCATGAATCTGGAAAAACCTGTAGTTTATGAGGGACTAAAAGCAGGTATTCTAATCTGTCCACTGTGCTTAAAAGATTGAATGGGCGTAAATGTAAGAATAAATTTTTATTTCTGTAAAATTTAGGGAAGGAAGATGCAAATTTGCTATACCCTTTGCAAAGTTGTATGGTGGACATACAAAAATTTTAGATAGGTCTGAGTATAAATATGACAGTATAATATGATCTGAATGTAGTCTCGCGTAGAGAGTCTGCGTCTAATCCATGATAAAATACACACACATAAGGGTATGTTACTGAAGAAGGGAGAGAGTAATTATTTGGATTAAACACAAGTGCAACTGCCCCTACGATTATATACAGTGGAACCTGTAAAATGGAACACCTCCATCAGTTGAACACTTCAGAGTCCCGAGGCCAACTGAATTTACGTTAAATGAATCTCTATAAGTGGAACAGCTTCCAAGTGAAATGCTTTTTTGAGGTACCAAATGTGTTCCACTTGTGACAGGTTTTACTGTGCATATATTGTAAACAAGAGAGGTAGGGGAAATCCGAATAGATAACAAAATATAATGGGAGGGCAGAGACTTAAAGCAAGACTAAATTGTACACAAAAAGCATCATATGAAAATTGCGTAAGCGCTTCCACCAAGTATTACTTCTAAATTGTAATACTGCGATTGCTCATTTTTGCATTTTAAGTTGCTTTTTTTACAAATATAACAGATAAGAATGATCCTAGTAAATCAGGAATAAGATTTTGAAGCTGAAAGTTTTTCGTATATTTGTTCAAAAAGTCCTCCTTTGTTCTGTGTAAAATTTATGAAACTGTGTCGTTCCTAAATTATATCTAGTTCACTAGGTGCTCTATAGGTGGCTCTATGATCACAGCTTTAGGTTTATTTACTCATTAGTTCTGCCATGTCATCGAGGGCCATGATGATTGACTTCCCCATTGTGGCAGTGTCCGTATCCTGGCAACTTTTGTATGAACTGACATGGAATTGGACTGAAAAAAATTAAATCACATCAATTTATTTATTTAGATGATATTCCACTGAATGCTGCTTTTTATGAAAATCTATAGTTATCTAATTTGAAAGAGCATTTTTCAAAAACTTTGGAACCACATAAACTATTTTGTACATTGATGTTTTCAATAATGGAGATCGATTTTTATGGAATAAATGATTCATGGAATGAAATTGATTTATAACAGCAAATTAACTTGAAGTCTCAAAATAAGTTTACCTAACTATTTATTTGCTTAATTCACTTTTTCTACTTCATTTAGATTTCAAAATGTTTATTTGTCAAATTATCTCAGCTGAATAATTGAAAATTGAAAAAAAGATGAGAAAAAAATTTGACATACTCCAATCTTCTCCGACTATCATGTAAGAAACGCCATAGCCCTCCCCGCATGTAGGAGCAAATCCACCCCCTATGGCACAGGCCTCTAGACTCCAGCCATCTGTGATCTTAGTGGGTGTCTGGGAGGTGGAGAGTTTGTCTGGCATCTGCCAAGCCTGAAACAAACAAAAAACAAAAAGGTCAATATGAATGTTTTTGGATATGATTAAGCATCCAATAATATACTGAATACAAAAGATTCAAGATTTAATTGTGTTTCAAACCAACATTTGGCTTCCTCACAAAATCAATTACAATACATTTATATACATTTAATTATAAAGTTACAATGTATTTAGTAAAATGCATGCTTAGAAACATTTCCTTAGACTATCATAAAATCTTATTTTTTTCAATTTTCAAATAGCCACACTGAAAGTTTATTTATAAAATGTATCAGTTTGTTTACAATTTCATAATCATCAGAAGTGATTAAAAACTTATATTTTTTCATCCAACATTTTATTAAATGTGTCAATAAAACTTAATAATACAGAGTGTCCATAATGTGTCAATAAAACTAAATAATACAGAGTGTCCATAATGTGTCAATAAAACTTAATGATACAGAGTGTCCATAATGTCTCTTTACAAAATAATATAAAGGCTGTGTAAAGTATAAAGAGACTTTACGGACACCCTCATTTATAAAAGCATGACCATATAATCATTACCAAATATAGAAATGTATGAATCAATTTAAACTGTTCGATACCAATTGTCATGTTACGTTCAGGTAACACATGAACTACACCACACAAAAAAGGTGGAATTCACAACAACATTTTAGACAAAACATGTTTGTAAACTATTTTATCAACTCTGAGTACCTTTTCTGGAGATAATAATATATAACCTGTTTAAATTCTCAGAAAATAGCCGCAATCCAACATATGACTATTTAAAATCAGTTTTCAAGATCACAAAATTATGAAATATAATACATCAAATATTAACCAGATTACAGTAATGCATATCTTTAAATACACACAGAAACTTGATCATTGCCGATATTACCTTATTATCATTGATAGTACCCCACACACTGATGATTTTACCCCATTTCAATTAAATATCATGTGAGGTCTCAGCAAAAGTAAATTGAATTCCTAAAACGAATTAATGATAGACCACTGTTAATTTGAATGTTGATATACTCTGAAGATCCACCAATATTCAACAAAATCCCGCCTTTGTTTTAGACAAAGGAAGAGCATACTTTGGACATATGGAGAGTTTCGGGCAAAGGAAGATGATCTGTCCATGAAGATTTAGAGTTAATTTTGATACAGGAAGAGTTTTGGACAAAGGAAGAGTTTTGGACAAATGAAGAGTTTGTTTTTGGAGAGGAGTTTGGGACAAAGGAAGAATTAAATATGAACACATCAACCCAGTTAATCTGGAAGCTTTGTAGGATTCCTCCATTCCATAAACTGATAACAGTAATCAAGCAATAAAAGAAATCCAGTGATTAAAGGAAAAAGTGCATCTTGAAGATGGTCAGAGAATTAAACTAAAATCATTAAAAGTTCCTATTCAATAATTCTTTATTTTATATACACACATTCTATTTTATAGATTTTCAAAAATAAATTTTGTCATAAATCTAAGTCAACTTGAGCTCAGCAACTTCCTATTCAGTGCATATATTAAAAATATATAATGTACATATAAAGGTCTAGTATGTCATGTTGGCTGGCATAAAAACATTGTTCAGTAATACAAAAAGATGGCAAGTATGTTCAAAAGACATGTCTGGGCAAGATCCTGATGACTTGCAACAGCTGTGACATCTCCAGCATCTATATTTCCATGTTTGTCGGTGGTCAGTTTTCCTTCTTTTCCTTCAGCATCTGCAAGGTCCATAATTTCAAATGTCATTTTGACTTCGACCTTTTCATAATATTTCTCCACTTGGGTAGTAGCGATCTTCAACTGCTTTGACAAATCCATTCCTAAAGAAGTAAATGGGATCTCATTTGAAGCTATAATGTTGAAAGTAAAGCTGCTCTTGTAATAATGTTCTCGGGGAATCCATAATGTATCTTTTTGGTTAATGTATCCAATAGGGTTGAAGAATGTTTTAATAACATCCTTTATAACTGCAGCAATCAAGAGCAGTTGATGTTGGAAAGCGGTATCAATTATAGATTCATTGTACCTTATCTCATACTTCAGGTTCATTCGCCCAAGGATGCTGTTTATGATTGAGCATTTATAGCCAAGGTTAGTGTGAAAAACTGGACAATCACTCATTTTGCATTGATGATTACCAGTGCATTGAAATTCAAGTTGGTCTAGTCCAAGTATTCCATTTGATTCAACCTTCAGTCCATAACCACTGAACAGTTGGATATCTAACAATAATGTTAAAGTAAAATATTTGTGAGGTAATCCCTTTCCACTGTCAAAACCTGTTTTGCAGCCAACTGCTCCAGGAATTATTGGATCTGGAAGATTGCACTGCAAGCAATACATATTGTAGAAAGCAACTCCAAAGATTAAGCCATAATAGTACCTAACAGGATTTTGTCCAGCTGTTGCACACTTTTGTGATAATTCTGTCTCCTGGCAGTGCTTGCAATCATAACGTAATACTATACAGGGTCGGGCCCTCTCAGGTGGAGTATATTCAATGATACAAGCAGGATTATGGAGCAAATTTAGCACAAGATGAATATCAACATCAAAGAAGTTTTCAGGTTTGATTTCTCCAGATTCACAACTAATGGAGACATTCCAGGATGCATAAACAATGACACTATTACATAATGCACAGAACTTGTTCCTGAAGTTCTCTCCGGTTCTTAAATCAGTGACTGGTACTAGATTAAGAAGCCCATCACGCGACTGACATTGTGCACTCAATTCTGAATCACTTTGGTAGTGGGGACATTTGTTGACAACATAGCCTGACCTTCTTTCTTCAAATGAGCCTAAGCATTCATAGATCTGTTTCTTACTTTTCCTAAGTTCATTATACACGTTTGGATCACATATCTTGGTATAGTCCTCACAACAGTCTCCATATTTAGGGCACTCTGGGTCACACTGGCAATAAACTGTTTTGGAGATCTTTCCACATCGCCCCTCACATGATCGTTTGAGTTGTTCTTCAGGGTCATCAAGTGAACAAATTGTTATATTCTCATAGGCATTACAGGAATTTTCCCCCAGACGGATGTTGGAATCTTCACTTGAAGCTATACTTGGAGGACCAGTCATTGTAGGTAGATCAAGGTGGCTTGTATCAGTACCAGTATCTCTAGGATCATCCAATGATGCTTTACTTGAATCATTTGTCATAGGTTGATTAAAGTGGGTTGTATCAGTATCACTTTGTCTAGAACCATCTATCAAAGCTTTAATTAGATCACTTGTCATAAGTTGATCAGGGTGGGTTGTATCAGTATTGGTATGTGTTGGATCCTCCATCAACGCTTTATTTGAACCAGTTGTCACAGGTTGATCAGAGTGGGTTGTATCAGTATTGGTATGTGTTGGATCATCCATCAACGCTTTATTTGAACCAGTTGTCACAGGTTGATCAGAGTGGTTTGTATCAGTATTGGTATGTGTTGGATCATCCATCAACGCTTTATTTGAACCAGTTGTCACAGGTTGATCAGAGTTGGATGTATCAGTATTGGTATGTGTTAGATCATCCATCGATGTTTTACTTGAACCAATTGTCACAGGTTGATCAGAGTGGGTTGTATCAATTTTGGTATGTGTTGGATCATCCATCGATGTTTTATTTGAACCAGTTGTCACAGGTCGATCATAGTGGGTTGTATTCGTATAGGTATGTGTTGGAACATCCATCGATGTTTTATTTGAACCAGTTGTCACAGGTCGATCAGATTGGGTTGTATCTGTATCTGTTGGATCATCCATCAAAGCTATATTTGGATCATTTGTTGTGGGTTGATCAGAGTGGGTTGTATCAGCATGTCTTGGATCATTCATCTGACAATCTTGACCAACTGTTACTTGTTCTTTCAAATTCGAAATAACCTGGAGAAAAAGCACATATGTAAGAAAGGGCAAGTGTCATAAAGGTTCCGATAAAAAGGTATTAGAAAAGAAACAGAAAAGGAATTTTGAACAGTTAAACTGGTCAGGAGGAAAGAAACCCCTGTATCACATATAATTAATGGTCTAATATATAAAGGATCAGTGTCATAACCCCCTTCCCGCCTATCAGAAGCCAATCAAAACGCTTCCTGGTCATCTCAACCCCAAGTCAACTCAACCCAGTAAAACTCAACCCCAAGTCAACTCAACCCCAAGTCAAGTCAACCCCAGTAAAACTCAACCCCAAGTCAACTCAACCCTGTAAAACTCAACCCCAGTAAATCTCAACCCCTATATTTCTATATATTGATAAACTTATAAGACCATTGCTTTTTCCAAGGGCATGGCCAGCTTTTAGTCAGGAGGGATGCCATCGCCCCAAAAAATCAGGTTTTCAGTCAGGGGGTGCCGATCGTGGCATAAACGAGCCAAAAAAGATATGTTTTGACAAAAAATGATGCACCTTCCTTCAAAATTGTTGGGAGGGTGTGTGCGCACCCCTCCTGGCTACGCTTATATGCTTTCAGTCTATTAATTAGTAAATGTAAATGATTTTGTTAATGCATGTACATATAAATAAAACGTTGTATTACATTGTTAATTATTTCTAAATTATCTAAAATTTGGTTTCAAAAGATGTCTTAAATCAAATAATAGTGACAACTTTTTGAATTATCCTTGAGCTTAACCATTTTTTGGAATACTTTTACAACTTTCTATTCAAAGTATCATGCAAAATGCTAGATTTTCAGAAATGAATGACTTAAATCATTCATCATGAAAAAATTAAATTAGACATTGCACAAATGAATAGGGTTGAGTTTTACTGGGGTTGAGTTTTACAGGGTTGAGTTGACTTGGGGTTGAGTTTTACTGGGGTTGAGTTGACTTGGGGTTGAGTTGGTCTGGGTTGAGATGACTTGGGGTTGAGATGACCTGTCACCATCAAAACAACAAGACATAAAACATTCAGAAATGCATGAATTGCATTTGTGAGATATTATGTAGAAGGTTCTCCATGATTAAAGTAAAAAATTTGATCACTTACCTCTGGTCCCATGATTTTTTCTGTAGCATTGAGTCTAACATGCTCCCCATCATCTGTAATAGGGTTACCAGTCGACTTGTTGGTATCTCCCATGTAATTCTGGACTGATAAGTTTTGGGAGGTTGTTTCTTTAGAATCTTCAGCAGCCTGCTGCATAATGTTACGCTTGTGCTTTGTTTGAGACTTGGTGACTGAAGTTGTGAACAGCATGTGGGCTAGGCTCACAGAGAGAATCATCCATGCTCTTATCCTTTTCATTTCCAAAGATTTATCCTCCTGGGTTGTTATTAGCAAATGCTGGTGACTGACAATAACCAGATATTAATGATGCCCTACTCTATATATATATAACAAATTATCAATTAAGTACCCTGGACATTATATCATCACCTTTTGCTGATTGAGTAGTAAATATGCAGGATGAAGTCAAGTGCATCTCCATTCCCCATTTTACTGTATTTGTGTTTAATTTGGAAAGTGTTTTAAATTGGCAAATTTTGGTGAACATGAAAGATACCAAGATGGCTGGGCCATTTAAGTTGATAGAAACAAGAGATATTCAAGAAGTTTATATAAACAACACTAAACAACACTGACAATGAATATTTTGAATTTTGTTAAACAGGATGATGTCAGGGACACTTGAAAAATGGTCAAATTAAATATAGCCAATTGGCCCAAAAATACAAAATTGGCAAAACAAGTAGCGCCAAATTAAAGACAAATACATTAAGTCAATGGCACCCTTGCTGAAATTCTCAGTTTCTAAGCATTAGGCTTGATTTTTAGAACTTTTTGTTGGCTCCATTATCAAAAGGCCACTGAGACAAAGTAAGAGCATTTGGATTAGGAGGTACTCAGGTTCCAAAAGTTTTGCATTGGCGGATTTCTGGATTTTGAAAAAATGTGAACTCATTCTCAATATCTTTAGTTCGACTGACCATAACACATTCTGTAAATGTCATAAATAATAGAAAATATTTGAGCGTTTTAATATAAAACAAGTGATATTTTATGAAGTGTTTGCATTAGAGTTTATTTTTCAAATGTGATCTATGTTTAAATTGGTAGGTGTTCACATAATGTTTTTCATCACTGGACTCGATGGAAGGGAAAATGGGACGCAAAAATCTATTCACATTAGAGGTGTTCAGACTGCAGACACGATATATTTTTCTATGGCACTGTGAACCTTTACTAACAGGAAAAGTCACCGGGGTACTAGCATCATAAAGCTGATATAAGGAGGGATCACATCACAAGCTTATTGCACATTGCGAATTCCTAATCTGAATATCAATGTAAAAGCCACACTTCAAACCAGATTAAGCAGAATCACTTTGAAACATTGATTCCTATATATACCATTTGCTATGTGTTAAAAAAATTAAAAGCAGATGATTCTCTGAATTGTTTTTTTTTAAAAGTGGTTTTGAATGAATGTCCTGACTGTTAGATATACTGTAAATTGCTTTAGTTTGAATTTTGGAAATAAAATTCAAGGGGATTTTTCATTCAGTACTTTTTTCATGTGTTACCTTGCACGATAAATCTTTGGTGAAAATCTTGATTGAAACATTGATAAAATGTCAATTTGAAACTACTTCCAAAGGTCAAAGAGTTTAGTTTAGATAAAACAATCTAATACCAGGAGAGCTAAATTGCGTTATCAGTGACGAGCTGTGAAGTGAATAATACAACTGATGATGGTCAATCCGCCAAATCAAATAGCAGCCAAAATGTCAAAATTTGCCCAATTTGCCAAATTAAAGTAATTTAAAGTATCAAAATGCAAATAGATGCTAATGATATAAATTCAACCTTATGAACTCAATAATTCTACGTTGGCTCAGTGTCATCTACTGTTTGAGACAGGATGTCAATGATCATCCAGACAATAGTTTGTATACAAAAAATGAGTGTCATAAAATATACCAATTAGCCTCACAAAAGACTTCTATAGAATGATTTTCTAATATCTATAGCGATCAAGTGACTGAAGCTTGAAACTCGGCCAACTAATTAATAAATAATATTTGATTTCCGCGAATTGTCCAGACATCAGCCAACTAATTAATAAAAAGCTTTGTTGGAACAGAAAGATATTCAATATACAACAGAAAAGCTAAATGAATCTATTTCCTGTTCTTCAGTTTCCAGGGCTCTCCCTGCATTGAAATCTAAATAGCAGCACCTCCCGTTACACAAAAATGTCCCTCCATAATTTCTATGTGCTCCCTAAAATCCTCCATAAAAAACATAGAAATCCTTAAAATGTTGCACAAAAATTGCAAAATCCCAAAACGTTGCACTAAAAATTTTAATAAAAACCTAGAATATTGCACAAAAAAATAAATAAAAAAATTCAATATGAAAATGTGGTTTTAAAGACAGGAAAATCCTCCACATAAAATAATCCTGCGGGGAGGGTAATGGTTTATAAATCCTTTACTTCATCATTAACGTAGACTTTCCAAATGATTAATAGAAACTTGCCCATAAAAGGGCAATAATTAATACAAACTTGCCCATAAAAGGGCAATGATTAATAGAAACTTGCCCATAAAAGGGCATTAATTAATAGAAACTTGCCCATAAAAGGGCAATGAATAATAACAACTTGCCCATAAATGATAAATAGATATTGCCCATAAATAATAAATCTAAGATGGCTAGAAATGACCATAGATGAATAGATTTTTGCCAAAAAAAGATCAATAATTAACAGAAAGTAGTCCAGAACTTAATAAATGATGAATAGGCCCTAAAATGACTGATGAATAATGAAACGTTGCCCATTTGTAAGCAATGACAAATAGAACTTTCCAAGAAATTGTCCAATGCAAATATACATCCTCACCTTATCTTTGAAGATGTCTGGCAATGGCGTGTTGGTTAGATGACCAAAGTCCTTATAGGTGGCGTAGAGTCCTAGCATATGGCGATCCCATCCATAGCCATTACTCGCATCAAGCTTGTAGCTGATCTGGCAATCAATGGCTTTCTTTAGGAGTGAGATTCTGTCTGTCTTGGATTTTGTTTTATCATCCATGCTGTGTACGAAACTACATGAATACTCTGATGTTGGTCGAATAGTCTCAGTACGCCCTCGGCTGAAGATCCTGCAAATATGAACATTTAAGCATGAAGACTAAGCGCTTATATGCTATTCTTCACGCAGGTAAAGCAAAGTAGTAGCACAGGGAGTACTGAAGCTGATGTTTGAAAACAAAAAATTTTTTTGCATGTTTTTCTGCATTGGAAAGAAACGAATGTACCTTTTGACTGGTACACTGTTTTGATGGCCATAGCATGTATTCCTAAGTATTCACTACAACACAACTTACATAATATAAACTAGATAACGGCAACTACGCGGAGTAGCAAATCCCAACGAACAAAATATCAATTACCGAATTCCAATCAATTATACTCATTACTTTGGTTAAAAATGAAAAAATTAGATTTTAGAATTGCGAATTCCTGCAAAGCAGCAATTTTGAATTTTCTGAGGTACAAATCTGAAAAATAATACCATAATTGTGATCTACTCCAAAATTCCTTCAATTTGAGTATAATATAGCCATACTTTGAAGGGATCAAAAAAATTATTGCGAAATCATACATTAGACGGCCATTTTGAATTTTACGAGGCTCGAATCAGAAAAAAGATACAATATTTGCCATCTACTCTTAATTGCCTTTCATTTGAGTATAATAAAGCTATACTTCAGAAAGATCTAAAAATTAGCGAAAATTTCTGTTTTCCTGTCCCCCCATACGTGGCCCCTGGGGGTCAGGATGAAAAACACGGAATATATGTGAAAAAGATAAATGTTGTGAATACACTACCAAAATTTCAAACAATAATATTAATTACTTTGGTTTAGAATGAAAAATTTATGATTTTTGCGAAAAAGTCCCGTCATTTTTAAAGCGGCGGCCATCTTGAAAAAAACCAATATACATCTTTCCACTAAATATGAAGAAAATCTGTCAACTAGTATTTGAGTTATCTTCCGGACAGATGGACGGACTGACTGACGGACTGACAGACTGACGGACTGATGGACAGACGGACGGAGGGCTTCATTATATCCCTAACGAACATTCGTTGGGATAATTAGTCCTTACGAAGTTTCTGTTAATGACCCCCAGAATATCAAATATAAATAATTTGTCATACCTGGTTGATGCAGACTCATAAGTCCTCACAAACTCTTTGTGAATCCTATAATACGCCAACTGTATTGCCATCTGGATGAAGCCATCTGGACTAAGACGGAACTTTTTGATGAGACGCTTCCCAAAGTCAGGTTTGTAAAGCTTGATATCCACATTGTCTCCCTGTAATATACAAAGATGAATATTACTACTAAACAAGGCATCTGCATGCAAAATGTCCCCACTTGCCATTTGTTGCAGATACAGATATCTTCACTCCTATTTAGTTGAAATAAGATAACTACCTCAGGGTAACAAAATTTCACTTTCAGGGTGATCAACATTATATTCCACTTACTAGTCCTTTTAGGGTCATTTCTGCTGCTTTCACTTCGCTTTCAAGGCCACTGGTGTCCCACTTCAATCTCTTCACAGAAGAAAGAGGGCGCTGACGCTCATTGGGCAATGGAAGTACTTCACCGGATTTGTCATATTTTTCTCTGAACAGCGCATATTCCCAGAGTCGAGAAAATAGCTAAAATAAATTCAAATAAATATAGTAAAGAAAAATAGACTTGATACAAAATGTCACAACCTGGTTGCAATAAGAAAAATGCATTATAATGAAAACTGTACAAAATGTCCCAATTTGTCAAGATTTGAATATCACATGTACTGCTATATAGTTTAAACTTAAGAGTCATTATATAGATCTATATACAGTGTACATGTATTACATTTCTAAGAAAAAACAATGCGAAAAAAAGCATACCGTTCCATCTCCCCAAGCGTGCTCTACATTTGTTCCTATTCGTCCATTTGCAAAAGCAATCAGATTGAATGTCTTATCAAACCAGATCGAGTGGTCACGTCCTGTCAAACACATGTCAGCTTGGTGATCATAGTCCTTAGGCTCAGCCTCTGGGAGTGAAAGAACAAAGAGGGCGCTCTCAACTGCCTCGAGTGTCTCTTTGTTGTTATTGAGAAGCAGATTGCGTTGCTAAAAATACATTCAATCATGACTTGAATTTTTTCAGGAAACTTTTTTGAGGTGTCAAACGATTCCTTGTATCATGTGAGCGTAAGATGTTTTCAGTTTATTCAAGAATGGTCATGCTGTCTATTTGGGCAAGCTAAAAAGAAATGTCTTGTTGCCTCAACTGAAACTCAAGGAAAGTCTGATCTGAATAAGAGGCATCAAATTGATGAACCTCATGCAAAATTCTAATCAGGGGTATAGTTAAATCAATTAGTGAAGAAATCATGTTATGAAAAAAAGGTTTGTTCTATTTAGTATTTTTAGAGAACATCTAGGGTTAGAGGTACATGTACATACCTTGCACCAGAGTGTTCTATTCTGGCCAGTAAGGGCAGATATATTCCTCTCATCTCGCTCTTCTATAATGAAAAATCACAAAACACAACATTAGGAAGGAGGTATTAAAATGAAAAAATGTCACCTCCTGCCATTTGTTACAGATGCTGAATGTTGTTTCAAATGCCAACTACCAAACACTGGCCACAAAAAGATTAGAGACTATAACAATATGTCTTGGTTATATCATTCATATCGGTCATTCAAAAGGTTATGTCAAGTTGCAAAAGTAGGTCAAAATGAACACATTTGTTTAAAATCCGGGATCCTACAACTTTTTCAGGATAAATTCCATGAAATTTTCGAAACACATATTTCCAGATTTTATTTTGTTTCAAAATGTCTCAACAAAAAAACTAAATAACAACTACAAAAACAAAAATCAGAGGTTCCGACATATAATTTAAAAAATTAACTATTTACATTTCTGACTTTTTGTTTACGATAACATTAAAAATTACCTTTTGTATCATCAAATATCTTCTGCAGTTGGGCTCTTAACTCAATAGGTGTCAGTAGAGTGTCATCCTCATGACGCACGGTCAAAGAGAAATATATTCCTTTCCTTGAAAACAGAATACAAACAGTTAAATACTGCTGAATGTAGTGTATACACCGGTACCCCACTCCAGTAAGTCGTAGGCAGAATTCCCAAGATGCTTTTATCACAAACATGTGTCAGTATCATGTCTAAGAAAATGTACATGAAAACAGTTACGATCTGCACTTCTAGCCCGTTCCACCACCTTGTTGATACTTACACAGGTTTTATTTTGTATGCTTGACACTTTTTATTGCATGCTTGACACTTACACAGGTTTTATTGTATGCTTAACACTTACACAGGTTTTATTGTATGCTTGACACTTACACAGGTTTTATTGTATGTTTGACACTTACACAGGTTTTACTGTATGTTTGACACTTACACATGTTTTATTGTATGCTTAACACTTACACAGGTTTTATTGTATTCTTGACACTTACACAGGTTTTATTGTATGTTTGACACTTACACAGGTTTTACTGTATGTTTGACACTTACACATGTTTTATTGTATGCTTGACACTTACACAGGTTTTATTGTATGTTTGACACTTACACAGGTTTTACTGTATGTTTGACACTTACACATGTTTTATTGTATGCTTGACACTTACAGGTTTTATTGTATGCTTGACCCTTACACAGGTTTTATTGTATTAATGCATAACATAACATACCTGATGACAATGATGTGTTTTCTAGCCTGGAATGTTTTCAGATAATCAAGTGAAGCACCTGGAAGTCTGCTAGTGCTGAACATCTGCCTGTAAATGCATGTAGATTTGAAGTAATACTATGACTGCATCACATGGAAAACAAGGCATTAACATGCAAATTGTCACCACCTGCCATTTGTTACAAAAGCTGGATGCTAAATGCCGAACACTGTCAACAAAAAAGTTTGAGAATATACACTTCTGATGTGGTGGTGACATAATAAAATTTGTATCCAGTACTATGATTTCTAAATATTTGAATTTCAGCTTTAAATAAAAAATATTAAATATGTTAAAGCTCCACAGATCTTTGTAATTCCCTCCGATCAAATGTGCAATGTTTTATTTCTAAACTCCTTCCATCTCATATGTAACGAGTTTCATTACAATGAGTCTTTTTTCCAAGGATCAGTTCAAAATTATCAAATTCATTTTCTCATAATGTATGATATACTTATATTACATACAGGGTGACCATAATATGAACAAATCGAATAGTATTACATACAGGGTAACCATAATATGGACAAATCGAATAGTATTACATACAGGGTAACTGTAATATGGACAAATCAAAAATATTTGAACTTAGAGGTATTGTCTTATAAATGTGTGAGGAACACAGTCATGTACAAAATTTCAAGGTAATTGCTTCAGCATATCTGAAATGGCAATATGTTTGATGTAACTTCTGGATCACCCTGTACCATGGGCGTAGAAAAAAAGAAATTTTGTAAAATTTATTGAAGAAACATTAATAAATCATAGTTTGAAATGCTTAGAATGCACCATATACAACGTAAATTTTAAAAAATTTCTAGGGGTAAACCCCGTACCCCCTTTTTCGGGCTTGCTTCGCTCACATTGATGCAAACCCAAAATATCGCACACCCCTTGACATTTGTTGGCTACACCCCTACTGTATGGACTAGAAATAAAAGGTATGTGCAACATGAGATGTATTTCTTACTTGTATGAATCAGTACAGATAGGTACTAGTCCTTGAGCAAGAACGACTGGTAGCTTCTGGGTGTGGATCAACTCCTCAAACCTATAACAAATCATAGGTACATTTACAGGGTGTCTCAGAAATGAGCAACAAGTGCTGAATGTCAATTACTTTTCACATGATATAGTTTATTAACTTGCAAACACAAATTCAATTTTTCAGATATCATCGCAATAAGCATGTGTTACTTTAATTATTATACAGCAAAGCAGCTGATTATAAGTAATACTTTATATATTTTATATTGTAAAATAATGAACATGAAATGCAAAGCTTCAGCAAAAATATTTAGAACTAGCTAAGGTTAATCATCAGCATTAGACATCATGGTATTTTCCTGATAGTTTTTGCAAAATCACAAAGGTCCATGTGCAGTATGGCAAGTGATTTAAGACAGTCATATCATTCACCATGGGTACTTTCTGGCCATCAATACAGTGGTTTTATTAAAAAAATAAGATTTCTTTCAAGTGAAGTCCCCATGATAGTAAAATATCATTCTCACTCTCTGAAAAATTATGGATTAGGACCCCACATTTGCACTTTAAAATGTTAGGCTCATTTTCTAAAAAGCGGATCTTGTTTTTCTCAATTTAAACATATCAAAAGTTTCTTCTACACTATATTTAACAATTTCTGAAAAGGAGATGCAACAGGAGATGTAACAGTAGAAAATATTTCTATAAATATTCGCCCCAAATATGGCTTTCAACAATGGTTAAAACTTCAGTTTCTTATGATAAACCCTTCCTATTCTTGAGCTTTTGTTTTCAAAATGTTGCCCATTGTCCCCTTTGGTTACAACTTTAAATAGTATGTATGTAAATAATGGTTTTCTCCATTGTAGGGACGCCCCCTTGAAAGCATTGCATGTTAAATTTGTGATTTACAATAATTTTGCTTGCTGTTTTCATTCATTTTTTACCTGTTATTGGAACTGAAACAAAAACATTGCATCTTGAAATCTGTTCTGTTGGGAATCATTAGAATTAAAAACTACATATGCAAGCTTGCTAATTTGCAGAATTCAGCATTCCTATAAATTTCATAACACCTTGCAATAAAATTAGAATTTTGTGCATGTGAACAAAATGAACCTATCATTTGACATGTGGAATCAACCTCATGAATATTCATTAGGAGTAGAGGTTCATCACATTAAAAATTGCATAAATGAAAATTTAGCAGTAAGCGCCTGCAAGCTTGCAAAGAACTTAATAATTGAGGGCAGCATGATATTTGTGCAAAGTAGTGTTGCGCCGAGTGATAGGAAAATCATTACCTAGAACCTTTATTATGAATCCCCTTGTTGCTGACCCCCTCCCCCATCCCGAGAACTTATATATTGCAGACTGAGCATGCAAAGAAAGACTCCCTCTTAACAAAGCTAAGCGACTTACTTTAGGAAGTGATATGTTACAGTTGCGGCTCTTGCAAGCTGGTCATAAGTGGGAATAGCAGGTTGACAAACGCCGTAGAAATTACTAAATACTGTAACAGAAAAAAGTGAATTAATTAAAGGTGGAATGTATTAATAATTAGTTTTTACATTATTTTTGTGTTTTTTTCCTTGTTTTTGCATGTTTTTTCTTCATTTAGTGATTTTCTCAATTTTCCCTAAACTTGGCTTCGTGAATAAATTTTCTGCTATTCCATACATATGACACAAATACATAAAAAAATTACAATCTACAATTTCAAGAAAAAACACACAAAAATATTTAGGGGTGCGGGGGTATTTAACGGTAAATATCCCAAACACAAATTAAATTAAGTTCACATCTAGTTTACACCTAGTTTACACTCAGTTTACATCAGGCCTAGGTGTATACTGTGATGAACATCCAGTTAATCAGCAAACAGTAACACTGATATACTAGATGTAAACTTCACTTAGACTGTAAACCAGGTGTAAAAATCAAAAGTTGATTTCAAGTATGAATTAGATGTAAACTTAACTTAGGACAACTGGAGGTCCATGATTTAGAATGGCAACCCCCAAAATGGCCAAAACAATTAAAATGTGAAGGAATTAATTCTCCAATAAATTATAAAATGTAGAAATACAATCAGACGGTAGATGAACTGTTTTAAATTTTGATCAACACAATCATAAGTGTATGTAGAACTTGTATATGTGGTATCTTATTCACATTTCTCTCTGATACGTTTTTGAATTTGAATTACAAACTTTTTGAATCATATCACATTGAGTTAGAACAATTATTTGGTTATTCAATTATTGGCACAAAAAATGAGATTTTTATAGAGATTAACAATATAGTCAACAGGCAACATTGTTAAAATACATCTAAGTTTAAAATAAGCCAGTGTGTATATCACTCATTTTATTTTTTAATCCTGTTCCATGTGACATAAGTTGAAATCCTTGAATAGAGATGCTTCTCTATTATATTCTCTTATCACGATACTGATTGGATAATTATCATGATGGTGGCATGAATGTGGTCATTATGATGATCGAGATGGATCCGGGTGTACCAAATTCTACACATTAATTAATATACTTTTGGGTGACAATCTTGTTTTCTGCATGCTGCCAATTTGGTAAATTCATTTTTGATTGCACAAGCACTCATCCTACTTTCTTCAAATTCTTACACATGCTTATGTAATGTGTATTAAGTAGCAAAATGAGTTCTGAGAAACGAGTGTAAGAAAGTCCTTTTGTAATCTCTCCCATGGTCTTCTGGTTTTCTATAAGTTGAAATGCTAAATCCTGCAAGTGAAATCAGGGAATTCTGCAAAGGGAAAATGACTACGCTAATTTTGAGGGAATTTCATATGTGTTTTTTCAGCTTTTAGAATGACACTCAAGTCAGAATTGACGGTAAAATATTGTGAGAAATATAAATCCAGTCAATAATCCATGCTGCCATCTAGTGGAGATAACTGAAGAAAACGACATAACAATTTTATCTTTCATATTTTAGTCATATGTGAGTAGTGATTTCTACGAGGAACTCTACTATAGATAGCACCTTGATCTAATGAGGTAATGCTAATAAATTACATAATTCGGGGGGAAATTCCGTGGAATTTGATCAAAATTTAATGTTTTGTGATTCCGCACCTGAAGGCCAATTTTACTGTGCTTGCGAAAATAGAATTCTAGGGGGAGTGTGTAATGTAGTAGTAGTAGAAAATCATGGGTTCAGTCCCCACAAGGGTGGACTGACTTTATCACATCAGCCCTTAGCGTTTGATTTAATTATGTGTTTCCATTAACAAAAAATCAGTTAGAGTTTGTTCTTACTATAGTGCTGAGACAAGGGAACCTTTAATAATGATAATAATTCTGGCAGATGTTCTATTGATGTAAATTGTGCAAACTAAATGTAAACTAGGTGTAAACTAGCTCATCTGCATGAGATATTAGTCAATGAACTCTATATGTAAATTAGATCTAAACTAGATGTTAACTAAAGCTATAAACGAAGTGTAAATTGAAAGTAAAATAAATGTAAATTACAATGTAAACTGAGTGTATATATTATGCGTAAACTAGGTGTAAATTAGCTCATCTGCATGTGAAATTAGTCATTTAAAACTAGGTGTAAACTAGATGTAAATTGTGTAAAGCCTTTGTAAATTTTGATATGGGATAAAATCTTCCGTTAGTTTAAAATAAACATTTCTGCCATAGGGAAAAAATCCTTTTCTCCAGTTGGCGTTCAGTTGTATGGAATACAATGCAGGGGGCCAAAATATGGCTTCAAATGTCAAGCATACCATTCAAAAGATGGACTTTAATGGCACATAAAGTCAATTATTGACTTAACAAAGCCAATTTATAATTAAAGAAAATCAATTTGTGACTAATATTTAGCCACCCTAAGGCACTGTACAATACAGTGAATTTTTCAAAACCAAAATATGGCCATACAAAGTCAATCCTGTCAATGTTTGACTGTACAAAGGCAATTATTGACTTAACAAAGTCAACTCACTGGCACATCCAGTGTGCAATAGTAGCTGCTCTTGCCAACTGGTCTCTGGTTGGGTTTTTTACCCGAGCCAATGCATAATAGTTCAAATCAACTAAAACGAAATATATGTACAGTTTTGTCTGTTTTGAAGAAAATTAAGTTTTTATTTATGGTTTTAATTTAATTTAAACTGTGTACAGTAAGAGCAGTAAAGAGTAACACCTCCAAAAGTATCCAATAACCCATTATCTTCAGATATTATTTATTGTATGATCTGTAAAATGAAGCCCTCTGATTGGTCAGTTCTTGTGCTGTACCAATCTGTATTGCTATTGATATTTTCCTCGTTGACCATCTAAGTCGCAATACAGAACATATTGGTATGGAGGGGACAATCTCAGTAGCAATACAGAGGATCACACAATAAAAACGTTATTGAATGATTTGAAGTGCAATACAGGATATATTCTGTCTCGATATTCTGTATTGGCACTCCACTTTGTCTCGTTCCAATACAGAATTTCTCAAGCAGAATATATCCCGTATTGCACTTCAAATCATTCAATAACTTATAGGATCTCTGTAAGGGGAATACCTCTGTAAGTAAGAGATTATGGTCATTTTTGTAAAACACAAAATTGAGTGAAAAGAATGCTAAAAACTAGATTTGACTAAACAATCATTATTCAATTTATAAAGATGAATGATACAAGATTGCTGATGAATGCTGTTCACATTGAATAATAAAAAATGTTGACTTCTTTATTTACCTGCAATTGGCCCTCTTTGAGCAAGGTATGCATAGTTCATCCATATATCACTCATCCAGTTCCTGCGTGCATTGTATCTGAAAATATCCCATAATGCATTAAATCACAAGCAGACGACATTGAAATTCAAACCCAAAATAATCATCAAATTGATAGCAGACATGATAATATACATGTATAGATGTCAGTTAGTTCTTCCAATAACTATCTCAGGTCATACTGAACTGATGCCATTGTTTATGATTTCATATCCAATAATGCATTGCTCTTAAAAACATATGCATATTGTCTATTGTGTATCTAACTGTAAGGTAAATATTGTGATACATATCTAATTTTTTAATTCATTTATTTAAATTTCAATCAAACATATGTGCGTGACATGTGACTTGGACAGACCTGGGGGGGGTATATAATTGCTGGTGAAATTGTTAGATTTCATCAAGGAACTATTTCCCAATCATTTACCTGCGAACCAATCCTTCCTGAAGCTGAGGGCCTTCGTTCTTCCTGAATGATTCCACAGCTTTCTTGGTGTTCGCAAAGTCATCGTTACTTAGAAGTGGCTTGAATGAAGTCAAGAATCTGAAAAATTAAATCTTCAATGAGAGAAATTCATAGGATACATAAATATATAAGATACAAGGGATCAACATGGAAAATGTCACCACCTGCCATTAGTTACAGATGCTGAACGCCAATCATCAAATCCAGAATACCAACCACCAAACACTGACTGCCAAACACTAAAAAGTTGGAGACAGTAAAAATGTGTCAACACTTCTAATGGTGAAATAACAACTGAGGGGTAATGAAGTCCCGAATTCTCTTAATTTGATTTTTTGACAAGTTTTTGAGAATATATAGGTAAAATTGGCATAATTCATGTCAGAGTTGGCATCAGTTTGGTCAAAACTGGCATTTTTAAATCAAAATTTGACCTGAGCCTCTGAAAAACAGAGCCTCTCATGAAAGCTGTATATTGGCCCAATACAAACATTTACCTGTTCAAGGTTTCATCTAGAGTAGGGAGGGGGATGTGGGGCATAATCTCATCAAAATGGAATGTGTCGAATGGACCTTTCCCCCGAAATGTTGTCAGCATGAATGCCCATACCTGCAAAATAATAACAAAATTGGTTTGCTATGGTTCAGTGGGGTTAGTGTGTTTTGTTCTTGAAATTTTGCCCTTTGTGCATCTGACTGATCAATATTCTAGCATAAATATGTTATTCATAAGAGTCCAGAATTAAGTCATTCAGTCAGTACATAATTTAAACATTGGTTATCTATAAAGCATTAATTTTATGAATTCATAAGCCTGTTATTCTTTAACTATGACATCATGATTTCCATGGTAACAATAACGAATTTATGAATATTCATTGCTTAAAATACACCCCTGGTTCAAAAATAAATTAAATGGTTATTATGTCAAGTAAAGTTTAAGTTGGTCTTGTTTCCCCCTCTCTCCCATACAGTCAATAAGCTTGTTTACTCTGAAGGGAATGAGTGAAAGTGTTTGTTTGTTTCTTTCTTTTATTAAAATATCTTTATTCTTTTATTCTACAACATATAAAATTGATTAATATATAAACATGACACTCTCAATATTAAGGTAGTTCTGCATAATGAGAATGTTTGTGTAATTTTCATTTTTACAATTTCTGTTAATTAATGAAATAGCTTATAATATATTATTACATACATGTATTTTAATGTATTGTTTGTATGTTATCATCAGATTAGAATAAATATTAATTAAAAAACACATTTATTGAAATAATGTTACTTCAAAAAAGATTTTAGGTGAAAATGCAGGATGTCTATAGTACAGAAAAAGCACTTGCAATTTTTGCACTTTTAGCTGAAGTGGCCTGGTTCAAACAATAGACAATTTTAAGTTTAACACATGAATATGCTAGTTGTGAAACATCACGGAGGCAATGTCGATACTGGCATGAATTCAAGTACAGTGCATATCTACAGGACAGTTTCAAGTACATGCAGGGGCTATAATTAAATATAAATTGGTTTGATAAATACCAAGTCTCCAGGTCTCTCATATAGCCAATCTAACTGTGCACTGCATGTTTCTAGCCTCAATCAACCAGTGTATATGTATCTTAAGGTCAGGTTGCACTTTGATGAAATTTCATGACCATGTGCTATTTTCAGATAAATAACTCATTCCACACACATCATCTACATCTTTCATTCATGCACAAAAGATGCATTAATATACATAGACTATTAATTGAGGCTTGATAATTCTTCAGAATGTTTGAATATGTCAGAAGTTTACTTTTCAAAATTGCCAAAAAATTCCAAAGTGCACCCTGGCCTTAAGCAATTCTCTCATCCATGTCCCTGGTATGTGAGCCTAACAAATAAGGGGAAGGGGTGAACACACTACCTTACTTGAGCCAACTTGTGAATCACTTTTCTTCAGGGATTTTGTTCAGGATGCTGTAGGGGAGAGTCAGAAGAAAGATGAACTATCTGCTCTGACAAGAGTTGGAGAAGCTAGACTTCAAGCTGCTATGCCCAAGAAAATCCTGGGGATGCCCCTGCCCAGCCTCTTTATATATGCATGTGCAAATACCAATGGGAAAGTACAAGTATGCTTACAGAACATAGCAACAAAGACAAGGCATTAAAATGAAAAATGTCACCACCTGCCATTTGTTAAGGACACAGAATTTTGTTACAGACACGAAACACTATCCACAAAAAAATTGGAGACCTTAACAAAAAATTAAAACAATATGACACCACTTGTGGTGGTGACATAGAAACAGCTAAGAGTACTCCAGTCATAGGAAAACAAACCCCAACTATCCCACATCATATTCCAGCATGGAAAGGTACAATGTCTTATACTCACTCCCCCCAATATTCAAGTACCAATGGCACAATCTGGGACCATAACACCAGGAGACATTTCATTCATACTGAGGTCACATGTTAAAGAATTGCTTTTAAAATTGATAGCCAATACTAATAAGATCAAAAAGTAGATGTAGATACTATTAGCATTCAAACAAGATAGAGCACTCCGTATCGATTGATGTGGGACAGACAAAATCTAATCTCGAAGTCCATAAGCATATCAAAGGGTCAACGTGTTTGAAGAAAAGAATCGAGATGGTTACAGAGGCTCAGAGTACATTACTTTTAGTACAGTTAAACTTGTTAAGTTTAAACACCACTGGAAGCAACCAAAGGTGATCAGAATAGCATACGACCACATTTCAAGGTTTTTTAAATTGGGAGACAATGGGAGATTACAAAATTGGAACTAAAAGAAAGTGTTCATATCGAGAATTGTTTGAGTAAGAGAAGTCGTCAGATGGAAGGTTTTACTGTAGATGTGTACCTGTTAAAGTAAATGCCCCTTGGACCTAAAAAAAGTATACTTAAATATAATAGAGCTTAATTTAACATTTAAGTCAATGATAAATCACACTTGTACGGAGGTGTTCCACTTACATCTAGGCATTCTACTTGACAGCCAAGTTGTTACATCAAATTATTGCATTTCCTTTTATATCACCAATTGCTATATTTGGCAGGAACCAGATTATATTCTGAGATTATCTTGTCTAAATATGAAACAATACAAGATCGTTGGATATACACATACTAAAGTAGGTGCAATCCAGACATATGAGGGTTGATCCAAAAGTTCTGAACCGTTTGCTCTAAAAATATTAATATTCATTTTTAGAGCAAATGGTTCAGAATTTTTGGATCAACCCTTGTACAATCCCATTGCATACACATGGAGGTGTGTTTCGCTTTATTGACAAAAGAGATATATCTAAATAATGTAATCTCTAAAATGAAGTTCAATGTTCACAAGGCGCAAGTTGATATAACTGATATTGAATTACTCAGCAGGGTTTTGATTCATTCAGATAAGTGTTTTGTATATGAATGACTGATATAAATATGACTATTGAAGTGCATACTTTGTTCTCTTAATAATAACTGCATGATTTCAACTGTATATTAGTAACAAAAGTTTTGAGTAATGGGTAATGTGGATACTGAAACACATTATCATATGGTTCAAAATTAAAATATTTTGTTCAACTTATTTTGAAATGGCATTTTAACAATTTTTCATTTTTCCTGAAAGTGCAGAACTATCTTCACACTTCTTGTGAAAAAGACTATGTTCAAGAATAGGCAAAATTTCACATGTAGAGACCACTTCAATTTTGACTAATTTTTTACCATAATCTGAAATACCCAGAGAGCAACCTTGTATGACATTGAAAAATCTCCAATTATTAGAGTGATTATGAAGCAGGATGCCAATTTTAAAATCAAAAACAAGTACAGTATAATGCATTCGTATTTATAGTTGTCCTTTATCCAGTGCTTTAAAGGGACTGATTTTTTATCATTATTACCACCTTGCCTGGCCTGTTCTAGGGGTATTAGTGCTAGTTTAGAATGAGGCATTTATTTTATCATATCGACATGAGCAATATGTGATGTCAAAGTGGCGGGCCAATAATGCATTAACTCCCGGAAATTTTCTCCGGAAAATTAGATATCGTTCAGTACGTACGATTTTCTTGCTATTTCAGCCCTGGTCATTAACGGTGGAACTAATACAAGTAACGTCATTTCTGTGGGCAATATAGTGAAATATTGGACTGAGGGCTGAACAATATTTCCCTTTTAAAATGATGTCACTGTACTATAAGTCAACATTTTTCCTACTAAGTACATTTTCCAAGTAATCAGTAGATGAGAAATAATTGCAAAATACAGTAAAAACCTACAGTTTGGACACATTTGGTACCTCTAAAAAGTGTTCTTCTTGGGAGGTGTTCTTCTTATTTTTTCTAAAGGTTCAAAATTGAAGGAAGAAAGTTTTCAATAAGATTTGAGACCTACTGGAGGTTATGCCTTCTCATGATACTCATGGTCAATATTCATATCTATAATCCATTCAATTTTAAGAACATCTTTTCTGAAATAGTTATCCCATAGCCTTGCACTCCAGAAGACAATACAGGCTGTGAAGTGTGGACCCTACAATATATGATATACCTCATTCACTATCAGCAAGCTCAAATATGATATAATATGATAAAACCTACTATCTCTACTTAACAATAATAGGTATGTGACAGATACGTGAAGGTCAGATTTTGGCGGGAGAGGGGGGAAGGGGGGGGATCAACTCTGGTATGTTCTCTCTCCTCCCCTAGCCCTCTCTCTGCTTCGTACACTTCCTTGAAAACGAGTCCATGGGGAATGCGACTATCATTAGAAAATCCATAAAACAATTTCGGACCAATAATCCCAAATGTGTCTCATATTGATCTATGGAAATTAGAATCAAACATATATCTCTAGAGTAGAATCAACGTCATTTTGGGAATTGAAAGTGTTTTAAGAAGAATGATCAGTTTTAACGAAAGTTGGTCTGTTTCACGTCTGATTGATTTAATCCTTTGAGCTCTGTGTTGTATCAATCATCAATTATCTATTAAACTGACATTTAAATGACCGTAATTCACATCATTGTAACAATTGCTAGAATAATCTATTTTTGGTTTGAATGTAATTACATTATTTTCCTAATAGAAACTAAATATTTCAGTCTTACCAGGCCTGTAGCCAGGGGGATTCGCTGCCCAAAAAATCTTTCAAAATCATGCAGTTTTTCACCATTTTGAGCACTTCTCAAGTGATTGTATAGCCATATTTGGGCCAAAATTGTCAAATGTGAACCCCCCCTGGAAATTTTTGAAAACTAACCCCCCCCCCCCTTGGCAAATCCTGGCTATGGGCCTGCTTACCCTGAGGTTAAAATAACTAATGAGGATCTAATTTACACATTTAATACAAGAACTTGCCCTCAATGATTTTGATCAGGTCGTTCAATAAGTTCACAACAAAATGCTCTCATATCTGGTTATTTCTTTTGATGTGTCATCAATTTCTGTTATTTCAAATTGCCTTATCCATCAAGATTTGGTAGAGATAGTTTTTGGCTAAAAACTATCTATTTTTTTGGCTAAAAATCATGCGAAAAATTCTCAGAATGGTGAAAAACTGCATGATTTTGAAAGAATTTCTGGCCAGGGGGCCAGCTCCCCCTCTGGCTACGGGCCTTGCACTGTACACGTTTCAATAAATACTGTAGCATATAAATGTATTTTTTCAAATTTTATGTATTGTACCCTAAGAATTCAAGAAAGGGGGCACCTTATGAATGATTCAGTTGTTGAACTTTTTCGGTGTTGTTGCTAGGGTCAAACTGTGTAACAGAAAGAGACAATTTGGTATTCTCTCTCTCAGCATATTGACTGTGATCTAATTAGTTGTATACCATTAGTATACCCCCTCCCCACACACCCACACTCCACAAAGGACCATAGTGACCTGGGCCAACAAACATAAACAAATCAAATCATAAGCTTTTGGTAGACCCAATTTTAACCTTGATTTACCTTGGTTGTTTTGGCCTTTGGGCGGTACATCCAGGCTCTGTAAGCTAACAACATTTTCAGCATTCTCCATCGCAACCATCCAAGTAGTTTTACAAGGGTATAGCCGAGCACAAATCCCACGAGACCAGTGCTTATTCTAGACAGCAATGAAAATTCCGCCACACCTATCCCGGGGAAATATTCAGCGTAAGGAGACAGCCAATCTTTCGCTTCATCTGGTAGGACACACAATACAGCTGCAAAGAAAATTCCAACGGCATACGGACTGGAAATCTTTGCTTTATCCGTGCCGTAAAACATGATGCCCAATTTACCGCAGTTATCCCAGAATTAGTGTTTGTTTGGGGTACAATATCTGGAACTTTCTCGCAGCAAAGTACCTGTCAACTCCGGTGCAAAGTTCAAGGTCAACTCACTCATCAAGGAGGTGCTGCCATCTATAAAATGTATTGATTTTATTATTTTCGTACGGTGTACTGTAGTGCAGTAATTTTCCCGGGATACAAAGCAGATATGGAAACATCCCGAGTTCCATCAATTTCTTCTTTTGTTTACTTAATGATATTTGGTGTTGACAATTTGTTACAAAGTCATGCATAAATATTCATATTGGTCAGTTTTACCCTAAAAGTGCTACAATATAGCCATTGATGGACCAAATATTTTCATAACGTGGGTTAAAGCAGAAAATAAGCCCCACGTAACTTGAGCAAAGCTGAAAGTTTCATCTAACTGGTGTTGACTATTGCAATATAGTCATGTCACAATATTGAAATTGGCCAGTTTTGCTGTGCTGAGCTATACTCTGTCAATGCAGAAACTTACGACCCGGCATCTTTACTTATCTTCCCTCTTTTGATAAAAGGGTGAACTAAACTCATCTGCCAGATTAATCCAGTGATCCCTGCATACAGTACAAATCGATTTAATTTTTAGAATTCACAAAAATTACTATTTGGAATATTACACGTCACAAATGCCCATCACATCCAATTTTATCCTAGGCCAAAATGATTCATGGATGTCCAAGGGGAGGGGGTTGTTGGGTACTTCCCCGGGAATTCTGTTTATAGTGCGAAGATGAGAATTATGTGGTCTTGCAAAAAAAGTGAATCTAGAGATGTTGGAGATGGTCTTTTAGAAGTAGAAGCCCCTGACCCTTATGAGTTATTGATAAAAAAAATAATAATCTGCTACATTCTTTTCTTAACATTAGTCTTTTTTTATTTCAGTATAAATTTTACATTGAATTTGAATGTATGTTTACATTGATTTTGTTTATATGATTTATTGAAATATTGAAAGAACATACTGCTAATAGATGGGGTTGAGGTTATGAATTGGTTTTTTAATGAGGCCAGTTATGATTTGCCATGTTTTCATGCTTTTCTTTTTTCTTTCCTTTTCTTTCTTGTTTCACAAATTGTTTGAAGGCTTCTAGAGTTGGGGTCTTTGTTTCCAACTTGCAGCGATATGCAAAACGTTTTAGTAGTAGAAGGAATTTATTTTCTTCAACATGATTTTCTGCTACATTCTTGATTAGAAACAAGATTAACACATTATAAATATTTTCCCAGTCTTTTATTCTGTACATAATAGTTAATAATTTCTACATATATATTTTTGAATCTACTGTACAAATCATTGCTTTTGCAATATGTGAGAAGATGTGAGTGGTTTACAGTCCACAAATCTGAGCTTATACCAAAATGGAGGGAATGTGGTATTTTAGGTAGTCAAGAAATATAGTTTTGTAAAAAACCTGATCAAATCCAGATATCATGTGACATATATTTCATAAAATTTCTTCAAAATCATATAATAAAGAAATAATAGCGTAGTAAATGCATCTCAATTGTAATTCATATCGTTGATTATGTTAGTATATTACCAGGGTTGGGGGGAGAACTAATGCCCCCCCGCCCCGACTTTGACACCCTTTAATAATTTCAATCAAGGCAGTGGCATTGATTTCTTAAGTACAACTCAAGGTTAACAAGTTTATATATAAAGTTATTTGTTCCATTCAACCTAATATAAATAGAGCTAAATAGGTCATTGAATAATTCATAAATAGGTCAGTTTAGTAAAAAAAGTGAATAACAATTTCAAAATGCAAAAAGTCAACTCAACATGGACATGGTAAATCCTAGGTGTATGAGGAAAACAGAAATTGAGATAATAAAAGAATGAACAATTTTCCATCCAATATTCTGATATCCCACTGACTCTTATTAAAGAACCTCAAAATGCTATCCCCCTCCCAATTTAGTCTTGAGTCAGTCTTTGCAGTGTTAACGTAGACAGGTTTTACTGTAGATATCAAAATTTTGGACACAAGGTTACGAAAACTAAATTATCAAATCACATCTAGAACTTCGTTGTGTCGGAATTAGTACATCAACATATAACAAATAGAACATTGGCTAACAATCATATGCAGATAACATGCCCATATATGGTATAATCACCTCAAAACTATACATATATGGAAATAAATAATTAAAATGAAATAAACTGAAAAAATCTAGGTAAGATCAGGGAAATTCACCCTTACAATCAGACCATGTCAAGTATTAAGTAGTTTTTCAATGGCATTCTCTTAACCATAAATTCTCTACCATACATTATCTTAACCATACAATATACATACTGTAACCATCATCATTTTGGTATGAATGGTTCCTTTAGTGAACTTGAGGAATTTGAAGACTGCATCTTTTAATTAAAATTAATTATAGCCAAATGATTTTAGAGGAACTACTTTTAATTTTTTGACAACGATTTTGTGATTCATACAAAAGACCCGTTTTCCTCATTTAGCAATAGTTAATCAATACCACCAATGTCTATAAACAGAAGTGTGTCAAATGACACAGAAATACATGGTATAATGTATTCTATTCAATTAATAATGGGCAAGCATTTTTACCAATAACTAACTATTAAGAATTTTAGTCAGATCAGATCTCTCAAGGTTTTTCCAACAGAGTGTAATTTCATCAATATGATCACCACCAAAAAGCTGAGGAGATCACTTCAAATACAAATCCTAACATAGTTTTATATAACATGCTGGCAAATCTTTATATTGATTTAAATTGATTCCCTGAATTGAATAGTCTTGTATCAAGTCTTTGTGTACCATCCCCGACATACACACATATGTACGAGGGGTGATCATAAAGTTCTAATAATGAATCTCTAAAATAAAGAAATTCAAGAGATTTATGATCAACCCTCGAAGTACATCCAACCTCCAAATAACTAAATAGAAAATTGGGGGAGAGGATGACCAGAGATTTGATACTAGACTTCTAAAGGAACAATACATAGATTTGGTTGAAACTTTATACACTTTGTACAACTCATGAGATGAACCAATACATGGTAAATATGCTCTATACTCAATACAGAAGAACATGAGCCATTCAGTGTGCATGTGACATAGACAATTCATATGCCCTTTGAACAATACATTGAATATATGCCATGTGGACAATACATTTAATATATGCCATTTGGACAATATATTGAATATATGCCATGTGGACAATACATTCAATATATGCCATGTGGACAATACATTAAATATATGCCATATGAACAATAAATTGAAAATATGCCATATGTTTGTACATTGAATATATGCCCTATAGACAATACATTGAAAATATGTGATACGGGCAATATATTGAATGTGTGCCACATGGACAATACATTGAAAGTATGCTTTCCGGAAAATATATTAAATATATGCCCTTTGTACAAGATGAATATTTGCCATAAACTGCATTGGATACATGTCATATGGGCAATACATATGCCCTGTGGGCAATATACAAGTATTTACCCTGTGGACAATATATTGAATATATGCCCTATGGACAATACATTGAACATTGCATGTCACATCATTGCAATGCATTGAACATTGCTCTATGGGCAATAAATTAAATATATGCCCTGCATTCAATATACATGCCCTGTGCAAAACATGCTCTATGGGCAAAACATTGAATACACCCCCTGCATACAAAATAATGATTACATGCTCTTTGGGCAAAATATTGAATACATGCTCTATGGGCAAAATATGGAATATATGCCCTGCATACAATATAGTGAATATGTGCCCTATTGAACACATGCTCTCTGGGCAAAATATTGAATACATGCCCTTCATAAAATGCCCTGTGCAAAAATACATTGATTTTATGCTTCAAGAGCAATATACATATTTAATAAATTGCCCTCTATAATAAACATAAGTCAATGCTATATACAAAATATTGAATATTTGTCAAAATATAACTTGAAAAATATGGCATACATGTAAGAGACATAAGTAGGTCTTATACCTTATATAATAATTACCTCAACACAACTGATCCACTTACATAACATAGTGATCTCCTCAGCATTGAAGCAAGTGGGCGCAGCACCCATCTGAGATTTTAAAAACAGGCTTGCACCCACCTGAAAATCCATTTGCACCCACTTGAAAATGACAAAATTAATGAATAATTGGCATATTTTGACTAATTTGGGTCTAAATTGTGAAAATGAGAATTTTGCACCCACCTGAGAAAAAATACTGGGAAGACCACTGTGACATCATGCATTTTGCAAATAGAGATAGGACATAACTAACGATACTGGTATTGTATGCCTTGACATCAAATAATTACATATTAACATTGTGGTTTTAAAATCTCTTATTCTGATCTTTAGTTTTTTATTTAAAGATCTGGAAGTAACATTTTCCTAAGACGATGAGAGTCTTCAAGATACCATTTACAATCATGTCCTTAGTAACCACTAAATGCCATTAGATTCCTCTCTTTTGAACTATGGGAGAGTCAGCATATCTCAAAATTGAAAAATACTGGGAAGAATTCTTCCTTGCCATGTTCATCATCTTCCATATTTTAACTCTGGAATTTGGTTATTGTAATTCGCAATATTTTTAAGAACTCCACCTCTTTTTATTTAATTTGCATTGGGTTCTCGAATCCAGTCATGTTTCCAGCTACAGGGAGGCCCAAAAAACAGAACCCACAAATCTCTTCTGTTGAATAAAAAGTTCTGTTTTGGGTCACCCTGTATCATAAATCCATGTTTATTTATCAAATTACCATTTTAAAGATTCTTATCTCACCTAAGGGTAAAGCTTAAGAACATTGAAACTCATATGAGCCCTACATCTAAATTCATCAAATATTTGAGCTCACCAACCATAGCTCATCAAATATTCAAGCCCACCAACCATAGCTCATCAAATATTTAAGCTCACCATCATAGCTCACAAATTACAGCTCATCGAGCTTGATAAAATAATAATAAACACTAACCAACAGTCATTTTTCAAATAACTATCCTTAAATTATTCATATTTTTAATGGAAAATAAGAACAAAGTTCATGAAAACACAGAATGAAATCCTGTGCCAAGGGCTGATGTGAAAAAGTCAGTCCACGCCAGTGAGGATCGAACCCACAACCCCTCGCTTTCCGGGCAAGTGCTCTATATATTTCTTTTCCTGATGCACAATTCATGAATATCCTCATGTTGATACAATATGATTCCTCGCTCCTCCATCTGATGTTGAGAATCCTCAATTTTTTAGAGTCATGCGCTGATCCATTTTGTGAGAAAGAGAATAATAGCCATATCCAATATGTATATCCATTCCATATCTAGATATGATATCCAGATCTAATCAATTGTATGCTAGGTCAAAAAACTACTCAAATGCCATATGGACTTAAACCTATGAGCAATAGAGGTTGTATTTACAATCTCATAGACTTAAAGTGGTAATGTACATGTACTGGGCTTGTTATATATGTACCTGATTTTTGTATGTGCATTTTTCAGGTTTTGGAGGGGCTTTGTACATATCAAAGGGATGCAGTCCACAGTGGCATTGCTATAGCCAGGATTGAGACATTACATTACCAAATGTTGAACACAAATTATGTGCTCATCAGTAACAGTTACACAGGCCATATTGGCAATGCAAAGTTATGTTGGCAATGCACAAGTTATATTGGCAATGCACATGTTATATTGACAATGTACAAGTTATATTGGCAATGCACAAGTTATACTGGCAATGCACACGTTATGTTGGTAGTACACACATTTATGAATATATTGTACAGATCATTGAGGGCAATGCACACTTTTTCTGCTATATGTACATAGAGCAATGCACAAGTGTTCAAGTTAATGTACAGATCATTAAGGAATCCACACTAGAGTTCTACAGCAGCATATTTGTATTACAGGGTGTTCACTTTCTTCAGCAGCTCTGTTATGAAGTTCTGCAAATACATGAAAATACACATCTTTAGAGAATATTCTGAGAAAAATACACATTTTGAGAAATGACTTTTAGACCAATACACATTTTTAAAGAATCTATTCAGAAATTCATATTTTGTGCTGCATACAACATGGATGATCATGTAACACTTAAAATAGGTACTAATTAATGGTTTTGTAATAAATCAACTATTTGGTATCTTGCTTGTCATGGCTATCAATGATTCATTATGTTGTGGTTGGTCTGGGAAATATTTAACCCACCAAAAATCTTGTACAACAAATTAAAGTTTATTTCATAAAGCCTTTCAAACATTCGAATGAACTATCAATTTTTGATATTTTTGTACTACACGTATTTAATGTTTAGATGTTTATTAATTGTTGCTTGCATTTGATTAAAATTTCTTTGTTTTTTATTTATTTTGAGAGCAAAAATGGGAGAGTAATTAGAGTATTAAATGTGGGCTTGGTTAAGGAAATACTTCATCAATCAGAGACTGATTCTGTTTGACACTTACAGGAGTTTAACATCCCATCAGAAAATGCCACGAAGGTCATGTTTTAAAATGCAAAATAGAGTAGAAAAGAGTGGAATCAGCAAGGAATAAAATACACAGGCATGTAGTCAACACTCCAAATTGTATAGAAATGCAAGAAAATCGGGCAGTGTAATCAAATTTTAGAGAGAAAAAGCAAGAAATATGCATGACTTGGAAAAAATTTAGAAACAGGTAGAGAAAAAACAGCAACTGTTGCTAATCACTTCTGAAGGATGTTTGAAAATAAATCTATCTGGTGGTCAGGTCATGTGAAATTTTTAGTCTGCCTGGTGTAAAGTAGATCAGGGGAGGGGGGTAGGATCTTGAAGCAAGATCATGAAATTTCTTGAAAATCAAAGAAGGAAAACAGAGTAATTAGCAACAAATAAATTAAATTAATACAGAGATGAAATCAAAACTCAAAATCAAAAAATTAGTCTACATGTACCCTTTGGTACATAAGTTGTACATGCATAATGCAGAAGCCAAGGAATTTTCACCAATAATTTGAGAACTTGTTTGAGGGTTCACTGCTGATTCAGATTATCTTGAAGGATATAACTCACTAAAATCTGGGCAAAAAGTAATTTTAAACTTCCTCCAGGATTGGTTTCCATATATTAGTTCCTATTAGCAGGGTGATATATCAGTAATAGATTTAGGTGCATTAAGGTGGGACCATATGAAGAATTTAGATCCTGTTAAGGATGGACTAGTAAAATGATTTTGAAGCCATTAATGGTTACTTCTGATTTCATCACAAACAATGGGGTTGACAACAATATGTCACCACATCAATACTTCTTGGTAGTGACATAAACCGGTAATTGAAAATATTTTCAATTAAATTCCCTCACGAATTCTTACCTCCTTGCCTAACGCAAAAAAAAATTAATTTATTTCACAAGAAACTAAATCGCTGATTCAATTAGAAATAAGTGCTTCAAAAATAATCAAAGTCAATTAGAAATGCTTTCCGACTGATTTGATTGCTACAAAAAACAGCAGTTTGAAAATAAAATTAGACTTTTAAGGATCGATACTCAGCTTTCAACAGCTGTTTTAATGTTTGTATATCCAATTTACCAAAAATATTTGACATAGACCTATTTTAAGCCTTTTTAAAGGAGGAACCGACAAAAATAAATGAATAAAAATAAGCAGAAATATTTGTAACTATCAAACCAATAGAGTTTTTTAAATTTTCAATAACAGAGGACAAAAGCATATACAATAGCATGCAATTGGAAGGTTAAACTAAGACATTCAATTGAAATAAAGTTTTTTCAGTATTAAATGGGCCTCAACAAGCAAACATTAAGAACTACTTTAAATTCTGAATAGCCAAAAACCTCTCTTATCTCAACATTTCTCTATTTGACATGTCACTCCTTTTTTTTATTAATTTTTTGATTTATCTGCCAAAAATGTCCATGTTAAAATTTTTTTTAATATAAACGTCTGCCAAACCAACCACTTTCGGCTGGCCTTTGTATCAAATTAGATAGGCTTTCCTGTACACTGCATCTTCGAATAAAAGGATAAACTAATCTTACTAGAGAGTTAAGGGTAAAACATTAGAAACGGGCCATTGGGAACTGCTACATATGCGAAACAGGTAGTCCTAATAGTGCTCAACAATAGATTGACTTTACTATGGATCGTATTTGAGAGTAAGAGGATAAACTGTGTTATGATCTAATCAAGGGTAGTAAAGGGTAGAACATTATAAAAACCAGCCATTTGGAACTATAACATATGAGAAACAGGTAGTCTTAGAGTGTGATAATTAGATACAGACAACAACTTGCAGTTACACAGTATGAAATGAGGTTTTTATAAAAACAATACTGGTAGTTTCTGTAGGATCAAATAAAACAACAATGATGTTAGTGAATATTTCCTCTTCCTTCTATGTATAGTATAATGTGTATGAGATCTTGATTTGCAATTTCTAGAAAATCATGCGATGTTTACTATTCTGTTTTGAAGTAGTTGAGCAATGACCTGATATACCTAAATCGTAAGTTACAGTAATTTTCAGAATATGGAGAATGAATTAAGAGTCGATTCAAGAATTATAACAAATACTGAATTGATGATATCATGTTCAATTGCATGTAAGTGGAGTACAAAATTAAAACCCATTCTTAACATAATGAAAGCCTTTATCAGAGCATGGCAGGCAGCAAGTTGAAAAAACTTCTACTCCAAACCATTAAGTATCTTCATAAAATCCTTTGTGAATGGGTTCACACAATGTGTGATATTTGTTTTGGGTATTTCCATTTTTTAGGAGTCGATGAACTTTTAACCTGTGAATACCCTATGTAGGTCAAGAATACAAATATTTGAATAATGATCAGAGTTCTTTTAAAATCTACTGACATTTTCCTGTGTTTTAGGTAAACCTTCAAATGATGTATTGCATTCTTGCTTTTCACTACTTTTTACTGCTCAGGCCCGTAGCCAGAATTTTCCAAGGGGGGAGGGGTTCACTTTTCCAAAGTTCACATTGGTAAATTTGGCCAAAAATCACTCAAAAATAGTCAGAATGGTGAAAAACTTCATGATTTGAAATTAATGTTACCCAGGGGGAGGGAACCCCACCCTGGTTATGGGCCTGCTGCTTGTCTCTTTCTTTCACATAATAACATATCACTATTGTGACTGCAATATCTTGAGACAAGAGAGTTGGATGTTGACTGATTACCATCCTTTTCGCAAAATCATTTTTACACCCAACAAATTGTCTTTCAAAATATGATCACAATTTTCCAAAGGTAATTTATATATGTACACTTACATTACTACTAAAAGTATATAACAAAAATAGAAAAATTTATATTTGACATTTTTAAAAGTCCTTGAATGGATTGGCAGTGGTAGCACTATACACATTAATTATACAAATTATATTATTAATAGACAATTCTAAATGGAGAAAATGTTTGTAATGACCTTCCTTTCCAGTAAGGTTAAATTAATTCCTCTTTGCTCCCATGGAGCTTTTCAGTAAAATTCAATTTTCATGATTGAACCCAAAAGGCAGAAAAGCCAGTTAAACACGTATAAAATGTATGTTTAAGTTTTAACAAAATAGTAAAAGTCCTTGTTAATTAATCTTAAAACTCAACTGTAAATATAACTGACATTAATGGTCATTCCCGTAAAACAATTCACTCTTAGTCATGTTGAATTCTTTCATTTTCTCTCTTAATTTTCAATGAAGTGTTTCATTTTTTGACATTTCCATACAATTTAGAGTTCTAACTTTATCCACAATAACTTTATTTCTTGTTATTTCTTCAGATTTTTTCATAAATTGAAAAAGAAATTGACATGTATTACGATATCATGCCCAGTTATATAGGCCTCAAGGGATGAGTAACTTAAAAGAACTATAACCTATGTGTGTGTATGTATGTATTCAACAGTAATTCACATAACAGGCAGCTTCAAGCAAAGTCGCAAAAAATATCTCATTACAAAACAATTATGATTGAAACATCTAATCACCAAATACTGTTTTCTAAATGCTGTAAACTAGACTGACAAACCAAAACCTCCATATGACAGTATATGGGTAATGAAATATAATAAAATAATTTTTATTTCCATCTATTAATTGATGTTCATTGACTACTATACAACTAACAATAACTGAAATAATCCAATATTCAAAATATCACAATTCTCAAAATTAAAGAGAACAAAACGAAAATCAATTCAAAGGCCATTGAATGGAGAGTTGGACTAAGTTAACAATGGTTAAATCGAACCATCATTATTTACTTTTAAATGTTACCAAGCATCCATATGTTTAAGTGTTATTTTGTAATACAAAGTGGTTGATTTATGTTTAGTTCATTGACCTACATGTCTGCAGTTATTTTAGATACACTCCCTTATAAGTGCCACTGGATAGGGGTATTTGATGGAAGGGGCCCAAACTAGAGGTGTCAAGTATAACCGGTTAACCGGTTAACCGCCGATAATGCCTTGACCGGTCTGAGTTTTTATGGGCGGTTAGTTGACCGTGTATAATTCTGTTATTTCCCGCGCTTATTTTGCATGCTAATCCGTTTCGTTTTATGGTGTCAGTTACACGTAAGCTACTCATACATGTCATAAGTCCAATAACTCCTTACAAACATCCAATCAGCAACTTTAATCCCTGCCACATTGCTTTCGCGCGCTTACTTTGCATTTTAATCTGTTTGTTTTTCAAGCGTCAGTTTCATGTGAGCTACTCATACATGTGATAGGTCCGATAATTCCTTACAAACATCCAATCAGCAACTTTAATCCCTGCCACGTTGCTTTCCCGCGCTTACTTACATAGAATAGCGTAAAGCTTGACGAACGTAAAAAATAAACGCCGATATATCATTTTTCCAATTATTTTCAACTTTCAAGATCGAAGATGAAGATTTCATTTGAAATTATAAGTTCAAATTTCCCGCCGGTTAACCGACTTTAACCGGTAAAAACCTCCGGTTAACCGGTTAATGCTCAAGCGGTTAATTGACACCACTAGCCCAAACCATTAGGTGGTGTAAACGTTTATATGGGCAAATGGTCTAATCAAATGGCTATGAAGAGGTATTTTACCATTTGATGAGGTTATACTTTATGGGAGAAAGTGGTTTATCTTTCTTACTTTCAATAAAAATGCTGTTTTTGAACAATTGGACTTCAAAAATGTTTCGTTATAAACCGCCCTCAGTGACTCTGAGTTAACAAATATGTACTAGTAACGGATATATATTTTCCAACTCACACAGAGAATATTCCTGTTTCATTCAGACAGAAAAAGATATTTTTATATTAACTTGGTTTGATTCATGCAAGACCAAGTGCTCTCTGGCATATGTGTTTATTGTGTTAGAATGAGGCAGAGTGCCTGGGATTTACTTATAGCAAACTTCCAAATTCTGACTTTATCGATAATTGGTCAAAATATTCCTATTTCTCAAAATCTAAAGTGGGTACAATCACACTTGCTTCAATGTTGGGAAAACACTATACTCAATAGTTCACACCCAATGTGAAAGTTAACCTTAGAATGAGTAAGCAGAAATTGTAGCATATAGATTGGGTCTCACATCCAAAGATAGCCAAGAAGAATTTGGTTCATTATATCCTCATTCAAGAAAATAGCACATTGTTTTAGAGTAAGAAGGATAGACCACTTCCTCCAAATAATAATTATAAGGGTTCTAATATCACAGATTATATCTTGGTGGTTAGCATCTACAACAATATTACATAATTCCTCCTACTTACATGTATATCTTGTGGACTGGATTTAGGTGTATTTATTATTTCTTTCTGAAAATAGAAATAAACTCATATATAGTAAATTAGTTATATAATAAAAGTTCAGCTTAAATATATACTAGTCTAAACTGTTCAATTTTGGGGTAGTACGTGTAGACTGACTTTGGTAGCATTCCCGAATTGAACTGCTGGCTGATGGTTTAACCTACTTTTTATGGCCAACTCATTTTGATGCGTCAAAATAGTGACAGGCACTTTACATATTTAAAAAATGAGTTTGCCATAAATAGCAGGTTAATCCATCAGCTGGCAGTTGAACTTGCGAACCCTGCCTTTGTTATATTCATCAGACATCTAACAAGTACACATTGTACATTTAACAAACCACAACAAAAAGTAAATACATCTTTATATAAAACATGAAATCTAAGCTTAGAAACATGGCATCTGATTATAGAAACAATCTTTATATAGTGTATTTATAACAAATAAGGTTACTTGAGTAAACTAATCAAGGCTAAAAAACTACATTTCAAAACAAATCACAAACACAATGACATCATAGCTTTTGTACATAATCAGATCCCAAAGTCCGATTTTTGGACAGAAAAGCATGTAAGTTGAATTTGTAACTAACAGGAAGTAGTATAGAATCAAGTCCTGATTTAGAATATAAAAAAGGTAAAAATTCATAACTCGTGTTTACATAATACAGAACAATTGCATAAATTCAATTAATAATTAATTTAATTGATAAGGAGTTATCTCAGCAAACACAATAAGGGACAAGATAATATAAAACTGAGTACTACAAATGTACAGTCCGTGATACACTGTCTGAATATGACAACCATTTGCATAATACACCATTGAGAACCTCTATTGTATGAGATACCAAACAGATAAATGTTTGACATTGTAGTATAGAGTGAACTAGAAGCAGGAAGTTTTGAATTTGAGGAAATCACATGATTTAAATCATGTGCACAAAGTTTATTACAGTTGCAAAAAGTGCAACTTTAGCCTCCTTGATTTTGCAGTTAGAAAGCACCAAACGATACAGCAGATCAGGAAATCTATATTAACAGATTCCTTTTGTTTTGAGAAGTTTTAAAGGCACTAAAATATTGTGCATGAACAAGGCAAGAAACCACAACTGTAAAGTCAGAAACTGCACACTCTAAGCCAAGTAAAGTTCTACGTATACAAACATGAAACAACAGTAATCGTGACCACGACCACCGAATGCCAGAAACGATAAATGTAGAAGTTAGCTACATATAACTTGAGAAATTTCCAGTGCAAAGTGAAACAACTGTTTTCAAGATGGATCCACTTGGTGACCCTATTGAAGAAGACATTGCATTTGACCTGGAAGATATCTGGACACAAATAGATGACAATGACTTACAACATCCATTGACACTCCCTCCCCTTGTGTGGGATTTCCCGAATCAGCTCCAAACTCTCAAAGATCATCGTTGGACATTTAAACGTCAAACGGGCACTCAGGATCTACTTGTATGGGACTTTGAACGTCAGATCAAGGAGCCTAACACAATATGGACATTCAAAAAACAATGTCCAAGGGTTTCTACAGTAAACTGGTCATTTGATCAATTACTTCCAAGGCAAACAACAATATTATGGAGTTTTAATCGCCAAACACAAATGGAATCAACAATTCATTGGAATTTTTTACATCAAAACCCGAACAAAAGCACAATTATCTGGAAGTTCACACCTCAGTTGAATTCAATACCATTGATCAATTTCAACTTCCCGAAACAACTCTCAACGGTATCAACATTGACGTGGGATTTTCCAAAACAATTCATACCATCAGATATACATTGGCATTTTAAGAAGCAGACACCTTCAAATGCAACGAGTGTTATTAATTGGAAATTCACTCGACAAATGGCTCAAACTGGTAACATAAACTGGGACTTTAATAAAGCATTGCAAATCCGCGATCGGGTTAATTGGAATTTCCCGCATGTTACCCCTGAGTTGTCAAACATCAAATGGAATTTTGTGAAGGTAACACCAACGAAAGCTTCGGTAAAATGGGGTTTCAAGCCGATGTTAACTAAAAATGGTATTAACGATATCAAATGGAATTTCCAGAAAAGTCTACAAACAGCTCAGCAAACGATGACTTGGAATTTCCAAAGTAACATTGCAACGATAAAACCTGTCAATTGGCAATTCAAAAAATGTTGCGATTATAAGGATAAATCAATTGATGAAATAAAAAATGACAATGTAAACTTCAAGAAGAACTATATCAACAATTACCATAAACCTCATCATGAATATAGAAGTCATCATTAACCGGCATAAACATTGGCATTTATATGCCAGTTAATGCCTGATATTGCCAAATTTTGCTCACCCTGTAGAACAATCATTAAGAGAAAAATTTGGGGAGAAAGTTGCATATAATACCTGGATGCTAATTGTATAAGAATAGAAAACCACATGTTTAAATTCTATTGAGAAAATGAAATAGGTATGTAAAAATCTCTCCAGATGTTGACCTTGACATACTTAGAAGAGAAAAACTAAAAAAAACAAGGAAAAGCAAGAAATAAATCTATCAGATACAAATGAAAATGAGGTTATTTGACCAAGACAATTTACCAAAATTGTATAACTCTTTGGACTGGTAAATATTTTTTGTTCTTCAAATTGTGTGATACAATATTTCCCCAGCTGTTGCATGGTGAACGTACTTGAAACCTGGCCAGAAAAGTTCAACTCCATTCATCCTAATTTTACAATTTTCTCAAAAAATAAAGTTGAAACAAATTCTTTGCCTATATGTCATTTTCTAGCTGGAATGAACTATGTATCTTTAATCATTTAATTTTTCCATTTTCAGCACTTTGCCATATTTTGCATTGAAATGATTGACCACCCAAGTCATTACTTTCAAGCAAGTGAATGACCTTCAGCGAATCACATACCTTTACTATCATATATTTATTACCATTCATAAAAGGCAGAGTAATATTGACCCTGTGATAGACTGAACTGGAAAATTATGAAATTGTTTGGAAAAGAAATCAATTATGGTGAAATAGTTTTATTCAAGTAATATACCATTATGTTCAATTTCATGTTATTTATAAAATTCCATTTATCAATGTAAAGCTGAGAGGTCGAAATGACATGCTATTCAAAACAAAGTTTAGATATTCAAATCTTACATATGTTTTTTTATTGTACAGTATAATTTTTATATGGGGACACAAAATGCTGAAAGGTGATTTGCCCGAACACTGAAAATTCACTGTATAATTGAATTAATGAAATCAATCTATTGATTAAAAAATTCAAAAGAAATTGTGAAAAATATGCGCAATATCTTTCAACCTACTAACATGACCAAGCATTTTCTGCATGACAATACATATAATAATTAGTGGTGCAACTCGCAAGAAAAATGCTACTCGAGTAGAAAGTGTGAAAATGCCACTGTAATCGAGTACCACTCGCAAAAATGAGGGAAAAATTAAAAAAACAAAAAACTCACCTAGTCGACTGTTTGAAGACCAAAAAGATATTTCTTCGTTTCTTCTTTATGTTATTGATGTTATATATAGTTTGTATCAATTTAGTGAGAATAAATGTAGTTATTCATGCCATAATTGTGTTTGTTTTTCATTTTTTTAAATATTTTCATTTTGTTTCCGGAATCGATACTTTGTTTCGTTCAGTGCATCCAAAAATGATCATTCCCGGGGTATGAGATCGTTGTTTGGGAATTCAATGCCTACTCGAGTTTGAAAAAACGTACTCGAGTAACTGTCTTGGACAGGTTCAACGAGTGAGTGGCGAGTACTGGCATTCGAGTTGCACCACTAGTAATAATATCATCCGAAAGTAATTAAATAGATAAAAACAATAAAAATTGGTACAATTATAGTGAGTTTACAAGACTTCTCAAACATTTCTTATTTATAAAAGATTGATTTGAACAGGTAATCCTTATTTGAAAACCAAGAAATGTCAATGAAAATGTTGGAACTACTTTAACAATGAAACAAAGAGACAAACCTAATTGCAAAAGCAAAAATTGAGTATAAATTCAAGTTAAGTTGAACAATGTCATGGGATGCACATCAAACTGTGTGAATATTTTGGAAAAGCTCTTCAATGATACACAAAGCCACCAGCTAAAATCTTATGAAATGACACCGAAAAACTAAAACTATTTGCTTGTGCATACTGTATGGTTAAGATAATGGAAGAAATACTAAATGAGCCAATTTTTAATAAAGATTCATTATGAAGTTTTATATGAATGTAATGAAATATCCTAAAATTCAGGTCAGCTATGTGGCCTAAGATCACATACTATAAAGGTGTTTTACTAAATTGCATAAATTATTTATCTAAACTTAATAATATCAAAAGTAAAAGGTTATCTCAAGTCAACTTATCAGCCAAGTTTCTTTCACATATTTATGTATTCACATGAATAAGCAATATGAAAACAACACACTAGAGAAATGTATTGAATGACAAATTAAAAATAAAGATTAAATGAGAATAAGTGATAAGAACTTTGATGTAGACTCATATATGAAAAATCGTGATGCTTATCTTTGGGCCTCTCATACTTTTTTCATTCAATGATATTTGGCGGATGTAATGATTTTGGTTTTTCAACAGAAATTGTGACTTTGAAGTGATAGAGAATGATATAGTGACATCAAGAAAATACAAGAAATATTTAAGCCATATGAGCCAATTTGATTGCTATAAACATCACCATTATTGAATAAATAAGGGTTATGTACTGGGAGGTTTTGGATATGGGGTTTATCCAGAGGGAGATATGCATATCTACCTGAGGGACCGTAGGGACCAAAGATAGATGTGCATATCTCACGAGGGATGAACCCAATATCCAAACCGATGGTACATAACTGCTTTATCCTATACCAAGTAGAGTTTTCAGTGAAATTACCGGAAGCGGGAAGATATGCACCGAAGCGGGAGATATGGCGGGAGATATGGAGGTTCTGGATATGGAAACCTCAAAATCAGGATACGGGATATATCTTACCAACTTATCTCCCTAAAACTCTACTTGGCATAGGATAAACTGTTTTATCATCCCTTCAGTAATGAATATCTTCATGGATAAGGGTGATTCTACATATGATCCCAAAGTGTATTTATAAGTTATATTTATTTTGGCTATAATTTTCAGACATCTTACTCAATGCAATTTTCTTTGCATTACTATTTTTAAAATTGATCTATTTTTATGCAAATCACATTAAGCCTTGTGTCATGACAACCCCTCCCCCATCTCCCAATTCTCATAACATTTCATTGATAAGGATAGAGCAGGGTGAACCATTTGACAGCCCCTAAGTCATAATCTCCACTTTGTCTGAAATTAAGAGCAGTCGTCTCTGACAAGTATTGAATAAAAAAAATAATAAATGGTCATAATCTACCACCTCTCTTAAGTATTAATAAACCATACATATCTTGATGTCAAATCTGTTTACAATTTTTAAATCTATATCAAATTCAAAAGTCATTATTGACTCAACTAAACGTGTTAAAATACATAAAATATGCGGTTTTAATAAATGTTGACAAAACATTAAAATGATATTTGTTGATTATGACCTTCCACCTTCATGACTTCTTAGAAATTGACTATCAATGCAATAGAACACACTTAGAAATGTCACTACACAGCCATGTTTTAAAATGTAAAATAGAGTGGAAATGAGTGGAATCAGCAAGGAATAAAGTAAACAGACACATAGTCAATACTCTAAATTGTATAGAATTGCAAGAAAATCAGATATTTCATTCAAATTTTAGAGAGAAATAGTGTGAAATATGCATGAGCAGACAAATATTTCAAATTCTTGAGTGAAAGGTGCACGACAGGATTACCTGCAATTTAACTATTAGGCTTCTATCTTATCAAAGCTATTTCAAATTATTTTGTGAATATGCACTGAAGGCACCACTGTCCAGTGTCCACTACCTCACCCATTTTAACATTTTTAACTATTTATAATAATGATTTAATTCTTCAATTCAATGGATTTCATCATCAAATTAAGCATTTATGATCATTTTCTTGCTATTTGTCCCCTTTCCCAAACAATTTATAGTGTTAACAAATATTTAGTTGAAAAATAATAGATTCGTCAATAGTAACATATTTGTATAGTTTCATAATTATCATATTTTACTGACAGCAAATACATTTATATGTCAAAAATGATAACCTGATTCACATGAAGTACCTACTTCAAAATGGAGTCAATTTTCTACTTTTGTCACGTGAACATTTTTTGTATGAATAACTGTCCAGACAAAGGTCATTTTAAAGAAGCAAAATGATACGATTGGAATTAGAGAACCATTATCCATCTTCTTTCTTTGTTGAATTCTTTATAATGTTCAGTGATCCCTTTATGAAAGGTACAAACATATTTTCAAAATTTTGAGCCCAAAAATTTTGTAGGGCCTCAATTAAGCTTTTGGGAATAACTTGGCCTTTTAGGCTAATTTATCTTTCAAAATCTGGGACCAATTTTGGGATTTGGGGGGCCTAAATTATTTTCAAAATTTCAAATTCCCCCCCCCCCACTTGTTAGCTTTTGAATCCGCCATAGAGGGTAGCATGTTATTTTTAGATTTTCACAAGGGTGTAGCACTAGAGACTTAAAAAGGGGGTACAAGAATATATGAGAGGATAGACATAAAAAATGACTAAATGCACTTATCATATTGTTTACATAACCAACAAAGCATATAACCTTAATACCTCAAATGGATTTTTATGTGCATTATAAATACTAGTCTACAAATCACGCTTATTACACAAAAGCTCAGATTATGGTCATAATAACTTTTTGACAGTCTACAAAAAACTACAATGACAGTCTGAGGCAAAGCCTTCAGAAAAATGGCCGTGAATGATGATGCCCTACTAATGTAACATTTCAAGATTTCAGTATTTGAAAGTGTGTCATTTAGCAAGTCTTGCTTTAAGACCTTGGACAGGCACAGGTACTTCCCCCTTGATCACCTGTTGTTAAAACAGATAAAGGGGGTGTCTTGAAGCAAGACTTCATTTTAGGATGCATATTTATTAATTGGAGGAGTATTTTTATGGCATAGAGTTGCTGAACTGTAGAGACTTCAATGCAGGGATAGCATTGACAAGGTTATACAATAAGAGGGCCTGATTCAAGATTTAACAAGCGAGTTATTTTTGTGAAAATGACTGTGGTTAATACTTCACTGCATATCTACCATGTTGAAATGAGCCATGGTCATACCATGTTATACTTTGCAGTGATCTCCCCAGCATTAAAGCAAGTGGGTGCAGCACCCACCTGAAATTTTAAAAACAGTCAAACACCCACTTGAGGTTTCATTTGCACCCATTTGAAAATGAGAAAAATTATGTAAAATGGGCATATTTTGACTAATTTTGGACTGCATTCTGAAAATGAGAATTTTGCACCCACTTAAGAAAAAATCCTGGGGAGAACAGTAGCTTTGTACATATTGTAGAGCAGTCAGACTTTTATAACATTTTCTGACCATAACCTAACATTAACTTCCAAAAATCTTCATTTGAGATATTAACATTAAAACTGTAAAATCACCTGTGATAGTAAAGGGATTAGGGAAGAATATTCAGGGTTGTGATCAACAGGCTTCATATATAATGGAGTGTTCAAATCCCCAGTGTGAAATATTCATTACTTATTACATGTATATGAATTCTTGTTGTTACAACAAATCAAGCATCGAGAATCGAGATCCATTCATAATTCATTATTTACAGAACCCTGGGGTTCATTGGCTTAAGTAACTATGACCTAATGCTCACTTTTATAATATTTTTATATTGAAGCTCACTGGCTAGAGTAACTGTGAGGAAGCTGTGTTTTGTATAACTCCAAAACTTCATTAAATGAGATAACTATAATGATTTCTTTTTCAAACTATTGGGATTAGGTATATCCTGGAAATCAGATAAAATCAGAAAAATGAACTAAGCATTGGAATAGATTTGGTAAAAAATGAGAATTTTGAACATTTGAATTTATAGAAAAAATAAACTGAAAATTCGGGTTTACAGATTAGTGAACACTTTTTCTGTGTCCAAAATCTCACATTACTCAAATATCTAAAAAATAAACTTGGAATATGACCACATGTCAATTCAAACACCTTTGGCCGGTCTTAGTAGCCTTTTGGACTACACCTGGTTTTACTAAATATATTTCAGTTGGTTAAAAATACATGCATATTTAGAAACATATACTTAAACTGGGCCAATATATACTAGCCTATATATGAACGGATAAGTTGGCAGTAATCCTTAATTAAACATGGGAGGGATCTACCAAATTGAGCTTGATCATGGGGAAAACCAGTATATGCACATGAGTTTGATAAATACACACATATTAAGAAAAAATTAAGTCCTTGAAAACATACAATTTTGGTGAATAAACAACTGGGGAAATCACCTGTTGCTAAAAGAACCCCTTTAAGCGAAAATTGTGCTTAACTATCATTTAAAACAAAGAGCCGGGCTAAAATCAGCATAATTTTTACTATTTTGTTAATCTATTTTCTTTCATCCCTATTTTGGCCCTGATGGAACTTGGTATATAATCTTACGAAATGGGGTGGTCATCCAGGCCTTAAATCAAGTTTGTTTAACACCATTTTCTAAGGACATGTAAATATTTCAAATGCATGTAATATGAGGGACCACTTGTTGATCTAAAGTATCAGTACAACATATGTTGGGAGTTTAACTGTCAGGTATTTGAATCACATGCTTAGATGAAGATCAGATTACAAAACAAAAAATACATAATTCTTACAACCATGACTTGTCCTCAATAGAACTTCTACTGTATTTGGAGAAATATTCATATTTTACTACTCTGATAATATTACCCTATTATAAATGACCTCATCTGACTTTAAGGTAAAATACATTTCACTTATTTGTAAAAGTCATAATTCAAGTTTGGGCCTCACTGTCCCAGCTCATGGAATAAATTGGAATACCCTTGAACCAAGGATATGCAAAAGTATCACTTTGTAACTCCAAAACAAACAAATGAGTGCATTTCTATTTAAAACTCTTGATCGCCGTGACTTGTCTTGTTTTAAGCCTTTGTTTCCCCTGGATCCTCATCTAGACAAGGTGAGGTAGATACGGTGGGCCATAGACATGGTGCAACACTAATCCTGGCAATTAGGAAATATAAGACAACAATAAGCCACGATGGCAAGGCCCTTGGTGTGGGGGGTTCGAGCCATGGCCAAAAACTCTTTTTTAAAGTAAACCACTTTGCAAAAGCTGGCTTTGGGCCTGATGATTTGACAACTCAATTGTTATAAGGAAGAAGATGCAATGAGTGTCAGAATGATACTAGAGGGTAGAGTTTATCACGAGAAGAAAGGACAATCTGGAGGGGGTAGTATTTTGCTGTACTTACAGTTAAATACTGGTATCTCTCCTGGTCAGTTTCCAGATCTAGAATGTCATCTAAGTCAACGTCTGCATCATACGTCTCATGACCCTGAAATTACAAAAACAAAAAATGAAGGATAACATAAAAACTTGAAGCAAGCATATTTTTAAACTACTAGGCCATAATTAACTGTCTTTCTGGAAAGTTTGAAGTTCATTTCCTCATCGCCTATATTTGGGTATATTGAGTTTACAAAAGTACTCAAAAACGCCACCATATACTTTTGTATCTCTTGTTACAATGCATCTCAGTATGGCCTCGAATAACATGATTTGAAAAAAGTTCTAGTTTGGTCGCTATGGTAAGAGAATTGACTTTGACAAATTATATAGCGATGATATAATATATTTATACATAAAGTTCTTTCTTTTGCCAAGGAAACTAAAGTTGACTTCAATAAAATCATGGTTCTAATCAAATTCTAGATCTGTCGCCATGGTAACTGAAAATGACATTAATAAAATCATGATTAAATCAAGAATTATTTCAACTTGAAAGCATCTTTGTAAATTTCCTTCAGGTAATAATTAATCATTTTTACTGATTAACTCTTACATACATGTACTCCTACATCTTCATGGGGAAATATATTTTATATGAAAATGAATAGAAAAGAATGAAATAAATATTAAGAAAATGGACACTGATTTAAGGAAACAGAAATATAAAAAATCTGTGTTTTTATGATTAAGACAAGAATCTGAGGTTAATTTAAAGGTATTAATCATAATTTTTGAATGGGATAGCTGTAATTACTTAATATTTTATTGATTATTCAGCCAATCCCTTCTAAAAATAATGACCAATTCTACCAAATATTATTCATCTCATATTTATGGTTATTAAGTAAATGTAACGCTTACTCTTGAAATATGTCCAATTTTAGTATAACTTGAAAGTAAGAACTACTGGTATATTGTGATTCAAGATTATTGCGTTATTAAACTCGCTTAGAGTTGATCTCTCTAAGGAGGAAATCATGGAAAATTTCTGTAAGGATAAACACATGGTGGATTAGATAAGTAATAATCTAAGTGGAAGAATAAGTTGATTATGGTGGAACATTATTGGTAAATGAAACGTTCAAGACATCATGTAATGTTAACATTCAATTTAATTTGAGGAAATGTAAAATCATATATCAGTTTAAAGGCCAAAAACTGCTCAATAACAACAATAACAACAAAATAGTTAAATAAAAGTGTTTATCTTTTTTTGAGAAAACCAATTTATTTAAATGTTGAGACGATTAGTCCTACTACAAAAAAACAAACATTGTCAATATCGTGTACTGGCCTATCCTGTTATCTCAAGTATTTATACTTGTACACATAAAAGAAATTCATTTTTTAAAAACACTTGAAATTGAGATAACAGCTCGTAAGCCATGTAACAGTAAATCTGATACAATACTTTGAAACAGGACATGTTCTTCAGGTACTTCCTTATTAGCAATAAATCAGTTTTATTAATCTATGTTGAGCCAGGTACAAGGGTTCTTATCTGATAACATATTTCGAAATTATTACTGTATCTTAATCAAATTTCTAGGAATTTTGAGGATTGGTATATTGATATTCAAAGGAATGTCATTGTTTGAATACACAAATGGTATTTGTTTAAAACCAATCTCTAAAGTAAAATGGTCTAATCCAAAAACTGTCAAATAAATTTTGTGATAAAAAGAAAATACATGTATACATGTACATGCATATATAATATAAACTTGTACAGAACTGTACCAATATTTGGAAGACTTTATCAGTTATCACACGTTTCAGCATGTGATACAGGAAATATTCCACGAAAGGTAATATTGTATCATCCACGAAAGCGAAGCTTGAGTGGTGATACATTGTTACCCGAGTGGAATATTTCCTGTATCACATAAGCTGAAACGTGTGATGACGATTTTATCACATGTCTAGGAATTTTGAAGCATTTTGATTTGGTCAGTTATGATTGTGTTCAGAACCCCGTATACTTCTGGTAACTATTATAATTTTTGATTTCGCTTTGAAACAATATGACGTCATACCGTTGTATTCATAGTTGTTTGTGAAATAGTATGATGTCATATTGTTTTCCTTAGCTAGAAGTGATATAATCAGTGAAGTCACATCCTTGCTATCGATCATCACTGGTTGCCTCTAGTAACGTGTGAGACGGCCGTGTGAGACGGGAAAACTCACACGGTAATCAACCAATCAGATTACTGGAATTTTACAGAGCATGTGATAAATTGATAATATAACAACAATATATGATAAAAACATTGAATAATGAATAATAAAAAGAACAACCAGAAAGTTTGCCTGTTGCATGCCTGACTCATGAAATGCTTGTTTCACAGTAGTTTGCCCCCATAGCTAAATTGTATGTCCATACACTATAAAAACATCATCTATGGGCTATTAAATAAATATACTGTACATCAATCCCTAGAGAATCGTAACAAAATATTTATCCTCTGGTTAGATGTACCTAATAAAATAGAAACCAATCTCATGAAAATGTTTGATCTCAAATTGCTAGCTTTTGACTAATAGCACTTATTGTTTCTAAAAATCTGGGAAAATATATAGAAAATTGACTACATGTATAAAGAGAATTGACTACTTGAACTCAAGCTTTTCCTGGTTGGCAATCCACACTATTTGTTCCTTGTCAACGTTTCAAAGACAGTAAACCTGACTTAGTCAACACCTCACACTAGTGAACACCTCACACTTAGTCTAGTGAACACCTATCTAGTAAACACCCTTCCTCTGCACATACTCTACCAGGGCTCTCGCCAGGCTTTTAGACTGTGGCGCAGCACCACACTCTATTTAGCTCCCACCACACCCTACTGGCAAATCATGATTGTTACCACAGTCTAAACTTGACTGAATATACAATAATAGCATGTAAAAAGGATAAAATATAACATAAATATGATTTATCATGATTGAACGGTAATGCTGAAGATGTTTGCACCACACCTTAAATATTTCCTGGTGAGAGCCCTGTCTACTGACTTCTGTATAAATTATCCTCTCTGTAATGAACACCTTACCAACAATGTTTTACTATAGTCAATTTTGAAATATAAAGGTCATCAGGGTATATATGTAACCTAATGGGAAGAGTGTCAATACACGTGTAAAACTAAATCAAACACATTTAAGTTCAACTCTTTGTGAAGTTTTATCTTAAACAAACATTTAGACCACAAATTAAAGGTTTTTAAGAATCATCGATCATGTCTGAAACATAGGAAAAATGTATATACACAAGATTGGTGAATAAGTGGGGTCTTTCATAACATTTTGGCCATATCTGTCTGTCCCTCCTAAATAGGGGCTTATGGGCCATCTAAGCTAGTATTCATGAAAGATACACACTTTCTACTTTTGTACTGATTTAAATAGCCTGAGTGGGTGTCTACTGTCTACAGCCTTTGCTATCAAGAAAACACTTTAACAAGCTTAAGATATAAAGAGGATCCAGAAACACTCCTCTTAGATATGTTTTTTGCTATATCATGATGATGGTTAGAGAAAGACTACAGAACACTTGTTCATAATGGGCTTATGGGCCTGGATGCAAGCCAGCATGAAAGACACGCTTTAATTTTATACTGATCTACATTGCTCACAGTGGTGGCTCTACAGCTTTTGCTATCTATGGGAGAGAGCTACCAAAGAACACTTTCTCAAGCTTAATATCTATAAAATTGATCAAGAAAACTCTTCTAAACTCCTGTCTCAAATATGTTTTTTTCGCTACATCATGTGGATGGAAGGAAGGGGGTTAAAATTTGGTACAAGACCAATACGCTTTCTAACAGATTAAACTTCTCAGTGCACAAATCATATGACTTTTTGAAATTAGTTGATGATTTTCCATTTAGATGACCAAAGAGGTCATTCCCCAGTCTGCTTATCCTAAATGGCCCTCACAAAATATTTGCCTTATATCATGTTTTTTACTGTTTTGTCATGAAAATATGTACAGAACATGATTTTCTTGAAATTGCGTAATGTTTCTAAGGTCATATCCTAGATGAAAACTTCATTTATTGAATGTACCTACTCTATGAAATTTTAATGATACAAATACTGTATTGACCTCTTAAGATTTTATTTCAAGGTGACTTTTGCATGGTAAGTGCATTTTATAGTTTGAGGTCTAGTGAACATGTACAGATTTATTTTCAAGTACATGAGAAAGTGTTTTAAAGCAGGCTTATTTGAGTGTGTTGAGTATCATTACAGTCTGGGGCAGAGCCTCAAATTCTGTTGACATCGAAATTATTTAGAGCATTCAGTCTCAAATATGGTGTTTCTGATTCATATTGATTGAGTTAAAACCTGTTAAATTTAATATAGTTGCTGTATAGCAGTGAAGGTTGATCTTGGATGAATAAACCTATTACCCATTCCAAAAGATTGATTTTACTTTTTAAAAGGAGGTTATCTGCCTCATGTACTTAGGCTCCAACCCTCAGGATACTAATGAAGCAACTGACTCTGGAGTAAACGCTGCGATTATCACTGATGTAGCAGAGAGTCACTACACCCCAGCAGGACAAACCGTTCACATCTTTAAGAAGGCAGTATAGTATATGATAATTCATGCGGTTGGGAACATGAAAAGAATATCCTTGAATATTTTAAATAACACACCAGGTATGTTTTTATTCACTCAATCACAGACTCAATATTCATGGTCATATTGCTTACAGCGTACACTTTGTTTTTTACTTTTATTTTTTTAAACTTTATTCATAAATCAAATATACCTGTCAAAACTCCTGAAGTTATACACTTGTAAATTATCTTTTTGAATTTGAATAAAATGACAACAAAAGTATGATGACAGGTGATATTTAGATTAGATGTTTCAGTTTTTGGTGACATACACCATATTGATTGATCAAAGTTATTGAAAGAAGTATATAAGAGATATGGTTACACACAGGCAATGGTTTAAAGAACAGGCGATTTCTCCATTTTTCACATTAAGTTTTAATGATTTGTATGTCTCTATTCATTAAGCCTGTT